GCTCCTGCAACCGATCCAACTCCCCAACCTCATCCAGCAGCGCACACGTCTCCCCCGGCCCCGCAATCCAAGCAGTCGTACACGCCATCCTTGCCCTAAAATCATTCGCGCCGCCGGCACTCAAGAACTGATCGCCCACATGCAGCGTCTTCGCGCCCTCGACCCCACCGAAAAACTTCTGACACGCCCGCACGCCCCAGGATTTATCGCCAATGTCGACGAAGACGTCGGTTCCGCCGTTGAAGGCGCAGAAGGGCAGGCGGCGGCCGACGGGGGAGTGGTCGAGGGCTTTTTGCACGGCCAGCACGGTTTCTTCGAGGTTTTCGCGGGAGAGCTTTGCGGGGGGGGTGTCTGTGGTTGGGGGGTTAGGGATGATGCCGACGGCGCGGGGCTTGCGGATGAGGGTTGCGGGGAGGGAGAGGGTGGAGATTGTGCTGCGGAGGGCGGACTCGGCGAGGTCGAGGAGGGCGGTGATGTCGGCGTCGGTCCAGAGGTGCATTTCGGGGAGCTGCCAGTCTGCGCGCGGGACGGGGCGGAGCAGGCTGGGCTGGGAGGGGTCGAAGGCGAAGCAGTAGTTGCTTTCGCCGCCGAGGATGACGAGGTTCTGGTTGTGGGGGGAGGCGGTTGTCTGGATGGCGTCGAGGAGGCCGTGGAGGCGGTGGTAGTAAGGGGTTGCGGTCGGGTAGCCGGCGGCGGTGACGATGCCGATGCGGGTGCCTGCGCGCATGAGCTGGAGGATGCGCGGGATGACGGGGTTGTCGGGGGTGAGCTCCATGCCGTCGTCGTAGAGGGTGACGTCGCCGTCGAAGGTGACGAGGTCGAGGGGGCCGGTGCGGACGAGTGACATTACCTGGGCGGTGTTGAGGATGAGGCGGATGTCGTTGAAGGAGGGCGGGACGTGGCGGCGGCGGGAGATGAGGCGGCGGGTGTCTTGGTAGATGAAGGCGTCGTGGAGCTGGAGGGGCGTGAAGAAGGTTGAGACGGTGGGGACGAGGAGGCGGAGTTTGGAGCGGTCTTCTGTGCCTTCGAGTTGGTGGATGACTGGGTGGGTGGGTGGATGGTTAGTGGTGTTTTGATGCTGTGGAGTTCATATGAGAAGAACGGGGCGTACTGTGGTCGTTTATGATGCCCTCTACGTCGCGCATGATCTCTGCGTATCTCTTGTGTGCTCCCTCGGCGGACACCCGGATCGACTCATGGCCGGGCTCGAAGATGGCCGTAGGCTGAGAGTGCAGGACAAAAGGCACGGCAAGGAGTCCCTGGAGCCCTTCATGTCAGCTCCTAGCACATCGTGGCTGCTATCAGGACCAAGGTCAAGGTCGTACTTTGATCCATTCAATCTATGACAGACGGTTTAGCAGGTGTCTCTTTGAGTCGAGTGTGTGTATATCACGGAGTATTGATGCTCCGGACAGCAGGCTCACCAATTGGTCCCTTCGATGCGACTACAGTCCCATTCCCAGCATTGGTTAGCGAGAGCGAGCAAGCTAGATTTATATATACCCCCGTCGAGGAGTACTGGTGGAGTGGACGCACCTTGAGAGCATCTGTCAGATGGATTAGCATAAGTGAAAGCTGTAGTCTGTCTGTCAGACCAGAGGCACATGTTTTGCAACGTACATTCGACTCGATATCGTGTAGTCATTGTTTTGTTGTTGGAGTTTGAGAGTAATAGTAGTAGCAGTAGCTATTATTATATCGTTCTTGGGGACCCCGCGAGCTTTAAGTGGATGGATTAGACGGGAAGCCGGAGCTTTGCACGGACCGGGTCAAACGTTCATATATACGCCTCCGCCCTCCCTCTCCAATGTCCAAGGTGGAGCAGCAGCACCGGGAAACTGACTTGTCGTACCGTACAGCGGAGGAAGTGAGTGGCCGACAGATCTATTCACTAGCAGCTAGCTGCAGCGGCCTCGTGGCTACTTTCGCGACTCGCATATATCGTCCTACTCGGTCAACCAACCTCCCTCGCTCCAAGCCACCCGAAATTACCTAAGCCGCTTGCAGCCGCGGTCGGCGGAACGCGTTGAAGCTTCACCAAGCTCAGCTCTCCACCAACGCGGTCGATCTGCATACCATTGAGCACGCACACGCACTATAGAATCATGACCGACACCTCCAAGTCCGCCTTCTCGCTCTCCCTGCGGCCCTGGCCGGGTCAGAGCAAGCAAGCAGAGTCCAGCGCAGAGCTCCAGGCCCGACTGTTCCAGCAGCGGGGCCACTTTCGTCACATCACAGAGGCCGGGCTCGAGGAGGAGATCCGCGCGGCGGCGGCTGGCGAGACAAAAGACGGCGAGGATGCCGACTCGCACGAGGGCGAGCATGAGCTTACGGAGAAAGAGTGGCGGGAGAAGCTGGTGGCGCAGAAGATACTGATGTTAAATTATCTCCAGTAAGTCTGGCCGGGGTGGAGTCTTCGACGTTGTGAGTTCGCGTACTAACGTGAAAGACAGACAGGCTAACAACGAAGCCATGATTGCGCGCGACTTTATATCGCTCCTCATCTCGAAAGACTCGCCCAAGACCGCGCAGATCTCCCTTTCACCGGCGGCGAGGGAAGCGGTGCCGATGGGGTCCCTGGGCTGGACTAGGTGGCATCGTCAATCAGCGCTAGAGCCGACGAGTGAAGAGAAGGAGCAGGAGGAGCGTGATGCGCTGTTGGCGCAAGGCGCGCGAGTACAGGCGCTGAACAACGCAGCTGATATCCTATTAAATGCCGCCACGCGCCTGGAGACGGACGTGCGGCGAGAGACAAAGTACTGGGAGCAGGTGCTGTCCATCACCGAGAAGGGATGGTCGGTACGAAAGATTCAGAATGACAGGTTCAATATGGGTGTTCAGTTAGGGTTCGCGGAAGCAAGTGATCAGTTCAAGAGGAGGGGATTCACTCCACTACGGACCGACGAAGACGGCAGTGTGATTCTGGACCAGGAGCTGACAAAGACACCGCATACCCTGAGAGTGCGCATCGTACAGGATGGGGTCATTCTGGGCACATCACAGCTTCGGCAACACGTCAAGACAGATCATGCCGAACTCGAACAACTGATTGGACGGGCCAGAGATTCCCTCTTCGACGAGGAGCTCTTCCATGAAATATCTCTAGAAACACGGGAACTCTTGTCCTACGACGTCAAGATGAAGGACTCCACCATACGCATCCCCCTAATGTCCCCCACCCAAGAAGCAGACAACAAGCGCGAGATCCAAATCGACCTCATGCAGCTCAGCGAGTCCACCGTGCCATCCCACGATCCAAGCCTCGACGACCTAGCACAAAACATCGCCATCGCACTCCGCCTGCTCCTCTCACGCGTCCATCGACAGCGACTCCAGCGCCGCTCCGAGCTGCCCGCCCCCCTCTCCAGTCGCAAGGAGCAGAAACCGCCAGAGGCCATCCTCAGACCGCTAATGGCCTTCTTCCTCCATCGCCGCGACGCAGCCGCCGTACGGCACTGTCTCGAACAGACGCGCAAGATCCTCCGCTCCGCCGGCCTGGCCATGCCCCTCGAATTCCACACCTGCGAAAGCATCACATCCTCCATCACCAAGAACCTCGCCTCGTCCACGTCTCCTTCTCCCTCCCCCATCTCCACCCTCCTCGCCCCGTTCGTCCAAACCCTCCACTCAACCGCCCTCCTTACCCTCCCCTCCTCTTCTTCCCAATCACCATCATCATCAACCCCCCTCCACATAACCCTAACAATAAGCACAAAGCTCTCCCCCCCAACCTTCGGCACCCTCTTCACCCTGCACCCCCCCGCCCTCTCCATCCCCACCGTCCCCGCCCTCTGCACCCACATCCACACCCTCCTCGCCCTCGACATAGCACACAACATCCTCGGCCCCCGCGTCCTCCCCCGCTTCAGGCCCGACGAGCGCCAGGCAATGCTCTACGGCGTGCTCGGCGGCGCCGCAGACACAAACGCCCATCCGGACAAGGCGTGCATGGTCAGCGTGGCGCTGCGCAGCGATCGTCTGGTGGTCAGGCGGAAGATGGTCAAGGCGAAGCAGGGGCGGGAGGATGTGCTTTATCATGTTTGGACTGCGGAGGGCGGTAGCAGTGGGAATGAGGTGGTGGTGGATATTGCCGAGGTGGTGCGTAGGTTTGTTGGTGTGGTGGCGTAGGTCTGGAGATTGAGGATATGGAGAGATGGTGGGAGTATGCGTAGGAGTAGTAGTAGTAGGGCAATCTATGTGATAATCTATAAGCCTGCATTGTTGTTGTTTGCAGGGAAAATAAATATAAGTATTGAGAAAGGACAAAGAATATAAAAAGGCTTTGTAAATGGGTATCCAACGAGAAAACCGCGGTGCCGCTGCTGGTGGTGGTGCGAAGCGACACAGATGCAAATGCCATGTTATCCCGACCATCAATCACATCACCACAAATCAAAAACACTCTCTTGAGCCATCCGTCCTCGCTCACACCTGGCTGAACCTACGCCTACTACTCCTCCCACCCACCGACGGCGGCGGCGGCGGCACAGGCGCAGTCGGCGGCGAAACAGCAGGCACACTCCTCCGAAACTCAGGCGGCGGCCTCGGAAAGCCCCCCCTACTATCCCGATGATCTCGCTCCCTGAACCGCTCCCGCTCCCTTTCCCTCTCACGATCCCTCTCACGGTCCGAAAACACAATATCCTCGTCGTCAATCTCCCACGTGTCCATGCTGCCGCGTCTCCGACTGACCGCTCTCGGAGGAGGAGGAGGATGGTGCCGCCCCTCAGGCCTCCCGCCATCCACACTGCGAGCCCTCCTCGAGCCGGCACCAGCCGCAGACGGGCCGACGCTCGTCCGTCTCGAGGACGCGCGGCCCTCGCCGCCTCGTCTGCTGCGCTTCGGCTTCGCGGCGCCCGTGGGCGCAGGCTTGAGCACGTAGCCAAAGGACTCGGGGTCGCGTCTGGCGAGGTCGCGCTCGAGGCGGAAGAGCGGGCTCTCGGGCAAGTCTCTGTTCTGGCCCTTTTCGGCGAGCGGGCGCGGGAGGCGGTAGAAGATGTCTGGGTCTGGGCCGGCGGCGTCGTCGTAGTTGATGTGGAGGGACCAGTCTGCGAGGGCGGGGCAGGTGTAGGTGCTTTTGTCGGCGACGCCGGGGCCGCGGAAGTGGAGGCGGGCGCGCACGCTCGGGTGGATGTATTCGCATGTGTCGGTGAGGAGGCGGTCGGTGGGCCGGTTGGTGGTTGGGTCGGCGGCGTGGTAGGAGCCTGGGGTGCGTGTTTTGCCGCCGCCGAGGGCGTAGAGGCCGGCCATGGAGTTTGGGATCTTGCCAAAGGACCAGGGGCGGACGTCTTCGTCGCGGGAGGCATAGTAGCGGTCGTTTGCGTCGTCTTGCTCGAGGACGTAGGCGCTGCGCATGTCGAGGAAGGGCTCGAGTTGCGACATCATCCACGCCAGCGTGATGTTGGCGAGTTGCTGGTCGTCTTCGCCGCCGCCAATGTTGGAGTGGACGCCAGGAAACCAGACTTGGCGCAGCTTGGTCTTGTTGCCAGCCGGTTTTTCCCAGATGGCCGGGGCGAATGCACTGCGGCGTTCGTCGAGGGCGAGTGCCTGGAAGGCGTTGTCGACGTTGTTCCCGAGCTTGGTGTCGTGGAAGGATGTTTCCTTGGATTGCTGGCTTTGGAGTCCGACTTTTGTGAGCCAGCCGACACGGGGGAGCCCGAGACTGCCTACTGTGTCCCATACCGCAATTGCTTTGATGCGGACCCCTAAGGTTGTCAGCCCTCGCCGCTCGAGCTCTCGCGCATACGTTGGATCGGCGGCACTTGGTTTCTTAGGAAAGGGGACATCTGGATATTTTGGGCGATAGTCGGGGTCTCGCCTATTTTTGACGTCTTGGTGGATCTCAGCTAGGCCTGATAGACCCTTCTTGGTCAAAATGCCTATCACATCCATGAAGCCTGCTATCGAGCGGACAGTAAAGGCACCCCGAGAGAAGCCTATCAGGAAGATCTCGTCGCCAGTTGTGTAGTTGTTGGCGATGAAAGAGTATGCCTCACGAACATTTTCATCAAGGCCTTCTCCAGTAGTACCTAGATTAGATCAGTGACTAGTCCCTGACAAGAAGCAGCATTGACAATGGTGTTCTACGAACCTTGTAGAAGTCGCTCTACCACCCCCCCTCTTGATCCGACCCCAAAATGATAGTACACAATCTGCGGTATCCCGTCCGCGGACACATCTTTGATTGCTCTCGATATCCTCGTGACATTACTCGGAATCGCAAGTTGACCGTTGATGAGGCCATTGTCCGCGTTGAGCCACGTCCCTGCTCAGTATAAGCATTCACTCTGGCTCACGTGACCATTTGTACCCAATACAACTCACCGTCAGCACAAACAATTAATCTCTTGAACGGCGGCCCAGCTATTGGCGGTGGTGGTATTGCAGTTCGTGGCCTCGACACCGAACGCGCGCGCACAACCGACGTTGCCCTCGCCAGCTCCTCCGGATCCGTAACCGGTACGCCATCCCTATAAACATCATAAACCTTGCCGTTAGCCCTGATCTCCGCAGCCATTTTCTGCTCTCTCCCAGCGGCTACTGCAACCCTCAAATCCCTCAACCGTCTTTCAGTTTCCGAAGTCGTTCGTGCGCGTAATGCACACCCGATTTGCGCGTTACGTTAGTCCGGGAAATCGGCTCGGCGCGCGCCGTGAAGCTCTAGCTGAGCTGACAGGAAGACCAGAGGATCCAGCGGAATGTAAAGGTTCGGCAGCAACGCGGTCGACAGCGGAGTCCATGTCCTTGTTCGCATACGGCAGAGAGAGGGAATTGGGCGCGGCCGGTGTGCGAAGAAAGAAAAGAAAGGCTGGAGAGCGTGGGCACGAGACTTGATTGATGCCCATTCGCAGGCATCGTCCTGGCGTTGGGTTGGTGCACTGGTCGTAGGGCAGAAGAGGCGTTGACGCTAGCGTTGTTACGTACGTCCGTCGGCTGGGGCGTCCCTTGCCCCTTGCCCCGGCCATTGCAATATTATGTCAACAACAAAGTTGAACATGATTACCACAACAACAAAAGTGATCTGGAACTATCGCAGGCATAAGTCCTCCGTGTATTGGACTATCCACTGGAAGTGAATCATGACAAGGTGCCCAGGGCTCAGCCTGCACCTTCAACCAAAAAGTACATAGGCATCAAGCCCAAGCTGCATGATATTGCTATCCTAGCGTGATCTCTTTCCATTGCAACCCTGGCTCCAACGATCCTTTATGGAATGCATCGGTATGTATTCTTGCCAATCCCACTCTCTCGGCCAAGGTCTCTGGCTGGATCCAACAGATCATCAGCGCGTAGTATGCGATACCGAGAATCCCGGCTTGAGCATCCGATATGGCCAAGAACTCAAAGACTTCGCAATCGTAGTTCGAATTACTGTCGTTCAAGATGACTTCTCCACACCATTGACCCGAGCGATCCAGCAGACTACGCTTGTATACCCCTGGGGCTACGTTGAACGCAACCTGCGCTAGGCTATTCCAATAAGGACCAGACTCCCGCGAGCCCAACCCCGGCGAAAGACTGAAATGAGCACTCCAGGTGCAAAAGTTTAGACAGCCCTCTATTGGATCGTGTGTTGGATAGTTGGGAAAGTCTTCGTTATTCAATTGCCATTCTCGTCGCAAGGTCCGGCCAAAGAAGTCGACATTGTCGACGTTCGTTTGTCGATATCCATACCACTTGATCGTACCGTCAACCTCGTCTTGACTAACACCACCCTCACTTGATCCCTCACCGGTTGACAACACAAGATCATGTGATGAGTCTGCTCCAATCCACCAGATAACCCATGTGTTTTGTGCCAGCCATTGGTGTAAATCACTGCGAGGCTGGAAGGTCGTCCCAGGATTCCACCACGAGGCGCCACTCCACCCACACCAAGACCAGCTTGGGAGTATGCTACCTGCGCGCTCTTCCAACGGGAGCCGCCGTGAGAGCCCCTTCGGTTCCCAAAGTAGAGACCAGTCGAAATGAGACTTGGGCAGTCCATAGCAAAAGATCAATCCGCTCTTTCTAGAATCCGCGGCATTTGATAGTGCACCGAGAACTCCTTCAAAAGCTAAAAGTCTGTCCCGGGAGAATGCCAACTCTCTATGACTATAAATCTCCACGTGTTTTGACAGTCGGTCTATTGGATTCTGTTGCGGAGTACAGAGCGAGGACGGTGAGCCCATTGTAGACAAAGCCTGGATTTCATCTGCAGAGAGCCGTGATCCAACCTTCTTTCTGCTACGTCCGCATTCGTAGAACACGTCTTCGTCTACAAAGACTAAGGCTCTGGTAGACAAGACCTTCTCTTGGAATGTCCATCCGCGGTGATTCCAGCGAGAGGAGATTATCTGGTCTCTTAGTGTCTTCATGACACCCAGTCTTAATGGGCCATACGAACCAGAGGTTCGAATGAATGCTCGTGACATAGAATCGGGTCCGAAGATACCGGCATTCGCATAGTCGCTACTCGCCGCGCAAATAGTCAAAACAGCTTGTCCGTAGACGGTGTCCATGAATGGAGCAGTCTTGTGGAAATCCTCTAGACTATCCTGAAGGATGCACAGAGAATCTACCCATAGATACTGCACTCCCAGTCGAAAGGCTATATCAACTGCGTCTCGGACCGTTTTGGGTAAGGTTTGGTGATCATCCAGGAATGCTCCCGGTTGTTCTAGAGCAGCCAAATTCTGTTTCGTCAACACCAACGGTGCTGGCTGCGAACCGTTGCTACCCCATACGTAACTCAAGGCGCAATACTTCAATGGAGTCTGCTTTTCTACAAGGCAACGTAACTCCGTGTCGATCACACGAAGTTTAGGCAAGGATCGATCCCGCGTACAGTACATCTGGCAGCTTTTATCGTGGCTATGCTCACATTCTCGTATCCATGAGCGAACCTCATCGAGATCGACTGAGGCAGAAGCTTGAGTACGGCTTGGGTTATGATCATTAAGCAATGCTATGTAAGCTGGTGTGAAGATAGACTCATCGCTGAAAATTCGAAGCCTTCGGTTCCGATCAAGTTGAGATTTCTGTGGCCAGTCCATAAAGCAATTCACTCGATCGCCTTGTACATCGAACCCATCAAACACGATTTCCTCGTTTTGAGGGGTGTAGATCGCATCGCAGAGCAGGTCACAAAAGGTACAGTCATGTCTTCTCTTGAACAAGTCGTCTAGATAGCCAATTCTGACTGCGTGTCCTTCTGTGTTATTGGAAGGAATCGAGCTGTGCGAATAGAATTTAGCCGGGCTAATATCGAGGGCTCGACATGTAGAACAAAGACGTGCTAATGCGGAATCTCCCATGAAAGCGATACGACCAGAATTATTTACGAGTGATAGGGACAGAACGAGAGGTAATACACCTGTGGAAGAGAGTAATGTTATAATATACTTAATTATTGGCGTTGAGTAGCGGCTGAAAACAGGAAGGTGGGGTGACCTGTTCTGGAGTCTGGACACGCTGTTGGAGGCTCACACTATTACACTCAACGAGGCTGAGACATGACTGACCCGTAGAATTGCATTGGAGACGTCAGTTGGGCCATTATCCTTAGTGATCGGGACGCTGACAACACATAGGATCTTGAGGCACACAGATGCAATATCTGCAAAAGATTTCGTCCGCCATGATATGTGGCTCACTTGCAGCGTTTATATATCGAACACCAGATTCTCCAGCACCTTAGACTGAGACTTTAGCCCGTGAACGCCAAAACTTCTTCGTGCAGACTAGCCAGTTGAACCCAACTGTGGCGTAGACTCGGTATCCAGTACACCTCATGGAATATGTCCACCCAAATATGCAAGGTAAATAACTTTACCAGCCCGATCTTTTGGTGCAACCTTACGACGGGTCTCCGTCATATCCTACGTAAGTTGTAAATATTATGTATATATATAAGCCTCGTTGCAAGCAACTCGCCCAAGACGTTGTCAATGACATACGACAAAGAAGACCGCTCCAATGGTCCACATTATATTGCAGAGAGCGACACTGGGGACATAGAATTACAGATCGAAAACGTATAATATTGAGCTGTATCGCAAGGGAAAGATATCATCCCAGGCGCTTCCTTTTACGATCGTCCATTGGCTCGTCCTCGTCGGCTCGTTCTGCAGTTTCTGCAGGATTCAACAAAGAATGGACATTCGATGCCATACTCGAGCGACGCGTAGGAGGTGCAGAGGTGTCAATACCTCTGAAAGGGAACTTGGCGCCCGGCAGTGTCCAGCCAGCATCTGGATTAAGTGATGAGCCTTGTTCCCCAGTCATTGGAGGCGTCGCTTGGCGTGATCCTTGTGGGCGTGGGCGGCTGAACTCATACTGTGCAAGCTGATCTCGAATTTGTTGATCTCCAGTAACTAAGGGACCTCGATGTGGAGACGAGGGCCATTGGGAGCTATTATTGCCTGAGGCATAAGGTGACGGCACTGGAGGAGGTCCTTGCCAGCCGTGTAATCGAATATCTGCGGACGTGTGTCTTCTCGAAAGATTCATTGGCGGCGAGTCATTTGTTGAAGAGTTCGCGAGAGGGTGCTGAATCGTTGGGGGAGGCGGTGGCGGAGGAGCTTGTGCATGAATTGGTGTGCGTTGCGATGGGGAGTAGGCACCGGCGCCGATAGAGCCGTACCGCCTTGGTGATATGGCCAGGTGGGGCGCAGCTGGAGTTCTAAACTGCCCTGGCTGGTTTATATTCGCGAGCGAGCCTCGCCGAGATTCAGATTGCGGCACCTGTCGAGGAGATAATGGCATCCCACCTTCGTGACCGAAGTTCGAAAATATAGCTTGTCTTGCCGAAGGGAGCGATTCCGTAGGGTCGTGTAAGTATTCCAGTTGTCGCTGAACTTCATGTCGCATGGTCATGGCTGATATTGGTTTAGCCAAGCTCCCGCCGTATAGCTTTCGAACATACCATCTTTATGTATTTGATCTTCGGGATTCTGGACTATTCCTGCGATCATATTGGCTAGATCGATGTTGCACTAGCAATATTCGTCAGCGAAAGCACGCATAGAAGTCACTGCCATCGTCTCCATCTAACCTGGTAGCTCCGCATGAGATTCTCCGTGAGTATATCACATTTTTTGTTCAAATAAGCGGCGCCATCTTCACTGCGTGCCAGTCGTTGCCATGCGTCCTGTGCATACTGTTCCAAAATTACCAACCGGGCTTCAATAGGATCTGGCATGGCGTCCACAGGAGCTCCTGTTGGTGGTCCTGTGGGGGGTTTTGGGCCTGTAGAGAAAGAGTCTCGATGAATCAACGCATGACGCGAAGCACGGCGCTTGATTTCTCTCAGGCCAATAAGATCGCCTCTCTTGAAGTTGCCATTCCCGTGTTTAAATTCCCACAAAGGGGTGTCTGGTGAGCCCGTGTGGAAGACGTCGCTGACTATGGCTTGATCAGAACTTGCTGCGACTGTAAGAGGTATACCGGAGCTTACCTTTGTGAAAGCCGTACATGTTCAATTGTCGAACAAATGACGATATATTTGTGTGCTTGAAATATGATCCACGAGACCTTAGCATTCTTTATATCGTATCTACAGTATTCACTTACGACAGAACTTTTGAGAACTCGCTCGAGGGAGACATGACGAAACTTTCGTTGGTACTGGACCACGAGATCAAATGTTGTATAGTTTGATCTTCTAGCATGCTGATATTGGTCAGTATTTGTAACGTAAAGATCGACGACCGTCGACTGCCTACTTACTTATATAGTTTATGAATAAAAGCGGTCTGCACTACTTTTGGCTGCTGTGCAGCGGCAGCAGCTCCGACTGCCGAGCCGGTATTACCATTCGTACCCTCCGTATCTTGGTTGGAGACATGCAGTTGGCTATTGCTAGGTCCAGTGCGCTCAGCGGAGGGGCTACTCATAGCCGGTGGTCCCATAGTTTGGTCGTGGGAAGGTGAAACATCCATCGGATCGCCCGGGACCGATAAATTCGAGGATGCTGAAGTGGACGGAAGGATTGGAATGGACTTGTGAGATCCACTTGTGTGTTGATCGGCTTGAAATGGGCTTCTGGAAAGAGACTCTGTTGTGGATGCCATCGCCGCCAGCAACTCTTTTGATTATCGATCTACACCGCCCAAAGCGCGCAGTCCAAATTCAGACGATGCCTATGAGATGGACGCCACAATGTACGAAGTCAAGATGTGTAGGCCAGTGACCAGGCAGCTCAGATGGTGTTGAAGGCTATTAGAGGTATTCGTGGGGCGTCGAGCTTATTGCATCGTACTTGGATGACGAGTATCTATCAAGACGATTGAGGTATACAAGCGCTTTTTGGACTATTTCCAGAATCGTGATGCGATCGCTTCGCAGACTCTGAAAAGCTTGGTATATAGCTGGCACTATTCTGGAGGAGAGGAAGGTAGTGGTTGCGCGTTGTGGACCACGGAAACCGAGCGATGAGGTAAGAACATGTACATGCGGACTCTGTATTGATGATGAGTATCGGGCTTCTCCCTCCAAACATGAAGCTTACCTTAAGAGCTCCGTCGAGGCCGGTAGGATGCGCGGATGGTAATGGGAGGAGGGGAAAGGAGAGGTAGCTTGGGAAACTGGGGTATAGACTAGCTCGACCGGCAGATAGCGATACTGGAGAGCTGGATGAGGAATAAGATATGCATGGATTATATGGATTGCAAGAGGATATCCAAACCGAAGCTAGATTGCCGTTTTCGACAACGAATGATTCAAGAAGGTCTGCGCGTCGTCGACGCTGTTGCAGCTCGAACGACAAAAAGGGAGGAGTAGGGCCGGAGAGGGTCCAAGAAGCTCAAGCAGCTGGTCCGGGCGTTCGTCCAAGCCCCCAGCACAAAAGCCATGGATCTCATCTTTGGCGTGCTCAGGCTTCTCTACGCCCAACGCCCATCCCGAGGTATGGGTGCCCGGTGGCCCCAGTCCCAACCTGTGGCCCCGGACGATCATTGATACACTAGAACGCCATCGTCTAGGATGAGAAGACTGTAACTGTGTTTGAGCTGCAGGTGTAGCTATCCCGCGACGATACGACGCAGACAATCCCGGCTTTTTGCAGCAGGACATAATTCCATTGGCCCTACCTGAATACTTTGCTCTCACAGCCTGCACCAAGACTCGACTCGACCTGGTTGCGGAAGATGCTGCTTGCTGCTTTGGATCCCGGTAAACCTACAGATTTAGTACATTGCCGTTTTGCTTTCTCCGTAAAGTTGGACTCTGATAGCACAACAGCCGATCCATCGCGCCACAGAAGCTTGGCCAAAGTTTGGATGTATTTAAACCCGGCTTGTACCGAATGGTAGCGAATGGATCTGATTATCATGACGTGACTCAAAAACTTCTGACATATGAAGAACGATTCTCGCACTTAAAAAGCTTAATCAGCAATCCGTTCAAGTACCTGGTCTATAGCCTCATTTTCGTAATGTATGTGGTATGTATATGTAATATGTATTCAATTCCTGATGCAATCAATTCAGCACATAGACCTGCTTCTTGACGGAAATACATCGGTGTCGCAATTGCTGTAGACTTTCTCGCTTCATGCAGGTGAGGTCGTGGATGTTGAAATAAGACCGGCTTTCTTTCCCTTCCTAGTAGTTGTACCCACTTTCTTCCTATGTCTGAATTGCTGAATGATCGGGCGGATTTATATCCAAACCAGAAAGTATATGCTCAAACATTCTGATACATCGAAAGATTCGTTTCCGGATACACTCAGTGTTTATTTATCTCATCACTTCGTGTATACGGCGCGTGCTCCTCGGTGTTCGGAGGTTTAGTGTTATCCTATCATGGGTTGACGCTCGCGTAGACAACTTCTTTGGGGTCCTTGTAGGCCCAGTTCTTCTATACCTAGAGCAGCGAACTCCTTCTTTTCCTTGCCATCCTCCATCAAGTATGACCTGGGGCTTGGAACTTTCGTGATTGGAACATACTCAACATCCCTCGTGTCGATGCTCGACTTTTGCAACGCTGGCCGTCTAACCCATCAGAATATCCTCAAAAGTCACCATGGTCCAGTTTCAAGGACCCATAGTCCTACTCGGAGAAGCTCATGACGAGTGAACTTTCTGTTCTCGCATCTTGTTTTGTATTTGAGCCTGGAAGACTTGTACCTCCTCCAATTTTCAGCCTAGTGCTTCCGTTACCAAGCCCACTGAGGCTCTTACGGCGTTTTCCGTCTCGGCTTGACACCGTCTACCAGGAATCTTATTCTTCCGCTGTCTAGCCCATGATTCGATGGACCAATTGCAACCTTCGATATGGATATCAACAAACCCTGCAACGCAGCCAGCCCGGATGTCAGCGCATGAATGATCTTGAAACAAGCTACTATGGATATCAGGCATTCGAAGCGTAACTCACATGAAGTTTTAGGATCAATGCGATGCTATCCACCATGAGAGGGTCAATTGACCAAGTTCTTTACTGAGAGTCATCAAGAAGACCAGGACAAAGGCTACAGAACTGAGTTATGTGTCCTCCTATACGTAATATGACTGATTGAGAAGCACCAGACATCTTGTATAGTTCGTGACGAGACTTTTCTCATCCGGCCATCCTTAGCTGTTGGCGATCAACCTCGCTGCTCCCAACGTACGCGAGGTGGTCCGGGTAGCGATAAGGCATCTGCATCAGCCGCGTGTGAAGACGACGCGGACATCAGGGGGGTTCAGGAAATCGGGTTCGCTAAGTCTTCCGCAGAGAGTCCGGGCCGGTGTCAAGGAGGTCGAAATAGCATAGCATGATGGTACAAGTTTTGCTGATTAAGTGAGTTCACGGAGGGCGGAGCGGGACACACCTGGGCAGATCACTAGTTCCAACGGCTGCTCCCGCGGCGTGGTTCCACTAGATGTTGCGGGCCACATGCACAGGGTCATGCAACAACAATGTCATGGGAATCAGGTTCTGTCATTGGAAGATGGATTGACAAGCCTTTGCAGCTTTGAAGCAACATCAATCTACAGCGGCTACGTAAGTAATAAAGGTCGGTAATATGGATCCTACATGCTCTTAGAATGCTCGTTGATTGAATAATAGCAGCAAAAACTGCCAACATGCTAAAGATGCCCCCTGTCTGCATTTCAGGAGTGAAAACGGTCACATACTGCTACCTACATGGCGTCAGGTATATATAATAACAATAATGATGATGATGCATATTTCAGCTTTTGATGGGCATACCTATATGGTCAGCAGACACAAGCGTGCTCTGGCGAATAAGGCATCAGGAAAGACTTCCCTGCGCTAGCCCAATACATCTAGTCAAAAAATACGGTGCCTTTGACAAAACCTTCTCGGCGCTGCCCGCAATTCGCACTTTGGGACGATGATTTGTCGCGCAAATAGGTCGCGTTATTTGCCTATTGCACTCCTTCACAGGAAACTGGACTACGGTTAATCAAGATGGTTGAGAAGACTTACGTTACCTATAATCAGGTATGCTCTCTCTCACCTTGTTCGCCCCGCAAGCACACGAGCAAGAGCTTCGGGCTAGGCCCCCTCTGGTGAAGACAGAAATTTATTTTGCTGCCACAGGTTCACAAGCTCTGCCAGGAGTCTGCAGACAGAATTCTCGATGACTTCAAACCCAATCTCATGGTCGCTATTGGCGGCGGAGGCTTTGTTCCCGCTCGTATCCTTCGGTAAATTTATGCGCCGTTCCCATCCTCGATGCGTATCCTGACACTTTCTCAGATCTTTCTTGAAGAAGCCTGGCAGCCCAAACATCCCTATCCAAGCTATCGGTCTCTCCCTGTACGAACAATTCGACAACTCGGGCCCAGTCGAGACTCCTGGCACAAAGGTGACCCGCACACAATGGCTGGACAAAAGCCTGGAGACCGCTGGAGTGACAACTCTCATTGGCAAAAATGTTCTGATCGTCGACGAGGTTGACGATACCCGTACTACACTAGAATATGCAGTCAAAGAACTGCAGAAGGATGTAGAGAAAGAGTCGGAAGAGGCTGCAAAGCGCGGCGAAGACGTAAAGAAGACTACTTTCAGCGTCTTTGTGCTTCACAACAAGGACAAACCCAAAAAGGGCAAGCTACCGAGCGAGCTGCTCGACGGAGGGAAGTATTATGCTGCGAAGACTACCGGTGACGTTTGGATATGCTACCCATGGGAGGCAACGTAAGTCAAGCTACGTTGCATCACCCGGCATACTCCGCGCTAACAGCTTTAGGGATATTGATGAGCATGACCGCTTGTCTGCTGCAGAGACCAATGCATGAAACAGGAGTCAAGTGCATACGCATACACTAGAGAATACATAGAAGTATAGCGAATTGGAGAGACCATATACGTTTAGATCAACCCTGACTGTCGGCCCTGCAGCTGTGCAGGCAAGTGTGCAGCAACAGCTCAATGCCAACTGCATTTTTCTCTCTTCAATGTGATCTTATAGCAAAGGTGAGTATAAAATATGATGAACAGAGAACAACACGTTTCACACTGGTCAAAGGGTCGTTCAAATATGACGAGCATGTATGCCCATATTGGAGTATATGGTTAGTTCCCAGGCAATACCGGTACATACCGGGCCTAATTCAAAACTTCGAGCCCAGTTTTCTGATGGCTTCCTTTGTACTAACTAATTTTCCCTCTTCTTCACCGATTTCTAGGTCCAGGTCTTGCATTTCTAAGGCATTGACTCCTTTTTTAGTCCATGATTTCCTCCCAAACTCCTCCGCAAACTTCAGTAATTGACCCAGCTCTTTTCCTGTGCTAGGCCAGAGTTGTCCTACAGTTTCAACGTCACTCTTGACGTAGACAGCATCTATTTCATGCCCCTTCTTATCGCCGAGGACTGCTGCCCATGCGCTCAACATCTCTCCATGAGGCATCCACTCCACTACGCCAAGAACATAGCCCACAGGCAAGCAGATACTTGGTTTTTCTAATATTTTCTGGACGAACAATCCTGTATTCACGGTGTGGTCACCGACCATTGGTACGAGCGTGTCTCGAGCGACTGGTTGGACCCAGACATATCTTCCTGCACTTGGTAGAGGGGCTGGCATGAAAGGTGCATATGTCACGTTTTCCGCATACATCCCTCCCCAATAGAACGTTGTCTTTCTAGCTAGCTCAGGATGGGAATCGATGATGTATTCGTCCACTTGAGCCTTGCCGTCCATGTGCGGTACAGCCATCGTCCCACGAGAGACTGTTGTAGCAGAGGGAAGGGTAGACCAGACGAAATGCTCGAGAGACTCCAAGGCTGCAGCGACATCAGCTATATTCTTTCCTTGTGTCACCTCGCGCTCCATTGCTCCATCGTACATCGTGGTGACTGCGAAAATGACGTGAGCTGAAGTAAAGGCCACGGCTATAGAATCTGGGTCATCGAGATTGACATGTACGACATTCACACCCCGTTCCTTCAGACGATGTGCGGCCGGCGTCTCTGTGTCTTCTGTTGTGACGCCGCGTATGTTATATCGTCCAGTTTTAAGCAAAGCGTCTACGACAGAGCCGCCTTGGCCACGTGTGGCGCCTAAGACTGCTATAATCCGTTTGCGAGTCATCGATACTGGGACAGGGCAGTCTCGGGCTATAGGCAACGTGATTGTTCAATGTAAATGATCCTGCTTACAAGTGTTGCGGAAACTGGATTACTTCACCCACGTCCGAGTTCTTGTAGGGTCGAAAGTCTTGGCAACTGGCCGCAGTAGGTACCTCTTCGATCGAGGGGTAGCCTGGGCCAGGTGAACGAATTATACCTTGATCAAGGCTTTGATAGCACTTGTTATGCCTTTGTACGCTTGATGCTATGTATAATGTATGAGGGATCTGCTTAAAGTGTGCGTTGTAACGCGATTGTCTGCTCTTGGTTGCTATTTAAAGCGGCCTCACCTGCATGCAGTTGTGGATCTCGACAGCTTACGTAGAAAGCTGTTACTGTCTCGAGAAATGTCTCCCATAAACGTTCTGTGGTCTGCCAAGCCACCAGCAAGACAGGCAGAGTCGAGCACAATGTCTTTGTTTCCAATCATTATAAAGCTCGTATAAGAATAGATCGTGCCTTTGCCGCCACAGGTCTACTCATATTAACGCGTAGTGATTACACGTGCTGTACCAACAACGGACAATACCTGTCAGCAACCTTCTGGGCACATGATCGAGTCCGTATATCTCAGCCCACAAGTCTCCCAGACAGTAAAAGCAACACTTAGCACACCCGTTCCAGAAACATCAGATTCGGTTCCCGTCTCTCATCTTCACTCATGGGTTCCGCGCATTCTCTGCTCCGCATGCCAAGATGTCGTGGAATAGATATCGAGGAAATGACGATCCTGCAACTGCAAAACCATCTCGACAAAGGGTCATTCACTTCCAGAGAATTGACAGAGTGCTATCTGAAGAGAATTGCAAAAGTCAATCCACTTGTCAAAGCTGTGATCGAGACGAACCCCGACGCTCTCAAGATTGCCAACGAATTAGATGTCGAGCGCAGGAACGGCCACGTACGTAGCGCGTTACATGGAATCCCTTTCCTCGTCAAAGACAACATTGCTACAAAAGACTCAATGCAGACTACGGCAGGTTGTGCGGCGCTTATCGATACATATGTCCCAGATGATGCTCAGGTCGTTGCACTTCTGCGGGCTGCTGGTGGTGTACTCCTTGGGAAAGCGAACTTATCCGAGTGGGCGTCCATGCGAGCAAGCTACTATTCGGAAGCGTACTCTTCCCGAGGAGGGCAGAACCGGAATCCCTACAATCTTGAGGAACACCCTGGTGGTTCTAGTTCTGGAAGTGCAAGTGCAGTAGCTGCCAATATGTGTGCTTTCAGCATCGGTACTGAGACTGACGGTAGCGTCATGTTCCCTGCAGATCGTAACGCAGTAGTAGGCATCAAACCAACTGTAGGCCTCACATCCACGGTCGGTGTCATCCCCGAGGCTCCAAGTCTAGACACGGTCGGTGTTTTTGGACGTTCTGTTCCAGATGTGGCTGCAGTCCTGGATGTCATCGCTGACACGAGCTCTCTCCCCGAGTCTCTACAGGCGAACACTGGCTCGTCATCCAACCCTCAGTGTACCAGAGGCTCATATACATCGCAACTTGCCAAGAAAGATGCCCTACGAGGTGCAAGATTCGGTCTACCGTCGAAACGGGTTTGGGACGCAGCGAGCAAAAACAAAAATTCTGTATTTGAATATACTACCCTCAGAGAAGTCACAGCTCGATTGGAAAAAGCAGGTGCGCAGATTGTGGATGTGGATTTTCCGAGTGCTGAAGAAATAATATCACCTGACGGCTGGGATTGGGAATTTGGAACAGGAGTCAGTGGCGCTGCCCTGTCTGAATTTTCAGTGGTCAAAGTTGAATTCTACCAAGGGTTACGAAAGTATCTTGCTACACTCGAAGGAAACAAAGGCCAGATTCTTTCGCTGGAAGATGTGGTCGCATATAATATCAAGTATACGAACGAAGAAGGAGGGTTACCAGGCACACACCCAGCATGGCCGACTGGGCAGGACAATTTCGACAGATGCATCGAGACCAAGAGCCAGGACGAAGATGTCTACACCAAGGCGCTAGCTTATATTCAACAGAAGTCTCGGGAAGAAGGTATTGACGCAGCCTTGACAGGTCAGAAAGGTAGGTTAGATGCGCTGCTCGTGCCTCTGCAAGCAGAAGGAGGTGGAGCGTGTTCGGTCGCTGCAAAGGCAGGCTACCCAATGATTACGATTCCAGTCGGCATCAACAACTTTGGTGTTCCTTTTGGATTAGGACTCATGCAAACAGCATGGAATGACACTGCACTGGTAAAATATGGATCGGCGATTGAGGACCTGATTCGAGGTCGATTACCCCCTCCCTTCAAGAACTTGAACGCGAACAATTATATGTACATTGGGAGTCCACCACAAGGTCATATATAGTAGCCAAATGACGCTGATTATTGGCATCAACTAATTTTGAACTTCTGTTTCGTCAACTTCCATCGAGTACGCCACGTCATCCGTCTTCTAGGTGTGTCATCCATGAAGGCAGCCTGCTCTTCATCGATGACTGGATCTTTTACGGCGTTTAAAAATTTCATCAGAACAAAGATTAAGATAACTGTAAACGCCGATACTGGCCCAGCTGTCTTCCAGAAATATGACGACGTATGAACAGTGTGGGCGATGTCCGTGAGGTTCATCCCAAAATATGACGTGAAGAAGGACAGGGGAAGGAAGATAATAGTAACAGCCGTAAAGAAAAAGACAGATCTAGATTGCATCCTTGAGCTTCTAGCCTCGTCTATGGCTAGGGTGCGTTGTTGCGTTGCCAAATGACTTTGGGTCACGGTCAATTCTTGCTGTTCGAGAACACGGAATTGAAGAAGCACGTCGAGATATCGATCTACCTTGCCTTTCAACGATGTCCAATGCCCAATAATAGTGTCGAAGCTCTTATCGATCAGATCCATCTCATCCTGTATCAGTTTTTGAATTAAAGGAGGTGGAGCATAGTCCTGATGAAAAGAGACCTTGTGATTCTCAAACGGAGGTATTCCCCAGATTGGAAGTTCGCGTCTATTCTCCTCGAGATACTCCAACCCTTCAAGTACAGTCTGTTGTAGGCTGAACACGAGTTCCACATGTTTGCGACTAGCGCCTCGCCTACTTTTAAGCCTTGTAAAGACCTTGTTCAGAGCCCTCTCCGGCGTGTCTTGCATCATCTCATCATTCTCTATCGAAACGCGACACAAAGTGTAATACAAGAGAGCGGAGTCAGGATTCTTTCGAAGTAGATCCTGTTTTCGAAGCAGTCGATTAGCAATTACTTTGTAGAGATTAGGGGTACCGCAGCTCAGCAATGTGTGATCCCTATAGAACTCGAGTCTCTCGACAGTATCGTCCCAGCTGCCATAGAGATACACATTCTCCAACTTCGCGATCTTATGCAATTCTTGAAGACCTGGTTTCGCATCATACATCCGATCCCTAATCGCATCGACTGCGTTGAGATACGCGAGAACATACTCGAGGTCGTTGTCTTGGCTCTTTTGTAGACTCTTACGTAGAGCGAGACGGCGATTCAGAAAGTCAAGAAGTAGAGAGTAAGGCTCCGTAGCGAACCAGGCCGATGAATTGACGCGAAGGCCTAGATATTCTGGAGAGCCTGGGGTCTGGCGATAGTACCGTCCAATATGTTTGTGATCTGTTTAGAGAAGTATAAGCCAATATCTGACGAGACGGAGCTGTGCTCTAGCCTCTATCACTAACCATGTATGTCTTCTGTGTGCAACGGCGGACGGCCCGCCTTGTGGTCTAACTCTGCGAGTCGGTCTTGAAGAAGAACGATTGGTGATTTTTCAAACAAAGCAGGATCCGTTCCCCACTGAGCAAATCTATAATCTGAGCCCCAGAAAGTGCCTGTTTTGTAGTACTCCACATAAATCCATCTGATACGTGGTATTGCATCTCCGGGCTGTAATATACACTTCGAGGCTAAGACTTCCTCCAACGTATACTCCATTCTTCGCACAACATCCCTTGAGTACTCTGTGATGATCACTTTGGCCTCCTCGATAGGTGGAAAGCATTCATTTACCAGAGCAAACAGTTCTTGACGCGTTGGTTCCTCGAGACCAGGAGCAGTGACTGTTGACCTTTGGCGCACGACTGTATCAAGGCTTGGGATTGTGCCAAAGCTGACTCTCGAGCCAGCAAGAGACATATTAGAGATGTTTCGTAACTTCGCCCGCCTGAATCTACATGGTGCAAGCATTAGCTACAGTATCTACTTTGCGTGGACATCCTTACCTTTTTAATTTTGAGATAGCCACTTCGCTTTTCTCCCTCCGGGCCTGCATATGTTGATCATGAATAAACCTCAACCAACCAACAGCTCTATCGACTTGGTCCACTGCGCCTGGCGCAGAGTCTCGCCTTCGCTTGCATGTTAATCTAGGGGCAACACCGTTGTATATATTACCGACGCCGTTCCCAAGATGTTCCGCAGAACCACGGCGTTTTAGGAGAGGACCTGACTTATCGAATGGTGGAGGGAGCTCCGCCCTCCAATCAGTGACCTTTTCTGGTCTCATGGACGTAATTGAATAGTGAATTCTGAGGGCTCGTATAATATGTATAGGATGAGATACTTATCAAGTGATGCATGTTGATGGTGCCGAAACATCTGCAACATATAATGCTACTTGGGCATCATGATTATTGATGCCCAGGATTGATGCCTACAGTTAGCCTTGTCTGTTATTGTTCCACGGTTGTGATCTCAGTGCAGTTATAAGTTGCCAGCCTTGCTGCCCAGATAATGAGGCTGGGTGGCGCCATAAGAATCGGATCATCTTACTGGACCTCAAAATCTACATGTGTTGTGACAAATCCATTGCAACGGATATCGACAAGAGAGCCGTATGCTGCAAATGATGCTTCAGTCACAAATACATCGCGATGTACATGATAACAAACGCGTGGTTGATGGGAGCCACACCGTGTACCTCGAAACACACCGCACCACACGAGACGGGAGTTGTCGGCCTTTGGACCCGGAACACAATATTAACGAACACGATGGAAGACTGATGTACGACTTCCCGAAAGTCCTACCTCTAGTAATGCTACTACGTGTTCCTATATGTGAGGCCACAACCGAACCGACCCATACAACTCATGCTATTGGACAGCTTACTCTCAGGCCGCACAGCCTCACAGCTGCAGGTGTCAGATGCCCGCACGTCCATTGCAGCCTAGACCGCCGCTGAAAGTCGTTAGCGCTTCTTCAGCTTATCGTGGGCATCTCCAGAAAATTCTTGGGTTGGCTTAAATATTTGCTATAAAGGTCATATTGTGGGCATATCGATAGAACAACTGTTGGAATTGACAGATGGTTGAGTCTAACCCAGGAATGGCAGAGGAAGTCAAGGAGGATCCCAAAACCAATGGAGAGTTAAATACAGTGGATATGAAGGAAGTTAATGGCTCTGGTAAGCCCCCAGATGTGAAAGAAGAAGTAGTCGTCGCAGAACCCGAGAAGGTTGTTAGTGGCCCGATTCTAGAGGCTCCAGAAGTTCCACTATTGGCCTTCCCGAATGATGTAGATCAGACAAGTGAAGCGAAATACAAGAACGGACACCCAAGTCGTACGCAGAGTCCAAACAGAAGCCGCAATCGGAACCGAGGAAGAAGCGCCGACTCTCGCGGTAGGGACAGGAATTCAAATGAAGAGCGACCTGTTCCGAAGGTGGTTCACAAGATCGAGTATCGTCATGTCTCTTCCAACGCCGTTGTTTTCGAAGAAGAATCTGATCGCTTTGCTCCGTCAAAGCCGCCACCGGAGGAGCCAGTGCTCGAGGTCATCACGATAGCCTTTACGGCTCAGGACAGGTCTCCGTATTCATACAGGCACGATGTCATCAAACCACCACCGATTCATTCGATGGGCCATACATACGTCCAGGTGAACTCCGCTGCTGTTATCAATGCGTTGCGTAACGTAGTGGAGTACTATCCAGGACAGAATCTAATAGGAGACTCTATCACAATCTCCGAGCCGTACACTATTCTAGTCCATCACGAACAAGAGCTTGCTCAGTATCGAGAGATGTTCGCTCCTGGCTCACGAGGTGTTGATGATGAGCCATGTGAAGTGGAGGAAGATACCTACGAACACCTCGGCATCGTGCTGGACTTCTTGTCAAAGACTATGAAAGACAGCATGGAAAAGGAGAGGGCTCGTCACGCTCGGGACAAGCCCCTGGCCACATATGAGATGCTGTGGACTCTTTACAAACCCGGAACAAATGTCTACTTTGATTCACAAAGCGCCGGTATCTTCGACAGTTTCGTTGTAAAGAATGTCAGTTGGGAGATTAACAATGGAGCCCCCGTTCGATACAACATCGGCCTTTGGAACCTGTACTATGACTCCATTCATATAGGGCCAAGAAATCATCATGCAGTTGTGTTGCCATTTGATGGCGAAAAGGAGATTGGCTCACTGGACATATTCCCGTGTGAGTATCTCAGAGAAGATCTACATAAGGAGACAGCCGAGGCAATGCAAAAGCGATTAGAAGAGAGAGGTAAAGTATTCTTCAAGTTGACTTCGAAGCAATGTATGTGGTACGATGGCTTGACCACAACATTTCCCCGCCAGAAGGTACACAAGCCATATCTCTTGAGCACAAACGCGGACTGACGTATACACAGTTCACCGGTACTGTCATGGTTGATGCCGAATCGTTTTGGGCATCCCTACAAGAGAAGTCCGGTAGCAAATCTGGCTCTCCGTCTCCCCCACCACTTATAAGTGATGATGTGGGAGAGCGAACAATAGGAGGCATTCCGACGTGCTTCTGCAAAAGATGCGTCAAGCTCAATAGCTCGAAAAAGAAGTCCAAATTCGCAGATTATGCACGCATCAATCCCATGACACAGAAGGAACTCACACCACACCAGTATTGGCTCTGCGATCGATCTGTCTGGGGCTTTATCATGAAAGTCCGCGCATGGCGTAAGTAGCACACACCTTCTCACCTCTATCTGCTGACATTTAATCAGACCGTCTCGATGCTGCCAACTTCTCTGCCGCAAAGTTCGATACCACACTCATGAACGACCTCGTTCTCGCATCTGACACCAAGAATCTGATCAAACTACTCTCGAAAAAGTACGCTCGTGAAACACCCGCTCCAGCTGCCGACGCTCCTGAAGCGGACCACTGGGCCGCAGATTTTGTGCAGGGCAAAGGAGAAGGGATGATTTTCTTGCTCCACGGCAAGCCTGGTGTAGGAAAGACGTACACAGCTGAATGCGTGGCTGAGTACACACGCCGCCCGCTGCTGAGCCTGACTTGCACCGACATTGGGACGAATCCTCTTGTCATTGAGAGTAAGCTGGCGTACTGGTTCAAGCTGGCTAAGCACTGGGGCACGATTTTGTTGATTGACGAGGCAGACATTTACATGGAGCATAGAAAGACGCGGGATTTGGAGAGGAACAATCTTGTCGCGGGTTTCTTGAGAGCGATGGAGTACTATCAAGGAATCCTTTTCCTGACTACAAATCGAGTGGTGAGTTATTTGAAGCAGACAATGGTGGCTCTGGGCGAGTGGCTGATGTTCTGCTTAGGGTACTTTCGACGATGCATTCATCAGCCGCATTCATGTGAGCATCCATTATCCAGAGTTTAGCGAAGCAGACCGCAAGGAGGTGTGGATTAGCTTTTTCCGCAAGCTGGAAGCCGAGAAAGGGGATAAGATGGTTGTATGCGACGACGTAAAGACATATGTCACCGACGACAAGGACATGCGAGTTGTGAAGTGGAATGGGCGAGAAATTCGGAACGGTGAGCACAACTTATGAGTTGACATATTGATATTAACACTCCACAGCATTCCAAACCGCAGTTGCACTCGCTGAAGTGGAAGACGAGAAGGTTTCAGCCGACGACGACCGGGTGGTGCTCAAGATGAGCCACATCGAGTCCATTGTTAAGATGTCGGCTAATTTCAAAACGTATCTGAACACGCTGCATCAAGGAGACGAAACGAAGCGGGCGGCGAGAGAAGGGTTGCGTGTTGATGATTTCGAAGAAGCTGTTGAGAGGGAGAAGAAGGGGTTCGCGCATTACATGTGAGGCAAGACTATGATGATACAAAGGGCTACAACAGTAGAAATGAGCGAGATGAAGTATACGCACGGGTCGATTTTCTGTATAACGTTGGGAAGTACATATAGTAGCACAATTAAGTGTTTTGAATGCTGATTTGCCGGCGTGAGAGCATCGATCCACTTCCGCACACTTTCGATTGGACACGGAAATCTTTGAGCCTGTTCATGAGAATCGTGATGTATGTGTAGATCAAACGATGGTCCTTCAACTTTACGTAAAGTGAGTTGGCGTTGTGTAAACAGTATTCCTGGTTATCGGCGGCTCAACAAGAGGACTCCAGGAAAACCCTGAGATGCGGCGTGCACGGGCGTTAATGTAGCGGTGTCGGAGAAGTCTGGGGCGTGGATCCTGGAGCTTAAGCTTGCTATCGGGGAAAAACGGTAGATAACGCCTTTTTGACTCTCCCAAAACGCCGGCTCTTCTACTCCACATACATGTCCTTCACTCTCACTCACTCACTTACTCTCTCTCTCTTTCTCTCCCTTCTCCCTCCTCTACAGATCTCAATCCGCTTTGTAAAGAGTGCAATTGGCTGTGGTTGTGCCAGCAGCGCTCGTCGAAGAGTCATTCACGTCATTTCGGCCGACCTCGTCGCCTGCTAATTACGCCCCACTACATTTTCAACATTTCCGGCCAACATTGTAGACGCAAACAGTATCGCACCACGCCAAGGACCCAGTGAGCTCTATAGCTCCAGCAACAGAGAGAAAGCCGACTCAAGATGCTCTCCTCGTGTCGATCAATTGCGTCCAGGCGCGTCCTGTCGGCGCGTACTACGCCGATTGCCACATGGCGGCTGTCAGGTAGCAAATGTCTGGTTGCGACGCGAAGCCAAAGCATATACAAGAGGACCTTCTATTCAAGCGCAGAGAAGCCGACCAACGAATCTGCAGATGTAGTCCAAGCTACAAAACACACCCTCGACACATTCGCCCGCCGACATGTCGGTCCGTCCTCCGAGTCCGAGCAGAAAATGCTCAGAGCTCTAGACCCTCCAGTCGAGTCGCTAGACGAGTTCATCAAGCAGGTCATACCACCAAGTGTACTCTCGTCTAGGAATATAGAAGTTGGAACCTCGGGTAAAGACGCACTGCCAGCTCCGTTGACCGAGGAGAGCGCAAAGAACGTGCTGATAGATTTGGCGAACGAAAACCAGGTATTTCGCAGCCTGATAGGGTGTGGCTATGCAGGAACCATTGTTCCGGAGGTCATCAAGAGAAACGTACTGGAGGGACCTGGTTGGTATACGAGCTATACCCCATACCAGCCCGAGATCAGCCAGGGCCGCTTGGAATCCCTCCTAAATTTCCAGACCATGGTATCTGATTTGACGGGACTTGCAATCTCGAATGCGTCAGTCCTAGATGAGCCCACTGCTGCAGCTGAGGCTATGACGCTTGCGGTGAACTCTCTGCCCCCGAAGAGGCAGAGGAGGCCTACAAAGGTATTCTTCGTCTCGCATCGGTGCCACCCGCAAACCATTGCCGTGCTTGAATCTCGCGCTGAGGGCTTTGGAATCACGATCAAGGTCGGTGACATCCTTGAGAATGGCGGCAAGAGCATAGACGATATTGGCGAGGATCTTATTGGTGTCATGGCGCAGTATCCGGATACTGAAGGTGGTGTAGATGACTTTAAGAACATCGCCGATAAGGTGCACAAGCTGGACGGAACGTTCTGTGTAGGAACGGATTTGTTGGCTTTGACTATGCTCACACCTCCTGGCGAATTTGGAGCGGATGTCGCCTTCGGTAATGCGCAGCGTTTTGGGGTGCCCCTAGGATATGGCGGGCCGCACGCAGCATTCTTTGCCTGTAATGAGAAGAACAAGAGAAAAATTCCTGGTCGACTTGTTGGCCTGTCAAAGGACAGACTTGGTAACAGCGCTGTGCGTCTTGCTCTTCAGACACGAGAGCAGCACATCCGAAGAGAAAAAGCCACGAGTAACATATGTACCGCCCAGGCACTACTGGCTAATATGAATGCTTTCTACGCAATCTACCATGGTCCGAAGGGACTACGAGCCATTGCTGAACGCGTACGGTCTTTAGCAAGGCTTCTTCAGGAAGGTCTCATTGGGGCTGGATTCAAGACTGGCAGGCGCGGACAATTGGACAACAAGCCCGTGGCATTCGACACCGTTGTTTTTGAGAGTGGAAGCCAGACCAAGGACGTTTTGCAGAGGTTGAACAAGGCTAGATACAATGTACGCACTTTCGACGAGAGCCACCTTGGGATTACTGTAGACGAGGCCGTCACATACCAGACCGTACAGCACCTTCTAAAAACGATAACCGGAAAAGACGTAGGCGAGCAGAGTGGTGTAAAATCATTTGCTTCCGAAGTACCCAAGCATTTTCAACGAACGTCCGAATACTTGACGCACCCAGTGTTCAACAGCCATCACTCGGAGACGGAACTCCTTCGTTACATTCATCACCTGCAATCCAAGGACTTGTCTCTCGTTCACTCTATGATTCCACTAGGCTCCTGTACAATGAAGCTGAACGCGTCTACAGAGATGGCACCTGTTAGTCTGCCAGGATTCTCCTCAATCCACCCGTTCGCTCCAGTCGAGCAGGCTCAAGGCTATAAGAAGTTGATTGAAGAGCTAGAGGCAGATCTGGCACACATTACCGGCTTCGACGCTGTATCGCTGCAGCCAAATTCAGGAGCCCAAGGAGAATTCCTCGGACTACGTCTCATTCGCAAGTACCTCGAGCAGCAACCTGGAAAGAAGCGCGACATCTGTCTTATTCCCATATCCGCACACGGAACCAACCCAGCCAGTGCAACCATGTGCGGTATGAGAGTGGTGCCACTGAAGTGTGATCCCGTGACCGGTAATCTGGATATGGCTGACCTGGAGGCAAAGTGCAAGAAGCACAGCGAAGAGCTCGGCGCAATCATGGTTACATATCCCAGCACTTTCGGTGTGTTCGAGCCGAAGATCAAAGAGGTCTGCGAGATGGTGCACCAATACGGAGGGCAGGTCTACATGGACGGAGCGAACATGAACGCTCAGATTGGACTCTGCTCTCCAGGTGAGATTGGTGCTGATGTCTGCCACCTTAACTTGCACAAGACCTTTTGTATCCCTCACGGCGGTGGTGGTCCAGGTGTCGGCCCAGTTGGTGTCAAAAACCATCTTGCACCGTTCCTGCCCGGCCATCCTCTCGTCAAGACTGGTGGCGAGAAGGCCATCGCACCAATCAGTGGTGCGCCATGGGGAAGTGCCAGCATTCTCCCTATCAGCTGGGCGTATATCAAGATGATGGGTGGAGTTGGCTTGACCCACGCTACGAAGATAACCCTGTTGAATGCCAACTACATTTTGTCTCGACTTAAGCCCTACTACCCAATCCTTTACACTAACCAAGAAGGACGATGCGCGCACGAGTTCATCTTGGACGTGCGTAAGTTCAAGGAATCCGCTGGCATCGAGGCTATCGACATCGCCAAACGCTTGCAAGACTATGGTTTCCACGCACCGACCATGTCGTGGCCTGTTGCAAACACACTCATGATCGAGCCTACCGAGTCCGAGAGCAAGGCAGAGCTTGACCGCTTCTGTGATGCACTGATCTCCATCCGTAAGGAGATTGAGGCAGTAGAAAAGGGAGAGCAACCAAAAGACATCAATGTTCTCAAAATGGCCCCTCATACCATGAGAGACTTACTCCAAAGCGATTGGAACAGATCATATGATCGAGAAGCCGCCGCATATCCCCTACCATATCTAAAAGAGAAGAAATTCTGGCCGTCCGTAGCGCGCTTAGACGATGGTAGGCCCCACATTCCCCTAACCTCCATTCCTCATGCCACTAACACATCCGTAGCATACGGCGATACCAACCTCTTTTGCACGTGCGCGCCCGTTGACGGCGGCGAAGAGATCACTGGCATGGAAGCTCCTCAGCCGACATAATACGAAAAAAGAATTCAACATGCCTTCCACCTTTGCATAGCAGGGCTCGGCGTTTCAACACTGGGAAATACCCAATTATATTGTACGATTTGATTCATCTCAATACGGTTCGGAGAACGGCGCTTTTGGGTTTGGATATAAATACGGCGTTCAACAATCATAGATCTGGACCGTGAGATGCCTTCTTAACAGGGCGAAATAGATGGACGATGGAGAGACCCTGAGGAATAGGCATGGATATAACATTACCGTACAGAGGTGAAAGCAAGTATGTAAGAAATACAACAGTCCACTTTATATATCTCCCTATCCGTCACCCCTCATCCTACCAGTCTAAATCTTTGTAACAACCCCCTCCCCACCCCTCCCACACAAGTCCTTCTAGTTATCACAGACCCGCACAATCACATCCTCCCCATTCATCTCCGAACCTTTCAAATCCAACCGTATCGTCTGCCGACACGCAAAGCTCCCATCAGCAGACACTCCACTGGGCAGTTTGTCGAGCAGCACCTTGCACACGCGTCCGCCCTCCGGCAGCCCGGGGTATCGCAGCTCGACGACGCTGCCGGTGACGGGTATGACGTGTACCGGCGCAAATGCCGTGCCAACGGTGCAGGGCCGGACGCTAGAGCGACTGTGTACGTCGGCGGCGTGAGAGGGGTCAAGGGGGTCGATGGGGGCGAGAGGGGTGAGGGCCGCGAGAGGAGTGGCTAGGGCGAGAGGGAGGAGGGTGAGGAGTGAGAGGATGAGAGTTGAGCTGGGCATTGTTGTTATTGTTGTTGGTGGTGGTGTTGCGTTTGTTGAGATGAGCGAGGCTTGACTGGGGATTATAAAGTGAATGAAGTCTGATATGGTGTTTGGGACAGTATTTGATGAGTGTTTGTTATAGACGTTCTCAAGCAGATGGATGGATGATACAGAATATCAAAAGATCCGGCGCGAGACAATGATATATAAACTCGACATATCTTCTCCTCACCCATTCATCACCAGCACAAACGCCCTCTTCTATACCATCAATCTTCTAAACCCTGTCTCTCTCAACATACCCCATATCCCCTCCGCCACTCTCATCAATACTCACAAACAAACAGAAAAGCCGTGTCACATTATCGCGCGCGCAACGAGCTCGCCAGGTAACCCTGCACACATACATGCACATACACACGCACACACGCTTCATCAAGGAAAACCTTCTTTTAGCTACGGAACTACGGCATCGCCAATTGATAACCTGCTGTGCTGCGCTCCATATTTAGCATCGAACATACTCGTTCCATGCTTGCGCTCGTGATGATTTTCTCCGGGTACGACTCATCCCACACTAAGAAATACTGGGACGGGGGGGTGGAGTGGTGATTGGGCATGGGAAGGTTTGTTTTGATTTGACGAAACGAGGGGCGCTGCGGTGGGTGGTTGCGGCGCAGCACTGCCGTACGTTGGACGGCAGACATGTATTCCGGACATGGATGGGACTGTAGAGGTTGAGGGGGGATCGGGATGTATATGTCCGCAGATTCTACGCGCGAGGGGTGGGACATGGAGAGGTTTATGGGACGAAGAGCTTTTCTACTGTGTGTTCCTCGTGCAGAGGTGGTGCTGCTGATGGGACTTCCCATTTAGGAAAGGCTTCAATTCTGCTGGGCGTTGTTCCCCGCAACATATTCCAAGGTGATCGGAAGTCCCGATGTCGCGCTCATACTCTCCTTCACCATACTGTCATGTTCTTACTCTATTATGCCCTACTAGTAGCTTCCCAATCCAGCCACGCTTCGAACGGCGTCAAAATACTGCATCTCGTCGATAGCCGCTGAAAGAACTCACAAGTTGTCTTCATCAATTCTGCCAGCCGATGCGCAATAATCTGAAGAACCCGGCTTCTTGGAAACCTGCACCGCCCACCGATCCCAAATTTACGACAGAACTCTGGAGCACAGTCCGCAGCATGAGCGCAAGCTCTTCTATACCAATCGGTACAAACCCAGGGAGGAGAGGCAGAAAAGCTGGCACTCCGAGCACGAGGAATGTTGTAAGGGAAATACCTCATTCTCCTCCATCAACTACCTTAGAGATCGCATCGATCGCCGAGTCCTCTATCACTGCAAAGAGCTCGACGAGGTCAAAAGCACCAACCGGACCTCGCAACATTCGATTTGAAGAGGAAGTGCTTCGGCGACATGGGATCGAAATTGACCGCTCTAAGCGCCCAACATCGGGTCCATTCGACTATTTCGGTACGAAGCAAGACGACTATACCACAATAGACAGCCTCAACCACATTACCATCTGGATGGCCGCAAGCAACGAGGAGCTCCAAGCGATCGCGAACGAATACACAGAGATGATGCGTCAGAAACTCTGCGAGGATGAGTACGCGACTTTTGCGAAAGAAAATCTTTTAAAAGGCCCACGGCGCGCTGGCTATGTCGCCGAAGACGGCCTGTTCCGTATCCAACGCCTAGTTAACCCCTTCCTTGCACCTGACCATTCCAATCACTGGGTCGTACCGCCGAAGATGATCGAAGACGGGGCTGATTGGAGCTGGGATATCAGACCGGACTGCTCGTACTGGTTATCGCTTCGGGGCTTCAACGAGGACTGGCGATCGCAGGTGGAGGACGTTACATATGTGAAGAAAGTCGTTGCATGCCCATACTTTACGGTTGAGTTTAAGCGCGATGGCGAGCCTGACGATGTCGCAATTAAGCAGGTCGCTGCTGCCGGGTCAATTGCCGTTTACAATCGGTTTCACTTACACCGAAACGCCCTACAATCACACGCCCTAAAGAAGTCCATCGTCTGGACGCCAACTCCTGCCGCCGAGATCCGCCACTTTGGCCTCACATTCGTCGGTAGCACCTATGCGCTCTGGGTGCTTAGGCCTGCCACTACGGAGGGAGGAGACTGGGCTGGGTGTACGATGGAACGGCTGCGTGGTGGAGACTGCGAAGCAAGTGTTCATAACACAAAAGTTTTGTTGGAATGGATCAATGAGATCCATCGATGGGGTGTGACAGTGCATGGGCCGGCATGTAAAGATGAGATAAAGGTGTGTCTGCAGCGCGATGGGGTGAGAACATCTGACATAGGGAGCAACTGTGGCTCATGAGGAAATCGTGGATTAAACAGAAACCTGAAGCACGGATCACCGCACTCCTTTGTCTCCTACGAACTGTTTGATCTCGTCTTGGTTCCTGCAGTAGCAAGGAATCCGGTTCACATGAAGTATCTTATGCTCTCGTTGGCAAGCATACAACCTCAGTCTCTACTATTGTGTGTGTACTGAGAATTTGATCGCCTCTGGCAAAAGCCTGGCTTAGGCACGGGGGAGGGGCGGACTCAGTCATGAACAGAAGCTCTTCATACTTGACATCAAGCAATGAGAATTCAAGTGTCCTCATAGGGAGTGAGTGAGTGAGCTAGTAGAGCTAAGTAGGTATGTACTCAATGACTGTATCTGCCGTGCCCGAGAATGAATGTACAGTACAACACCAAGCAGTCAATGTGCCGCATCAGTATGAAAGGGCCATGACTAAGAAGCAGTATTGAGAGAGCACTGCACCACACACGAGATGAGCAGCAGTAGGAAATCCACGTTTAACCTGTACTGTATTCTAGCGCCAAGACCAAATGCCCCCCCCCTTTCGAGTCTCGAGCTTGTACCTAAATAATTAGAGTCTGCGATCTAATAATACACATAAAGTAGTAAGATTAGCGCCCGATCGCGCGTGGCTGGGGCATGGATGTTCGCTGTTCCAGGCCCTGCGTGCTGCTGGCTGCTGCTGCGCCGTCAGGGGGAAAAAGGCCAGGTTCCTGGGCCATGCTTGAGCATGCATGCATGCGCACAGCTGAGCCTGAAACTCCCGGATCGTGAAGAAGACCCACGATTCTAGGCGATCGGATTAGCATGCATGGCTTAATGATCCAAGCCAATATAATGACTCCAGGATGTTGGGTAAGATGTGGCGCAGCTAGACAGCACGAGAATAAAGTCAGAAGATCGACAAAAGTCGAGACGAGTGCTTGGGCGCGCATTGACTCAGCACTGGTTTTGGCGCTGATTTACGTAAATTGTATGCTACATTGGAGTTGATTAACGAAAAGATGCTTGAGAAATGTGTCTATTAAAAACATCTACCCTGTTCTCTTTCAGCGGCTGTAAGCGCCAGGGATATCTCTGCTATGCCACGTCTCTCTCCCAACCAACTCCAACTGCCAAACTGGTTATATGTCGCGTCATAGCTGCCAAACAAAAGAAATTGCATACAATGAACGAACTGTAAATATGGGGAAATAGACGTCGATGAATGAATGTGCACTTCTGTGCTACCTGATCTACGCCAGGTGGCCAGCAAGACTCCGCACTCGACTTTTGGTTTACAACACGGGACTGTCCCCTTGGGAGCCGCCCAATATCATTCAAAAGACATGCAAGTTAAAGAACGACAAAAGTCATCTCGCGTATTCAATGACTAGCTGTGAATATGCACCTCAGTGCTACCTGACCTGTGCCAGGTGGCCAGCAAGACGCCGCAGCGTCCACACTTATGTTGGACATCTTTCAGCGAGTTCATCAGGTAGGGAATGCAGCCGAGACAGACGAGACAGCACAAAGCGAGTGCCCAGGCGCTAAAGCATAGTTAGCAAATATGCCGCGGCGAAGCGTGGCGCACGAAAGTCTAAACTTACTGTGTGGAGTTACCAACTTCATAGTTGATGCTGCTCATGGCGCGCTGGCCACAGGCAGGGCAATCTACAGGTGCAGGGCCACGTCCGAGTGAGGCAATAGGGGTTACATTCTGGAATTGACGTTGCTCGGTGCCTTGCATCATCTGGGATTGAGCGCCGGGTGTGTGCGCTTGAGGAGCGGGCGAGCCAGCAAATTGACCAGCTGGAGGTGAGCCGGCATATTGGCCAGTATGTTGAGGCTGTTGTTGGAAGTACTGCGGCTGGCCAGTCTGTTGATGCTGCATGGGAGACTGAGCTGGGTAGCCCTGAGGAGGAGCATACGGCTGTCCTTGGGGAGGAGGGCTGTTTGGGTCGTGATATACGGGCGGTTGTTGAGAATGCATCTCAGTGGCTTGAGGGTAAGTGGCTCCTGATCCAACAATAAGCTTGTGCCGAACGAAGAAGCGCGAACCATTTTGCGAATTGCGTACCTTGCTTCTCCATTGTGAACGAAAAGTTGTCTTGTTAAATTAACGGTATATCTGGTACTGTGGGCGTGGCTGAAGTTGAGGGTTGAAAGTATCGGAGAGAACAAAAGTCGTGTAAAGTTGGGAATAAGGACCTATATATTAGGACCGGGTACAAATTACAAGGCTGAGCGAAAGGCCCACGGTTCGGCCCCAATTGGCCAAAAGTTGAGCGCTTCACCACCACCGTCTGGCTCCCCTCCCGTATTCTGACTCTGGAACACACAATCTATGCACGCTGGACCTCAGCTCGTTGCCCTTAACAGTGGAGTTGGCGTGGCGGAGGGGCCAGCTACGGACCCGCTGATTGGCTGACTGCTGCGGATCAGACACGCTAGTCAGATCTGGTCAGATTCCTCCTAGGCCGGCCGCCGCGAGAGCCACAAGGCAGAATTGGGGTCGATAAACGGACAAGTCGTCTTGCACGCGCCCAATGACCATCGTTGTGGGCGCATGAGGATGAAGCAGAACTTACCTGCATATCTGGCTAGACGTTCTCCTTGCATCTCCTCATAGCAGCTAGAATCGTCTGCAGCTATTGTCTCGTGTTCGGCAGTGCGAGCTCCAACCGTAGTCATTTGCGTTGTTCCAGTCTTCCAGATGGACTGGATGCCAATGCACTATTTAACGTCCGAGGAAGTAATTGGGTATCTTTGTGCAACCAAAAAAATGCCCGTTCCTATATCATGTCGGAATCCCCTCTGCGCCAGGGATCGGAAACGCTTGACACTCCTCCATAGTGATAGCCTCTGATGATGCCGAAATAGAAGACGCCGGGAACTGACAGCTTCAGGGTTTCGTTCCTCAAAGTAGTAATCGCGGTAGTCCTATCATATCTTATACGTTAGACCCCTGGGCTGCTAAAGCTCTAGTATGCCACCCAGTGAACATACACCCCAAACTCGGTGTTCCGGTATACTCTGTCTTCATGTCCATCATGGCTTGCAACGCATTGGTCTCTCCGCATCCAAATGCTCTTTCATACATTGACTCTGAAGAAGAAGCCATAACAATTTAACGACGGATGTCACCGTGTTCCATGTCCCAGTAGCCACGGCGCGTGGCTGTGAGAGTCGGCTGCAGGTAGGGTCCAGTCCCACCTTTAGCACTAGCCAAGTACAGGGGCAAGCGAGCTCTCAGCTGTTGAGTATCGCGTCCAGTTTCGACACCATCTTCTTGAGATGCTTCATAGCATAAGCCACTGTCGAAAATCGCCATGCCTCAGACTAGCCGGAGCTGAGGAAGGCATCGACGCGGGCTATATCTGGTGCCTGCGAAAACAGGGCTCTAAATCATATTATAGCCTTGTGTCTGTGAGAGTTGGGACTATGTGGTAGGATGAGGTGATCAAGATCCGGTCGAAGAATGACAGTCACAGAGGGTCCTGCTGACCGTAGATTTGATTGAGACTTCAAAGCAAAACAAGGAAACATACGACAGTGGACGTTGTGAGGTGGGGCCACTACCATTTATATGTGCGGACACAACCACAACAAGGTACTCAAGTGCAACTTCCATGTGGTCCCTTGGTCCCAGGCTAGCGCCTCGTCGCAATACGCGTACAGATCACGAGAAGACGTAAGCAGGTTGAAGTGCCAACATGTAATTAAGCATCTTTAGAATCTGCTTATGTGTTCGAGCAGTACGAAGAACCTAAGAATGGAACATATAGCCATCTGCTTCATCAGATGCGATAATGTTGGCTACAGCCATGTCGTATGATGTCCACTTGTCAGTTAAGTCATGATGGAAGCCAGGATGCTCGTAAGTGTTTGTTCTAGGATTCCTGGCCTCCTCTGTTCCACTCGTGACTATCATTGCAAAATTAGAAATTCGTCATGCTATTTGTCCTGAGGTCGTTTTCCTCTAATCGCTTTGTTTAACTCCTCTGCTTCGTGCACTCAATTTGTCTCATCTGTGCGAGACCGCAACGAAATACTGCTTTGATTTCATTGAGACAAATGGCGCGGCAATCAGACCCTCGCGTCCACTCTCAAACAGTCATACCCGCAAGTGAGTCAAACTGAATGCCGAGAGGAGTCGATCGAAGAAATGGTAGGAACAGATAGACCTAAAGTATCCGACATTGGAGTATAAGATTTTCGTTACTACACCTTCATGAATGTGTGTGAACTGAAGAAAGCAGTTCAGTCATTATCCACGTAGACAAACACCGAACGCAGTAGATTGTGAATTGGCGTCACGGATAGGGTTGTCAGCACTAGGCTTGCTTGAAGCGCGATATATCTATCGTACGACACAATAAAATGTCTCCGGCATTTCGTAAGATGCTTACGCGTCTATGTGTGTCTACGGCTTCACTGCACATTCATCGCTGGCTGTCTGTATTAAAGCCGATTTGTATTCAGAATGATTACTGTTGAATAGAAGCACTCTAGGAGTAGAATATAAACTTCGGGCATAATGCAGGGCGGGCCGGAGCACCCCTGGAAGCTTGCACCGAAGGGGGAAGAGCCGAGCTCCAAACGCGACAACAACCTCGCTCATCTTCGGCGCTCGAGTTCGGGGATGTGGAACATGGAATCAGTATACTCAAATGTTCTGCGCTTTTCTCAGTACGCGTCAACAAAACCAATCGCAATGGCGCCGCCCTCGGTCTCCATCTCTCAACATCCTCTAACATTTCACTTTTCATCTTCCAAAGATCACAGCTTGTTTGCTCGCGTGCCCAAGCTTGAATCCCCGCCATGACCCGTCCGGCACTAGACGGCATCGCCGCCGCGCAGGTCCCACACTCCTCCAAAGACACGAAAGTTGAATTCAATGTCGCTGAGATGAGCTTACAACCCAGTCCTCCAAGACCGACCGACTTTCAGCGCTCGTATTCCTTCTCCGGCCAGAAAGATCGACCAAAAAGTGAACGAAGACCCACCATGGTCGGTGATGTCGAGGAAAAGATGATACGACCAGGCCAGATCCGGATCAATTTAAAAGGCGCATACATTGTCGATGACGAAGGCTCAGGGACTCCAAGCGCAAGCAGCGAGGAAGGCAGCGCGATGGAAGTAGAGACCAAAGACATCAGATTGCCCAATCACTTAGGAGGTGTGAGCCATATCGCTGTCGATGTACGAACGCCCCCTGTACAACCCTCACGCATGATCTTGCGCATGCAGACAGGGCATATGGCTGACCTGGCTTGTAGATCGGCGGCTCACTTGCAAAGCTCGTATACTTCTCCCATGAACCCCATGAAGAACTTGGCGGACGCCTCTCCTTCCTCAAATTCGAAACCGATCGCATAGACGACTGCATAGACTATATGCGCACACTTCAAGAACAACATCAAGCTGTGACTGGAAAGAAGGACGACCTCTGCGTTATGGCAACTGGTGGTGGTGCTTTCAAGTTCTATGACAAGATACGACAAGCTCTGGACGTGGAAGTGCAGCGAGAAGATGAGATGGAATGCTTGATCATCGGACTGGACTTCTTCATCACCGAAATCCCGAATGAGGTCTTCACTCATAGCGACGATGATCCCATGCAGTTTGTCGAGCCAAAGGCGGATATTTATCCCTACCTTCTTGTCAACATTGGTTCCGGTGTTTCAATGGTCAAGGTTTCTGGTCCACGGCAATACGAGCGTGTAGGTGGCACATCTCTAGGAGGCGGGACACTATGGGGCCTACTGTCCTTGTTGACCGGCGCGCGCAACTTTGGCGAGATGTTGGCATTGGCTGAAAATGGCGACAACACTGCTGTCGATATGCTTGTTGGCGATATCTACGGCATGAACTACGGCAAAATTGGTCTGAAGAGCACGCACATTGCTAGCAGCTTTGGCAAAGTTTATAAAATGAAAAGAGAAGCGGAGAGAGAAGCAGAAGACAACGGGGGTCTCGCAAATGGTGACGAGGAGCATAACGATTTGTTAGACGGGGTTTTGCACCGGAGAGAAAGTCGCTCGTTCAAACCAGAGGATGTTAGCAGAAGTCTGCTTTATGCAGTCAGGTATGTCTCATTGTCCCACTTATCCGTCCACTACCACTAGAAACTAATGGACTTCAGTAACAATATTGGTCAAATCGCCTACCTTCACGCAGAGAAGCACAACCTTGAGCGGATTTATTTCGGTGGCTCATTCATCGGCGGATATGCACAGACCATGAACACTCTTTCGTATGCAATCGATTTCTGGTCCAAAGGTACCAAACAAGCATACTTTTTGCGACATGAAGGCTATCTTGGCTCAGTTGGCGCGTTCTTGAAGAGGCAGCCGAAGAACTGGGGCCGTCGAAATAGTCTAGAACAAATGCGCCCATTATACAGGAGTCATTCGAAAGATTGAGAAGTCTCTCGGTTATCTCAGAATACACGACAGAGAAGTAGCATCGGGCGGCGCGATTGGAGTTTATGGTGCCCAATGACTACACATACAGTTATAGTAGCCATTCATTATTTGTAGCATATACTGGCTTAGATGATATCCCCTGGCAGTACTCTGGGGCCGTAGATATAGAAGCTCCTTTCTATGACAAGCTTGCACAAAAAGTTGTCCAATATTAGATTAGGCTTGATTATGCCACCATCATTCCAAGCTATCTCATTGGGCGCGAATAAGCGACAATGCAACAAGCTTGGCGTTTGGACGTATGTAACATCCAGACGTTCACTTCAGACTCACCAGCTACACTCGACTTCGAGCACAACCATTACAATTATAACGGTATGTCTGCTCCGTCCTCTTGGAAACTTTGCTAGCATATATGGTTCTTGGCAAGCCTTTCGAGCCAATGATGGAAGACTTCTGATTCGACGTCAATACGAGTCTTTCTAAGGAGGCAGTGTTCAGACCGTCAGATACCTGGCCACATGGCCATTTTATTTGACCGTTCCTCGATAGTTTTGCATGTTTGTCGACCTTTGACGAAGTTCATCGTGTTCTAGATCCTTAACTGACCTCCCAGAGCGGCATCTATGTATAGAAGCTAGAGCCGATGGATCACACACCATGCTGCCAAGTGACAGGCATCTAACCATGTATTCCATCTTATCTGAGTCTGGCGTTCAAGTATTCTGCGATACGACCGAATAAGTCGAATATCAGTATATTGCTACGTTGCGGTGCTACGTCGTAGACGTCTCTGTCAAAGAGGACTTAGACCAAGAGGCTACTTGAATAGATGCACCACCTACCGTGATGATCCTCATGTTTGATGCCATAGAGCTATATTGCTTGATACTGTGGCGTGTGGATTGAGCTTACAAAGACACTTGAGACAGGCGCAACTTACATACCGCCGACCATATTCGGTAACCATTACTGGGCTTGCCTACAAGGCAAATGGTCACAACCACCCTGGAGGCGATATACGAGAAACGCATCGGTCTAGCTGTTACAGACATTTGCAGCTTACTACGGGCATCCGTCAGAACAGAAAGGTTAACTGTACTGTCTTCGGCTGGTATCGAGCCACATATTTCTTGTTTATCGTCTCAGCCTTGACCGTACGAATCCGGATCCAACACGATATTATCTGACTGACCCACTACCGAGTACGCTTCTCTGAATATGTGTTTTTCCCAACTAATATGCACTACAGCTCCGGATATCCCCTGAACATACCACTTGGCATCATCCCAACCCGTATTTCAATACCCACACCTTCTTCTCGGCAGATGCAGGGCTAGAACCATACCCTTTCCATGACTTCTAGTGTCAATGGTGCTTAATTTCAGCTATACCACCCCCTGTGGCATCGATTCAATATCTTGGCGCGAAGCCTGGCGGATGTTGGCTGCCTAGATCTGTCTCACATTATTCTTCGAAGTGTTCATGTCCACATGTGCATGATAGACATTATGTAGCAGGCTTTAGGGAAGCCTTTAGCTAACCCTGCTACGGGCTCGTCTGATCGGGTTCTCCGTGTTGGGTCTGATCCCTATACGGCGCCACATATTTTGAGAGACTTCCATATCTTACTTATCGTATAAAGTCCCACGATGTTCACTTTTGTATCGTCCGTGTGCCAGAGTAATTGGTCCTTCACTTTTTGGCATAAACATTCATTCTATTCGAAGTCTTCTTCTTGTTCATACGTTTTTTGAATCATGCATTTCTCCAAGGTCGTCCTCTTTTCGGCTTTTGTCACTTTCTTTCCATTCGTTTATGCCTGGCCGGCAATGGCAAGTTCCGCCAGCGATCTTACCAGACGCCTCATAGAACTAGAGAAGAGTAGGACCATGTTGACCCGCCCGAACATGCGTGTTCGGCACATGGTACGCAAACGAAACCCGCAAGCCGACGATGACGAAAACGGAGAAGAGGAAGAGGAAGAAGAAGAAGACCCAACTCACAACGAAGACGACGATCCTAACGATGACGACGGCACCCCCGTCCTTATTGGCGACCTCCTCCGGGACGGTGCGCGCACCGAAACCGGCAACGCCATTGCCGGAATTCTCCTGAAAACAACCTCCGGCCAGTCCACCGTCCCCCTCTACACCCCTCCCGGCGCCCTCGACTCTCCAGCCTGCCAGCAAGACACCTGCTGCGTCTGGTCATATATCTCCACCGCCATGACAACCGCCTTCACCGGCCCAACCGGCCGCTGCAACGCCCTTGCCCGCGCCGCCATCCGACTCGGCTTCCACGACGCAGCAACCTGGTCTCAGACCGGAGCCCTCGCAGGCCAAGACTACGGCGGCGCAGACGGCAGCATCGTGCTCTCCGGCACCGAACTCAGCCGACCCGAGAACAACGGCCTGCAACGCATCGGCGCCCAAATGGCCGCGTGGAAAGCCGAGTTTGGCGTCGGCATGGCCGACCTAATCCAATTCGGCGCCATCCACGCCGCCGTGACATGTCCGCTCGGCCCACGCCTCCGGTTCTTCGTGGGCAGACAGGACAGCAGCACGCCTGCGGCAGACGGCCTGCTGCCCGACGTGCATGCGTCCGCCGACTCGCTGATCGAGCTATTCGCCAACAAAACGATTGTGCCGCACGACCTTGCCGCGCTGCTGGGCGCGCACACGACGTCAACGCAGCTTCTCGTGGACGCCTCGCACGCGGGCCAGGGACAGGATAGCACGCCGGGGGTCTGGGACGTGCGGTATTATGGCGAGACGCTCGCGGCTCAGGCGCCGGATGGGGTGACGAGGTTTCATAGCGACGAGGTGTTGAGTGTGCATCCGAAGATGAGTAGCGAGTGGAGCAGTTTTACGTTTAGTGATGGGCAGGACCATTGGAATGAGGATTATGCGCAGAGCTATACGCGCATGAGCATGTTGGGAGTGAATGTTATGAATGGGATGGTGGAGTGCAGTGGGGTTGTACCGGAGGCGCAGAGGGTGTTTGAGGGGAGTGAGCAGCCTGGTGTTTTGGAGTAGTTGTGTGGATAGGGGCTCGAGTGGACAGGGTTACGCGTGGCTTCCAATGCATATATACTCGACTTCCTTTTAGAGAATCACATTGAGGAGATTTTCGACCATACCTCCGGATATGTGTAGAGCAACAAATATCCCACGTTGTCGAATCTGGTCGCTCTGCTGCAGGGATAGTCATCCGTCCCCGGGGGGGGGGGTGTAAATGTGTCGATCAACGTCCAGTAGTATTAGCATTGTTTTATTCACCCAAGAACATACCCGGTTTCCATCAGACATGCCTATAAGCACCACCATATCCGGCTGTTGATTAGCTGCGATATATTGGTCCAATTTCAGCGCCGTGAAAGTCACTGAATCACGCCGAGGCGAGTACTACCTTGTTTGTATCTTTTGTTCATCATTTTAAAATATTTGTGCTAGATGTTACCCTCACAACTCCTTTGGCTTTTGTGAGTTAGGTGGCTAGGAGCGCAATATGAGCTAATTTCCTTTCAGGAACCTTCGGAATACTATGCGAGAGTTGAGTTCATTCGAGAAACTAATGAGCATGGATGAACGTAATGTAGTGCCGAGTAGATATTCAGTCCCTCATTATGGAGATATCAGTCATATGCGTCGAACTCGTTCTGCCGCTGCATAACACTGGCTAGATGCGCTGCCAATTTGTAAGAGGGACCTTCGCCTGATACGTACATTTTTTAATCCGCAATCGTCTAGTAATGCATTGGACTCTGGTCCAGAAGCTAAATATACAGTAATGATGATGTTTTGATACGCCGCTAGTCCGAGTACGCAGCCTCCGCTAAATAGATGACCCCGAAGACAAGGAATGCAATTGCGCCGCCAAGTGTCACTATGATAGATATTAGCTTCTACGCACTTGATTAACAGATGTATAGTATTGAACAACTTACCAACTCGCATGCTGACCCGTCCGGCAATCGCCCGGCCCCCTATTACTGCAACACCAGTACACACCGCGTGTCCACTGATCGCACCCCCTGTGACCCACCAATAGTCCTGCCCAGCAGCCATTGCGATCGTTGCAATCTGGCTGCGGTCGCCCCACTCGCCTAGAAATGTCATAATAAATGTCTGTACCCACGCCGGGCTCAGAAGCAGTGAAAACAGATTATTCACGCCGTTCAACATCCCAGCCAAGTTCCTCCGACCAGGCGATGGTGAACGGGACGGGCTCGTCGACGGACTTCGTGCAGGCGCCGGCAAGCGCGAATTCGACTTCGATTTTCTCCCTCGTCCTGCCTCTAGCGCATACGGCGACAAGTCACTCGCACGACGGGAGTTTCTGCGGGCAAGCGATTCCTTCTCTTCGAGCTCGGCTTCAACCTCGCGCATTTCCTCGCCTACACCCTCATCTGGGGACATTTTGTAACCTTCCATCAGCATCTTCGCGCCAAAGACGAGGAACAGAATAGCGGCGGCGAAGTTCGTAAAGCGCTTGGGGAGAAGGGTGGGCACAGCGTGGCCCAGGACTGCGGAGAGCACAGTCATGGCGATGAGTGCAGAGAAGGCGGCAGAGAAAACGACCATTCGGTCATGGCGCATGGCCATGAGGGCGGCGACGAGGAAGGTTTTGTCGCCGACTTCAGAAAAGAGGATCATGGTTAGGGAGAGGATGAAAGAGTGGAAGGGCTGGATAACGCCGGAGTCGTCATCTTCGGCGTTTTTGACGGGGTATTTTGGGTAGGAGATAGGTGTGTCTGATGTAGAGTCTGTTGGGAGTTTGGGAGGGCTGGGCATTGGAATGTCGTGAGGTTTCCCGGGGAGGTCGTCTGGCTTCTCGAGACCAGCGGCACCAAGGGGCTTCTCTTTGGGAATCTTATCCGCATCCTCAGAACCCTTGTTGCCCTGGGACTCGTCTTGTGATGTCTCTTTGCCGCTGTGAGAGGCTTCCTTCGGCTTCTCGGGAATCTTGTCTGTCTTCTCGCCCGACTCCTCCTTGGCCTTGCGATCTCGTTCTTTTTCTGTCACGCCGCCTTCGGTTCCCGTCGTGCCAGGCTTCGGAGTTGGCCGGTTGCGATCATTCATCACCCCATCCTCCTCCACCAAACCCTTTGGCCTCGACGCATTTGGCTTCTCGGCTTTCAAGTCCTCCACCTCTTGCGACAGCTTCGTTTCTACGAATGGTCCTTTGTGTGGCTTCCCGTCCAGACCATCCACAGGCGCGTCTTTTGTCCCTACCTCATCCTTCGATTTGACTTTGCCGACCGTGGTGGGCATGGCGAGAGGGGCCTCAGGTGCCTGTGCGTCAGGGTCCCGTGCCAATGCATTACTGCTCTCGTCGCCTGCGGCGCTGTGTACGAGGATTGGGAAAATAAGGAAGATAAGAGTTGATGAGTACTTTTGCAACCGCATTGTGCAAATAAGCTTGTGTAGCTACGCGCGTATTCTGTGTCGCCACCAGGAAGAGTGTGTCTCGTGAGGCAATCGGAATGTTTTTAGCTCTCCTGCATGAAGAACGATGCTGATAACTATAGTGAGTGAGTGTGGTGAGAAGTGAAGAAGAGTGAGCTCGGGAGCACGAATGGGCGACTGTGATGAAGCGTGATCTAGTAGCAGAGGAACTTTTAGGAAAAGATGCCGGAGCTGGCCTTTGCTGAATGATTGAGATGGGGCGTGCGCTAGGTACTGCAGAGTCGGATTTAAGTACCTATATAGGGGCTGAAGTAGATTTGTCTCGGCGCAGGAAGAAACAGAAGGTCTCTGTAGTGTATCAGTATTGACGATGCGAAATTCACGAGAAAGTGTCGCACAAATAACAAGCATGTCAAGTTCTGTTCCTAGAGAAGAGGCGATGATCCGGAACTTGCCGCTATACGAGTCCAATTCTCCTGCTGCCTGAGGCGCGCACCACATCCATGGATGTGTTAGCGTGTTGCGGCATGTCGCATGAAATGCGCCCTTTGTGAGGGGAGGCACGACAACAAAAAAGGGCATATCTGCTTTGTGCACCTTTTCAATTATCTACTTGTCAGTCTTCCCCTATTAAATTCATCTCGGACCACCGTCATTCCCAACCACTTCGCCATTCGAATCAGAAGACATGGCCGATCGGAGGAATTCTAGGGCCTCAAGTCGCAGTCGCGTCACTACTCAACCTACGCAGGCCTCTTCCACTGCACAAAGCCCAACTTCACGGGGCTCGCGGCGATCTGCTCGTATAACAGCCAGTCAAGAGCGTGAGTCCCAAAGGACCTTATACTCAAAACCACGAAATACACGAGCAACGAGCGTAGATAGCAATGGGAGTCGCATCAGTGCTCTGTCACGCGGCGCAAGGAAAGGTGCACAGAAGGCAAAGGTTGAAGAACTCGCAACAGTCTTGGAAGACGCACCTAGCCATGGTGAAGAGGAGGAACAATATATCGCCGATCACGAAGCTGCAGAGCTCTCAGATGAGCACGCTGTGCCTTTAAGAACATCTGGTGATACGGCTCTGGATACGTCTCTTGGAGTGCTATCACAAATATCAGGAACAACAGCTTATTCTCACGTCGAAGCTCAGGAGCTGGACTCTGAACAAATGCTGGACGAGCTGGACGGACTGTACTCAAATAGTAAACGCTTCTTGAAGAGATTCGCTCCAGCTGATGCAGACGCGGATGTGATCAGGGACTTGCACAGTGATCTCCTAGCAAAGGACAATAACATAAGGCGCACCTTCGACCGGATATGGCAAGCGCTTGAGCCTTCCTTGACTGTTTATCTCGGCTCGCAAAAGAAGTATATAAGCACAACCAGCGTTCTGAGGAGTTTATTTAGTATAGACGCACCAGGAGACTTCTCAAGAAAGATTGCTGGTATTCAAAATCGTCCGGATCCAGTTCTCTTCTTGGCAAATTTGGCCATGTTCATACGAACTATTCTTCCGTCTACAAGCGAAGAACCCGTGTCATGGGAACGCCTCTTACATATGGACACTGATTTCCCGAAATTGTTCCTCTCTGGTTTTGCTAAGCCAAATGTTGGTCGAACATCTGGATATAGTAATAACCTGCGTCCTACTTTCTCTCTTGCTTTGGAAATCCGCACTCAAATGGCAATACAGCATTTGAAGAGGCTACAAGATGAAGGGCAGGATGTAGAGGCTCTCGTGAGCTCGCTTGATGACATATTCTATGCACGGCGACCTGACGGGTCCATCGACGTGAAGGGCTGGGACGTCGATGGATTGGGTTCTCAAACAGAAATTCAGCCCCAGTTTCGCGATAAAATCGAGGCTCGCCACGAAAGACTGAAGAAGCTGCTTTACGACGCCACAAACGCCTCTGGTGAAGTCGAATTTGATCAATTGGGGAATGTATTTACGTGGTTGGACTTTCTTGGGATCGTAGTTGCATGGGTTCAAGATCGAGCATCAGAGATTGAATCTGTCATGAGTCTGTACTCAGATGTTTCATCTATGGAGGCAAAACTCCGTGAGGAAATCAAAGAGTTTGCGGCACAAGCGAAGGCCCGGAGGAAATCAAGGAGATCACACGGAGCGCACTCGTAAGTAAAGCACTGCACGCATAACCTTTCCTCAACTTAATGAGCTCGTAGTGTCCACATTGGGGGCATAGAAGCTCTGAAGAACTTCACCGCGGAAGATTTTGCAGATCTGAAGGATCCCAATGAGCAAGATCTAGTGGATAAGACTGCCCCAATCGTAGAAATCGAACACATTGATCATCTGGACGACGCTGTTCCCGACTTTTCTAACACGATAGACGTGTCAGAAGAAGACGACATTGACGAATTGCCTTCAGTCGAACAAATTACCAGACGTTCAGCTGCCACAGCATCTATCAATGCAACGCAGAGCACGCGAAGGAGGCTACTTGAAATAGAGAAACTCAAGAAAGGGAAAGAAAATTTGGCCAGCTCCGCTACACAGCATAACAGAGCGTCGGCAAGGGGTCGCCTAATAGATGTACAATCAGGAGCTGAACCGGTCGAATGGGGAGCCGATGGTTTTGAACCAACTCAATCTTCGGAGGCCGGCCCCTCCTATACGCAGGCAACTCAGACTTCAAGAAAGAGGCAACGAGACGAAGATGATGAGGATCCTACCGAGGACGAAGGCTTTCAGAATGATAATCGAGTCGTTGATACAGAGAGACGCCGACAACTTCATAGCCGAAAGAGGTATGCTGTGCAAGACTTTTCATCCGAGAGACCTCAGCCAAGTTCAAGTAAGATAAGGGAGACAGGCCGCAATACACCAGCGTCACCACAAACATGGCCTGCACAGAGGGCTTCTCAGCTACCTATCGCCTCTCAAGACCTAGCGAAGAGACAAGCGCGAGAGAATGTGGCAGCCAAAAAGAAGACGCAAACACGAGGGAAGAACCCCTGGACGGCCGAGGAGGAACAAAGACTTGTAGAGAGTATTGGTCTTTACGGCTGTAATTGGGCTGTCATTCGCGATCTTTTAGATGACCAAACAGGGGCCAGGATATTTAAAGGCCGCGACAATATCAGCATCAAAGACAAGGCGCGAAATTTGAAGATGATGTTCATCAAGTAAGTGCTCCCGACATTTCGTGTTGATCTAAGCTAATCTCGCTCTAGATCATACCGCATGATGCCTGAGAACTTTGATCAGATCTCCCTCGGCACCAGACTAGAGGGAATACTCATCGATCAAGGATTTAACCCTCATCCATAGCACCTTAACTAGGTGCAACTCAATACATCTTTATCGGCGCAACCATCCACAAAGCAAGGCAAGACGATGCAGAACATAGTGCAAGACATACTCGCTTCGTCATATCCAATATTATGATTCCTAAAAAGTTACCTCTTTAGTTCATCCAGACCTATTTGCCAAACGTCCAATCTGTTCAATGATTGCCTTCAATTGTGTTCGCTCCGGGCTGTGATTCGTTCGTAGGCGGGCCCAGATGCGCGGAGCTCGCCGAGCACCGTTGCGTGCATGCCCCGCGTCACCAATCAGGGCTTTTCCCAAGGGTAAGCATGGCTGCTGGAATGTTTCTTATATCTATGCAAATGCACTCTTTCGGGTAGATTTTTGAACTCGGTGATGCGCGTCTGTTTTATTGCGTCTGTTGATCGAAACATAGTCTTTGTCGAACGCTGTTATCTTGGCTAGGCTGAAGCGACTTGTTATCTAGGAAGGTTTCGTTCAAGAAGCTAGGAACAGCGTCAGCCCCGGGGATTCGGTCTCTCCTGATCTGTTATGGCTACCACCAGTTGTACAGTCTATATTGGATCTTTTGTCCATTGTAGGAGCGTGACCGAGCTTGAGATTGAGAATGATGGTGCCATAGGGGTAGACAAGTCTGGTGTTATCAGATTTGTGCTGAGAGGCGCCGGGGGCAATGCTGAGAATATCAAGAAGACCTTGGAGTTCAAAGAGGCTTTTGAACATGGTCATGTTGAATTCGTCATCGTGAAGAAGGGTGGATGGTTCTTCCCAGGGTTCATCGGTCCGTTTGTCCGGAGCTTGTTGAGAGCATGGAATTGATGAAGCACAGATACACACATTCACGCTTCGCAATATCCAAACACTGGACTTTTCGGCAAGACAACACTCTTGGATTGGTTGAATACGTATACCTTCCCTCTTGAGTCATCATTCTCGGATCTGGACAAGGCACGCAAGATCTATAGCCGGGCGGTCGCAAGGACGCTTGCGCATGGCACTACTACAGCGTCGTACTACACGACCTTCCACGTTCCTGCTACAAATCTCCTTGCCGACATATGTCTTGCGAAAGGTCAGCGTGCCTTCGTTGGCAGAGTGTGCATGGATCAACTCAGCCCTGAGTACTATCGCGATGAGAGCATTGAGATCGGCACCGAGAACTCACGGAAGTGTATCGACTATGTCAGGAGCATAGATCCCGCAGGCGAGATTGTACAGCCGATTATCACACCTCGGTTTGCTCCTTCATGTTCAAAAGGCTGTCTGGCCGCGCTCGGAAAGCTGCAGAAGGAGACAGATGCATATTGCCAAACACACATTTCAGAAAACAAGCCCGAGATTGAACTTGTGCAACAACTATTCCCGGAGTCTGGATCCTATGCCAATGTCTATGAGGAAGCCGGCCTGTTGAACGAAAAGATGATCTTGGCGCATGCAGTTCATCTCACGCCAATGGAAAAAGAGCTTATTGTGCGCCGTAAAGCAAAGGTCAGCCATTGTCCCGCTAGCAACACAGCTCTCACATCAGGCTGCTGCCCAGTCCGCGATCTGATCGAGCGAGGTATTGATGTTGGCCTCGGAACGGATGTCAGTGGTGGATTCAGCCCGAGCATTCTGGAAATGGTCCGCCAAACTGTCTGGGTGTCGAGGCATCTCGCCATGACGGATGGTGATCAAGCTAAACTCACACACGAGGAAGCACTGTACCTCGCCACACGTGGCGGCGCCAAAGTGGTCGGAATGCAAGACAAAGTTGGAGGTTTCGAAGTCGGAAAACATTTTGATGCACAAATGATCTGGCTAGGGGATGCTGAGGACATTGAAGGATGTGACGAGTTCGCTGCCAGAGAAGGGCCTGTTGATATCTTTGGATGGGAGAATGAGGAGGATCGAATTGCTAAGTGGGTGTACAATGGAGACGATAGGAATACTCTTGCTGTCTGGGTAAAGGGACGCTTAGTGCATAGAAGGAAAGAGTACGATTGTTAGATGCGCCTCCTTAAATAGATTCTATATAACATAGACTGTACCTACTTCATTTCGACACCATAATAGACGTTTTGAAACACAATTTTAACCTTAGATGTACGATCTGCTTCATCATTAATGCTTTGAGATTGAAGTTTGAGAGACAAGATGGCAGCTCCGGAAGATATTGAAAACATGTTGGCAGACTTGATGCCTGATTCGCCAGGCGCCATCTTGGGTGCCATGTTGAATCCTAGCCACACCTTGCCGCGTTCTTCATCGCCAATACGCGCGACGATTCCCGCAAGCTCAAGCTTCTTCAATACAGTTCCATTGCTACGCTTCGATCGCGCCGAGGGCAAAATGCCTCCTTTTAAAGATGACCAGATTATCGTATGCCGTTCTCTTTTCAGCAACAATATCCTATGCTACCACTAATCACAATGTTTTCAGATTATCTCCCCCGGTTCCGAGACGACGCTCGCGCAATTAGGTTTACCAGAGTCGTTTACCCCTGCCGCTTTTCGCATACGGTCGCGCATGTTCCCAGGCGAGAAGGCAGGAGAATGGGAACCAAACAAGATCAGGAAGAAAGGCGGACCTGGTGCGCATGGTGCAAATGGGAGCACGAATGGAGATACAGAGGTTGTATATGAGGAGGACTTCATGTCAGAGGAGGGTGCAGTGTGGCCTATTGCTGGAGGGAAGATCGTCAACTGGTCGTGCTTTTTCGCTCTCATGACGCATGTTTACAACACGCTCAACCCACCTTTCCACACACCTATACTTCTCATTGCGCAACCGGTATGGACCATGAAGGACCATGAGAAGATCACACAGTTTTTCTTTGAGCGATTCAAAATGCCAGCCTTTGCGCTCATGGATTCTGCCGTGGCTACAATGTATGCATATGGCGTACAAAGTGCGACGGTCATAGACATTGGGAAGGGCAAATGTGATGTTACAGCTATCTCGGAATTCCTCACGCATGAGGCGGGCCGAACTGTGGCACTAGAGAATGCAGGAGGAGAGGCTATGACCAAACGGTTATTGGAGGTCATCAAACCAAAGGACAAGCATTTCAGTAGGGACATGGCAGAACAGCTGAAGAAGAGTCCAATTTGCGAGATCTTGCCCGTCGGAACACAGTTACCAGGGCCTGCTAGTGGATCAGAAGAAGCTGTGTCAAACCCAGCGGCGGCAGCATCCACCGGAGCTGCAGGGTCAGGACCTGGACAACGGGACACAGGAACTGCCCTTGGGGCTGTACCGCTAGGGCCAGGCCCCGACACTGTTGTTGGTGATGAGGCGAATGGAGATGATGAAAGCGAAGGAGTAATTGACGTGGCCAGCATCGTTACTGGTGGCAAGATGCAAGAATATCTTGCCAAGAAGGAGAGAGAGAAACTCGAGAAAGATAAAAACAAGAAGAAGAACGCTGCAGATGCAGCAGCAGCGAACATTGCCAAACCAGCGAGGTTGCCAAACTCGAAACGAGAAAAGGGAACGTTCATGTATGAGGATCACAAGCTTCTAGACACGTTGAAAGAGATGAACTTGAGTAAAGGTGATCTTGCTGAAATGAGGGAGAGATTAGATGAAGGTCCCAAGTCGAAAGCTGGAACAGCTGAAGAAACGACTAATGGAGACGCTACGTCGCCTGTAGCATCCGGACTTGCCAAAGCTGGTTCCATCAAGCGCGAGATCGAGGTCGGTACGGAACGATTCCAAGCTGTTAGCGGAGGCATCCTTGAAAGTATAGCCGATGCCGTTCACAAGACAATAACTTCGGTGGAAGAAGTTAATAAACGAAGCGAGCTTTGGGACTCTTTAATCATCGTTGGAAACGGAGCAAAGATCAGAGGTAATAACAGTTTTCCCAGATGAGACTATTTGCTAAGGCTCCACAGGTTTCAAAGACGCTCTAATGTCATTGTTGCAAGCCAAGTACCTCATCTCGCCCTCTTCAGCAACCATATTCACATCGGAACTTCCTTCGACCATATCAACCCCAGCAGGTACAGGCGCAAATACTCCACAACCCCAGCTTGGCCCACACGGCGGATCCGGAGTCAACCCACTACTTCTCGCTGCCACCACTGCTCAGAACCCTCACATGATGCACCCCGGGCAATCAACCCCAGCATCTATGCACTCACATAACATGCACTCTTCACACGGACAAACTCCAACGAGTATCAAAATCGCCAAGGTTCCCGAGTACTTTCCTGAATGGAAAGAAGTAGGCTACGACGAGTCTACGTTCCTGGGCGCACAAGTTGCGGCGAAGGTACTATTCGTCGTAGACCAGGGACTTGGAAAAGGATACATGACTAGGAACGACTGGAACGATTCGGGACCGACAGGCATTCACGACTTTGCTATTTAGACGGTCTTTAGTCCTGGGGGAAAAGTTCGTTTAGGGTTAGGCTGGGGGTTTGGGCGTTTGGTGGGCAATGCTGGCACTAGTTGGTGTATAACATTACACGTAGCTTCTTGCTGTTTGGAATAATGTTCAACAGGCGAAAGAGTAAATCTCTAACACTTCAAGTGTGACTAACTAAGCATTGACCAAGTATTTGCTATCTGCTCCTATACGACAGGGCAGATATTAGAAGAAATCGCGTTCAAGAATACATCCAGTGAGGGGAAACTGCCTTCTGCTTCATGAAACCAGCATTTTGACAATCTCAAGACCTTCTCCCTCATTTGAGCGCACTCGCAACTCAATCGCATGAAGACAAATTTAACACCGCGGTATCTATCGCTTCAAGATACTAGTACTTCTCAGCATTGCTTGGACATTCCAACTTGCGAATGGGAGTCAACAATAGAAGATAAATCAACTGCCGTTCCTTGACTGTACGTTGATTGAAGAGCACATCTGAATATCTCTGTCAAGTCAGACCTGTTATGGAAATCTTAAGGCACCGAGAGGAATACTTCGTCGATGAGGCAGAAACACTTGAGTTCAGTGTGCGAGAAGACTTTGGCTACAAAATCTGTATCATTGATCATTGATTGAGCATGCCACCACGTGAAGCCTAGTTGTGGCTGCTGTGGCTATTGCGGCGTTTTCTCCACATCTATATTCGGTTAGTTGCACGATTCCCATCGATGGCTCACTTAGCTCGAGACGTCATTGAGCCGTTGGCCAATCAGATGGGAGCTCCCGACATCAGCTTGAGCTCCCCAGCGCAACCTGCCGGAAGACTTCCAACCTCCAACCTCCTCTCCACCTCGCTTCATCAACCATACAGGCGCATTAATCCATCCTTTGCGCATCAAAACTACTCAGTCTTGCGCCCATACCGGTAGTGTTCATCTGACTGTCAACAGACGATATACTAAGACCTTGATTGGTGCTTGGCGCTTGGCGGAGCTACCCTCAGGGTGAAAGGAAACATATATCAACCATGTCTGAAAAGAACATTGAGAAGGGCGACCAGGGTAAGTTGGTGTAGAAAGCCTAGTGGAACTTTGCATCTCCCATTTGTTGATTTGCGCATATCCATGTCCACTCAAGACCTCATTAGTCATACTCTATGCGCGCTTTATGCGCCTATGAAGTAATATGCTAATATTTATGTTTGAAGTCTCCTGGAACTGGGGAAATGGCAAGCCGGGTGGTGAAGTCGCTGAAGTTGCTGACAAGGGTGAAATTGCCATCGAGTCGCACCGTGGTAACACAATCAAGAAGAACGCTGAGCCAGACAATCCAGCTGTCCATATCGCTCGTCCTGGTAACGATGTTGTCAAGCGTGCCAATGAATTGAACCTCGAAGAGAAAGCAAATGGCACCACGAACACAGACGATGAGCAGAATGAGAAGGCCGATGGCAAGTCCGAGCAAAAAGAGGGAGATAAAGAGGAAGAATCAAAGGAAGAGAAGATAGATGAAGAAGCCGAGAAGAAAGAGGAAGAGGACAACCATGACGACAAAACGAACGGTGAGGAAGACATCGAAAAGAAGGGCGACAAGAAAAAGGAGTCTACCACTGGGGAGAAGCGCAAGGCAGGTGCCGTTGAAAATGGCCACAAGAAGGATGACAAGACCTCGGATGACGCGCCCGCATCTAAGCAACAGAAAACTGCGGATGAACCGAAGAAGGCTCGCGGTAGACCTGCAAAGAATGGCGAGAAAAAAGAACCAACCAAGAAAAAGGAGCCTAAAAAAGCCGCCACAGAGAGTGGTGAGCCACGACGCAGTGGTCGAAATCGCGGTTAAACGTTGGCCGCATAGTTACCAAAACATACCTACTTCGAGGCTCGATTGTCAAATAAGCCGAGTCCCTTCTTCGACTTCTCTGGTTGCTGGGTTGGACATGGGTCAAAAGGGTTGGAAGACAGGTATGTTTTGACGGAACAGCGTTCGCGTGGTCTGTCTTCTTGCACACAAAATTCTTTCCTTGCTCGTACTTCCAAGTGTAACATAGCACCGTCTGGTATGGCCTACGCTCTGCGTTGGGTGTTCTTTAATGTACACATTTGCGTGATGTCTGCCGCTATGTATTCCGAGAACAACATCGTCGACTTCGGGATCGGCCGGGATCTGACGATAAGGTATCATGGGCAGTGAAGAGACATCAGGGTTGTGGAAGACATTCATCTATAGCTTCGTCAGTATCTGGTCAAAAAGTTTTAAGTATAACTTGGAGTGATTTCACAGCATCTCAGTGAAAGATTCTCGATCATTGTATGTCAGTTCCGTCTTGAAACATATTGAAAGTAAAATGTTCATCATGGCAACGCCCAGGGGCGCGAAGAGGTAGAGGATACAGATGGAAATTTACTGCTTACTGTATGTTATAGCAAAGTTGTTGGCAAGTATATTCTACCAGCAACCTTCTTGTCGAAATGTGGCTCGAAAAAGTGAAGGATGGTGAAAGAAAGATTTTAGGCGACGGGTTAGCCTTTGCCGGTGCCGATGAGAGTCTATGCGTTGGCACGTCTTAGTATTGAGAGCAGGAGCTCTGTAACACGAGCCCCACTAAAGTTTCACTTTGTGTGGAAAGATGTTACGATGTCAAAATATCGCCTGGAAAATGTATTTTCGTGAGGCTGGACTACCAAAGTCCGTGAGGTGTGCACCCCCGGCCCCTTGCAGGTGCCTTAGGTAGACATGACGTCGTGGTGGGGCGAGTCATCTTGACTGCAGGTGCGGACAGGTAGAGGGGCGTTTGCTACAAAAACCAACAAATCTCAGCAGAAATATCGCCTCGTTCAATACTTCTCAACATCTTCTGACACTTCGATCAATCACTGTAAGTCTACTCACGGGTTACTTTCAGCTTCTACGCAAATGCTAATAATACACAGACTACCCTAAGCTTTCAAACAGTAAGCTCTACGGACCTAGTTAGCTTCATTCGATCTGCATCTCTAACCATTACCCAGCTCAAATCAGCCAGAATGTCTGCCCCAAACCAAGGCCGCCAATCGCCTGACCCAGAGAACCAGACCAGCGACCAAGCTGGCACTCAAGCGAAGCCGAACGACCAGGGCGGCGCCCCCGCTGGCAGCAACGATTCCAAGGACGCTTCGGACAAGACGAAGAGTGGTCTTGAGTCTAACCCTACTCACATACTCGAGAAAGCTGCACAAGACAAGACGGCAAAGTGAAAGGTTCCCAGCATGATGTAACGGTGGATGTTGGAATGATCTTAACGTGCCAGCTTGATGGCTTCGTAGATCGTACCTTACGATGAACACAATCAATGATACCTTACCCTGACCGCGTGGTTGCTAGGAGTGCTGGATTTGTCTTTATCTTGTGTGACTCTTAATTCGGACATCTAGTAATCGTAGAATCCTTTCCCACTCTTCTTACCAAGCCAGCCAGCGTCAACCATTTTCCTTAGTAGCACAGCAGGCCTATACTTGCTATCACCCGTCTCTTCGTATAGAACCTTCATGATAGCCAAGCATGTGTCAATGCCAATGAAATCCGCCAGTTGTAAAGGACCCATCGGAACATTCGTCCCATTCTTCATGATACTGTCAATGTCGTCTCGTTTGCCAACTCCAGTTTCGAGGCATATGATGGCCTCATTGATATATGGCATCAATATCCTATTTGCAAGAAACCCAGGCGAGTCTGCGCTCTGCGAAGGAATCTTGCCCATCTTTCTGCACAGATCAAGTGCTGTATCAATGGTATCTTGTGAAGTCTGCAGTCCAATGATGATTTCTACGCCCTTCTGGACAGGTACTGGGTTCATGAAGTGTGTACTGATGACACGAGATGGAGCCGAAAGGTTTGTCGGGTCTTTAGATGTCGCCGCCGCAATCTTCGTGATAGATATAGAGGAGGTATTGGTAGCGAGAATAGCGTGCGAGGGACAGATCTCGGCGAGCTGGCCGAAAATCTTGTTCTTCAAGTCTGGTATTTCCTGATTTACCGGTCAGTTTGTGCAACAAAGCGAGCGTTTAAGTAATCCTACAGGAACAGCTTCAATGACGAAATCAACGTCAGACAAATCCTCCATCTTCGTACTTGGTATCAGGAGCTGACGAATTGATGTCGCTTGTTCTTTCGTGATCCTCTCCTTACCAACATCCTTCTGAAGCAGTTTATCTAGGACGTGTCAATTGAGTTTCGAGTATGACATTATTTCGGTGCCGACCTGCAAACTTCAAGCCTTTGTCTAGAGATGCCTGAGAGTTATCAATAACCCTGACCGTGAGCCCTGCTTTTTGCGCAGCAACAAGCGCTATTCCTAAGCCCTACACTCTGTCAGCTATGCGACTGGGTCCTTCAGTTCTCTACATGCTCATAGGCATACCATCTGCCCAGCACCAATAACCCCTATTTTCTTGACCTCCGCAGCGGCAGCATTCACAGGGGAGCTGCTAAAGTTTCGACATGTGATTGCTTTTGATGCACGCAGTATGTGCCGCGGGGTTCTCAGAGACAACATGGTGATTACATGCGTAACAAAGGATGTTGTGTTATGGGGAGAAGATTGTTGGACAACTGATTAGGTTGTAATTCAAAGATCCTGTGACCGATGCAAACCGAGCAAGCTCCCACCTCGGCTTCTGACGTCTCGGTATGGGTACCGCAGCACAGGCCACCCGGCTGCTTCCCCACGCACGCGTGGTGTTGTAATGGGCTGACTACCGGCCACTTTAGCGGCGGGATAGGCGCGTCGTCGCAGGACGCGTCTTGATTTCGAGATTCATCAGCAAATACAGCTACAGCATTGCACAGCCATGGATCCTCACGACGAAGACGATTACGATGCTACGCTGGAGGAAAGAATCAGCGCGTATTTGTTCAGTCTAGTGTCAGCCGTAAGTCCAGACAGCTCCTGATTCCTCCTACTAGCCTCTGACTTGACTAACGCGGATGTTAGATTGGTGGAAGCAGTGCGGAAGACGATGGACGATATCGAGCCGGCGAAGAGGCACTGTACTGCCTACGAGATATACGAAAATTAATCACTGCTTTCGACATCAAGAAGAACCGTTTCGACGTAGCAAGAGCAGCAGCAGAGGCCAATCTTGTTCAAGGAGATTTGCTTGAACTTCTGGCGCAATGGAACGGCGAAGAGCACGACTCGATTGGGGCTCACAGGACTGTTGTTGCGGCTCGTATGTCCAAGGAATTTCATATACTGCTCAGTCCTAACTTCAATAGTTGAGATTCTCGTTCATCTGACCTGGCCAATTGAGATCGAGCCCGAAGACATGACCGTGAATCACCACAGACACCTACCATACCTACGTTTATCGCAGGCGGAATATAAGCGTGCAATACTACACCACCCGAGTTCGCGAATCTTGAACTCGGCGGTACGAGCTTCCCTACCGGCTATGGCCGAGTCTCGCAAAGAGCGTTCACTACGAGACGAAAGCATCATTAGAATTCTTATATGTCTAATGAGGAATGTTGCCGCTCTCTCGCACCCCATGAATGTCGATACAGATTTCGATGACGCTGAGGTGTCTAGATCAGCAGTTATAGACGCGTTTCAACAACAGGATGTATTCCAGGTTCTCTTAACCATGTCTTCGAGTACGGGCGAGGATTTCGTGGACCAGGACGTGATTTTACTGGAAACACTTTTTCACTTGATCAAGGGTGTAAATGTGGAGAAGTTATTCCTGGATGAGCAAAAGCTGAGCAGCGCAAACACAAAAGACTTCAAGAACCTCCTGAACAAGGAGAAGGCAATGCTTGCAGGGTATACCAAAACTGCCCCTACACGACACAACCGGTTTGGAACTATGATATGGATTAAGAGAGAAGACTACAAGGTCCACACAATTTCTGGACAAGACGTCCTGGGAAACGCTCAACGCAGTCTCCAAAAAATGGATAAAACGAAGAAGTGGAACAAGCCAAAATACAAGGGACGAAAGACGGAAGGGGTTGATAAGGAGAGCGTAAGTATAACCGAATCCAGAGTAACGCGATTACTTATTTGTTCACCAGACAGAGTTTGATCGCATCACACATCTCGACAGCACGGCGCGCAAGAACCTACGTACCTTTGTAGAAGACTTCCTCGATTCGTCATTTAACCCGCTTTTCTCCCATCTCCGTCGCGCTATCGAACGCGAGGAGAAGCGCGTCGAAAGGCGCCACTCCGCTCAATTCTTCTATGTCGTGTCTTGGTTTCTCCAAGCTGAATGTATACGTCGGCGGAAGATTCGTCAAGCACGTGAGCAGTCGAAAGGTGCAGGCAGTACTGCACAACAAGAAGATGAGGGTTTTGGTCTTATCGCTAGCGTTATGACCCAAGAAACTTTCGTGCTCCTTAACCGCTTCATGCAACGTAGCCATGATGATAAGCTCTGGACAGACCTAAAGGCCAGTATGAGAGCGTTTACACAAATTCTGCTTACCGTGCAAGAAATGTCGGAATCGCCCTCGGAGGACGATCAGGACATTGCTGAGAATATCTTGAATCGTATCTTCTACGAAGAGTCAACGCATGATCGCATTGTCACTTTGCTGCGTAGCTACACTACACAGGGCTTCAGCTATCTCGATGCCGTTACTGAGCTCTCACATGTGTTCTTACGAATGCTAGAACGTTACTCGAAGCAGAACGTTGACTTACAAGTACGATCAAAGCGGAGAGCGCGAAAGAAGAAGAAGCAAGTTGAGGTCGAGACGGACGGAGTCGACAATTCTACTGTCGACCGAGCTGAAGAAGCAGAGGACATGGCCGAAGCCCAAAGAACAGTGTCTGAACGGAAGTTCGATTTCACTCGTTTCGCTGCTCGTTTCATGCAACAGGGCAGCGTCGATACCTTTATCGCCTTTCTCAAATTCTACAACGACCTAAACGAGGAACAGCTCAAGCGTGCCCATCGCTTCCTATACCGTCTGGCATTCAAGATGGAAATGGCCATTATCCTCTACCGAGTGGATATCTTGTACTTGTTTAACAAGATGATCAAAGGACCGGAAGGTCTTGATTCTGAGCAGGCTTCTTTCAAGGAGTGGGAGGAATTAATCAAGCAGGTCTTCCGACGTGCCGTGAAGAAGATACAGGAGCGGCCTGAGCTGGTTGTTGAGATGCTGTTTAGCAAGATCAACCCTACACTATACTACCTCGAGCACGGCCACGAGAAGGAGACCATAACCCGTGCCCCCCGTGCACCTGCGGAACTTGAAGTCAGGCCAGGCATGGAACGCGACGAGCAGGTCGGTGTAGCAGTATCCATCCTCATCAATCAGAGCAAATCCGATGCCCTGCAATGGATCAAAGACTCGCTGTCCTCGGCCGCGGACGAACGTAAGAGTTGGGAGTCCGCGGAGGCCGCTCGAAAAGCCCTTGCTCGCTCTGCTTTACCTCCAGCCGACGATCTTGACGAGCTCCTTATCGATGCGACAGGAAAGCCGTCTGCCGAATCCACCCCTGAACCCCCTCAAATCACCCTGGAACCTGACTCCGAAGACCGCCGCCTCGCCCTGTTCAAAGACAACAAACTCCGCCTTCTCCTCTCTCTCCTTTCCTTCACACTCACATCCACCCCTTCAGACCCACAAGCCACATGGGCAATCCCATCGTCTCTCTCCGCCGAGGCCCTCACCGCATCCCTCGACCTAATCCGTAAACTCGAGCGCGACCCTCCTGTATTCGAGGAAGGAAAACCACCCGAGTCCTTTCTGCGCAGCAAGGCAGCAGCTGCCCGTCGCCGTGCCGAATTCGATGATGATTCGTCAGCAGATGATGATCAAGAGCTCTCCCTTTTCGAACCTGGAGGACCAAGCAAAAGCACACCATCCGCCGAAGCGCAACTTGCAAAGCTAAAACGTAAACGAGCACGTAAGCAACGGCGTACCGACCCTACTGAGCTTGATGAGGAAACACTTAGAGCACGAGCAAAAGCGCGAAGAGAACAGGAGCGGTTGAAGCGGAGCAAGATCAAGAGTCAGCTGACTATTGAAGACAGCGACGAGGATAACGAAGACGACGAAGAATTTTTCCGCCGTGAAGCTGAACTCCGCGAGCGCACAAAAGCAAACTTCAGACGCGCAATGGCGGGCTTCAAAGACTCACCAAAAGGTTCTTCCATACCATCCACCCCCCTCGAATCCCATAAGAGGGCGCACTCCGACCTCCCCAACGATAAATCCCGCAAGAAACGCCGCGGCACACCCGTCTCGGAAGATCTGAGGTCCGACTCGGAGAACGCTTCGGACGGCATCGAAGACAACGACGGAGGACCGCACCGCAGTGACTTTAGCGACGACTCTCACCCCAGCACTCCTCCGACACCAAGTCACATGTCCACACCACCGAGTCCCGGAAGCCCAGCTAATGACAAACCACGAAAGCGAAAGTTTATTAAAAAGGCTCGAGTAGTGCCGGATGACCCTGAGGAGGAAACCACGGCGCTGGAAACAGACACTGCGCCGAGGGTGCCGCCGCGGCTTGGGGATTCGGATAAGGAGAATCGGTATGGGAGCGCTTATGAGAACAAGGAGAGTCGCAATGAGATTCGAGAGGTGCGAATGGCGGATGCGGCCATGAGTAACGATGACGATTATGACGACGATGTGGTTATCACACGTGCACCTCCCGTTGCGAGGACAAGGGGTGGGTTTGTGATTGACAGCGATTCAGAATAGGGGGGATATGAATAGTCACAGGACGGGGTAGCGCGGCGTTCGGCAGGTCCCGAGTTCGAGCCATTTATGTGTAAAAGGAGTTCATGTATGATCCAGGCATATTTTTAGGGTGTTAGAGTACTCGTCCGGCACGGCGCGTGTAGCGTGACTTTATCTGGGTATTCTGCTCATAATGCCAATTTTGGATATTGCTCGAGATGACCTAGTACCGCTATGCGTGAATGTGTGTCGTGTTTCGGAGAGACACTACCAGATGAGACGAGCTGTTATGGCTTGGCTGAGCGGAGTATAGATGTATGTGCCGGTATGACATAGTGGAGCTTTCGGCGGAGTGGAATGGAGCGGAGTGCGCGTATAGGTGTCAAACGTTGATATCGATACATGCCTCCCTCTTATCCAGGACATTATTTTTGACTGAATTACTCTCTGGATTACTAACTTCCTTGCTTGTCTTCCCCCTTCCCACTGCTTCATCTTCCATTCCCAACTGCCTTCCTTGCATTATAGTCTATTGAACACCGCTGATGATACCTCCGCAGCAGCAGTTTTCGCCCTCCGGAAGCGCCACACACGGTACGACACGGTACTGTATGTCAGTCAGTCACTCTATCTTATAATTAATACCTAGTTAGTAAGGTACGAGTTTATCTACTTTACTTTTAGAAAATAATAGAGCTATATTCTTAAGCTCTAGGGGTAGTATCCTTTAGATCTAACTTAGCGATAGCTACCTTTTCTTCTCTAAGGTCTTATAGATATCTAATATAGATACTATATTTACTATAAGAGCCTCTTTAGAGTCCTTATATTCTTTTATTAGGTCCGTCTATTCTATAGTAGTATCTAGTTTATAGTAGTTAAGATCTTTATCTATCTATTACTTTATCTAGCTATAGTAGAACTATTACTTATTAGATATAGTTCTTATCTTATTATATACTTTCTATAGATTTCTAAGGATAAGCGGGAAGGCTAGATTAGATACTATATAGATATAGATATCTTATCTATAATTATCTATTTCTATATAGAATATAATAACTCGACATGTACATGTAAGAGGAACGATACTACAAACCAGTGAATATCTTTACAATCTTAGAGACTACATCTCCGTCAGATAGTCAATTAGAGGTTTAGATGGAATTATACACACCTTGGTCCTGAAGACACGAGCGACTAAGTATGATAAGCACTCGACTACTTCCCTCGGCTAAACCTTTAACTAGTATAGATTCTATAGTATCTATCTTAATTTTATCTAGAGCTTAGATATAGACTAGATAGAGCATATATAGTATCTAATACTTTATTACGGCTCCGCTAGATCTATAATAGAGACTACTTTACTATATATTATAACTCTATAGTATACTATATATATTTATTATATTTCTAACTAGATTATTACCTTTTAAAGGTTTTATAAAGTCTATACTAATATTTATTAAGGTATATAAATATATAGCTATGTAGACGGAGATAAGTGGGTAACACGGCGGATCCGCACCCGCTAACCGCTGGGTATCTCGAACTTCACTGGACCACTGCAAGGTGGAATCAACATTGTGCGCGCCAGCCGTAGATAAGAAGCGTCTTTCCAAATCTTTCGACATTCACACAGTCGCCTGCTATTTCGCTCTCAATGCATCGGCTTCTCTTACCATGAGTATATATGACGAAATTGCAGAAAAGATAGGTGATGATGAATGGGACAAGTGGAAGAAAGAGGTCCTGAACACAAAAGATGAAATCGCGCATTTTGTCGCACACTATCGGCCAGGAAGCCAAGATCCAGAGGTAATCGATTGGATGGGAGGTTCGTTCAATCTTTATCTGCGAGTTATGTTCAGCGATGGGGGCGCGGATGCCATGATTCGTTTTTCAGGGCAGGGACACTCCGTTTCCCGGGACGAAAAGACGCAGAACGAAGTCGAGACGATCAAATTCATCCATGAAAACACCACGATCCCAGTTCCACGTCTGCTAGGCTGGGGGTTGACCAAAGACAGCCCTCGCCAGCTTGGTCCATTCATCATCTCCGAGTTTGTGGAGGGAGTCAGTTTAAGTAGCATTCTGTCTGATCGTACCGACGTGCAGAAGCTCTGGCTAAACCCAAACATTGACACGAAAATTCTGGACACTGTCTACGAGCAGATCGCTGATTTCATGCTTCAACTCTATCAGTTCAACTTCTCTAGTATTGGGGCCATCTCAAAGGACGCTGAAACGGGCAGCTGGTCTGTCAAGAGGAGGCCTCTAACTTACAGTATGAATGAATTGGCGACGTCTACGTTTTACCCAGTCGATGAATTCCCAAGCAACCCGTTCAACACTGCAAGCGACTACTTCCAGTCTCTCTCGCAAGCGCACTTAACTCACCTTCGCACTCAACGCAACTTCTGTTCCAGTCCTAAAACTGCTAAAGAGCTATACGTCTCCTGCAATCTGTTCGCTCAACTAGTTTCAAAGTACACCGTTAATGACCGTGGTCCTTTTAAACTTTTCTGCGACGATTTCCGGTGTCAAAACATGCTAGTTGATCCAGAAAACCTCCGCATCACTGCTGTGCTAGATCTTGAGTTCACAAATGCAATGCCTGAGCAATACGCATCAGAGTCACCGTGGTGGTTACTTCTTGTTGGGCCAGAGGCATATCTGTTCCGCGGCCGAACTATAGAAGAGTTCGAGGCTGCTTATAGGCCTCGCTTGGAGCAGTTTATCAGAGCGATGCAGCGAGTTGAAGAAGCAAAAGGTTTAACGATTGATAAGACGAGTCTTTCGAGTCTCATGCTAGAGTCCTGGCATACGAAAAGATTTTGGTTTAATTTTGCTGCGCGGAAATCGCTTGATGTTGACGTGCTCTTTAATAACTGCCTGAATGAGGATGGCCACGGGCTCGAGTCGCTAGACGAGGACCTTCAAGCTGGACTGGATCCATTTGTCGAAATGAAAATGAAGCAGTTGAAGGCATATGATATAGATTGCAAGGAGTTACTCAAGTAGTCTGAAATCTGAGTCTCATGTTTCTATTGTAATCTTAGCAATTTCTTTAGCTATTAATGAATACTGCTATTTTGAAATATTAGTGAATGCTCTACGAATTTCGCGTCTCAACGACAAGACGAGGCCTACGGTTACTGCCAAGGTTCTTCAAATTCTTTGTCTCCTCTACTGATATGTGGCATGTTGGGGGGGGTATATGATGAGTCTTCGCCGGATGGTGTCGCATCTCTCAATTGTTCGTGTGGTTGTGCGGTTGTATGTGTTACGGTGTCACTAGGTAGTAGATGTCTCAGCCTTCATACAGGATGCAGTCGTACAACGCCTCCTTTCCCATCCCTCCCCATGTCTCACGGCGTCATACGGACGGGACTCCGGGCACTTGGCTGGTTATACTGTAGACTGTATGCTGCACGCTGTATGGTGTATCTATGCATGAAAAAGGCATGGCACAGCTCGAGGTCAATTCCATCCCATTCCATACCATCACATTCCATTCCATTCCATTCCATTCCATCATTGCATTCCATCTATCCGATCCATCGCATTTCATTCCATTCCAACACACTCCCCCACCGCGCCACCACATATATCGGATACATAGCAAAAGCACCCGCACACGCGCGCGTTACGCACAGAGGAAGTCAATGCGCCGCGGGATCTGCCGGAGAAGAAAAGAAGAGGGGGAGGGGGGGGACCAGTAGCACTGCATATTATTATGGAATATAGATTGTGGTGTGGTGTGGTGTGACACATACGGGTACCACACACTACATGCGTACTACAGGGGGAATTTGTGTTTTCTTTGGGGGGCAAAGCTTGTGCGGGCACTTGGGGCTTGGGGGGAAAGCTTGTCGTCGCCGAAGATACAGTCGGGGGTATTGATAGTGTAGGGTGTGAATGTGGGACAGGCTTCTGGGATGTTGAGTGGTTTGCAGGGTTAGCTATGATGATGATGATGATGATGATGATGATGATGACGACGACGACGATGGCGATCGGCGGTGAAGCGGGATGTCTAGACCTTGGTTTCAGTCTCTTGCCCCCTAGAGTTCTAGGACTGAACTCCGAGCTGTGCATATGCGTGTTCGAATGACAGTTATCTCCGTCCGTGTGCTGCTGCAGGCATGCAAGCGAACAAACAAGCAAGCAAGCAAGCAAGCAGCGCAGCGCAACAGTCCTCAGGATGGTCGAACGGAGGCCAAGGGGCTAGAAGCGACTTAGCAAAAGCTTGAATTGATAGTTTTGAGGTGCGTTTGTATGACGTCGCCGGCTTTGCGTCCCCTATCCTTATCGTACCTAGTATTCTATCCTATCCTACCCTGCAGCGCATCACATCGCACCGCATCGCACAGCGGAAGATGATCCGCGGACACGCCTTATGCTGCCTGCATAATGGATGGAAGCTGCGTGGGCTCGTAGTCGTCGGACACTTTGTTACTTTTTCTACCTTGACTACATACTTACGAACCTTGAATGCATCGTCTACCGACTTGGAGCATATCGTATCACACTACCACCACCATCACCATTAATTACTATTAAAAAAAGTCTTTATCCCAATAGCCACGTACCCACCAGCCAATCGGGCCCACTCCACAACTCCGACGCCCCAAGCCCAACACCAAGCCTAGCCTAGCTCATCTCAGCCTAGTTCCCACATCCAAGCCTCGACCCCCTCTAGCCAAGCGGAAGCTTAATGGTATTTAGCTTTCTTTGCTTATAGCGCGTAAGGGGAAAAAAGGCGGGGTTTAGTTGTCGATCAACCCCATTTTTTATGGGTGAGGCGAGACTAGAGGTAGATCTCCACTACAGTAGATCAATTGCTTTAGACCCGCTTTGAGGGGGGTTTCTCAGGGGGCGGGGATGGAGGTGGTTTCAGGGACTGTTTGCACCGGGGTTTCGGGTGATTTTGGTGGGTTAAGTGGGTTGGGTTGGGGAAGGGGGATTTTCTTCTGGGTCTGGGGAATAGTGTGGATTGTTGTTGAGACTGGTGGGGGTTTGGATTGTTTGGGATGAATTAAGGATGGAAGGTGAGGTGAGGAGGAGAGGAAGACGTCTGAGATTGTTGCGCACGTAAGTTGTGCGTGTGCCGTCCTCACGCGATCAGGATATCTCTCTCTCTGTGTGTGTGTGTGTGTGTCTGTGTGTAAGAGGCCTAGTCGTAGTCCGGGCAGCGCCGCTGATTGTCCTGGCAGCGGGAACGTATAACGGTATGAATCGCACAAGCACACGCCTAGCATCAAAAGAAGCACCGTCCAACCCCGTCGCAGACACCGTCACACCCAAGCAAGCACCTAGAAGCAAGCAGAACCATTCCTAGGAGGACGTAGACGTGATTACGCGTCGCACGTCGCACCTTCAAACCCCAGCCCACCTCAAAACCCCGGACATCGAACTAATTAACTATCAACAATCCATCCATCTAGCCAGAAGCTTAATTAGTACATACACACACGCATACGTCCAAACCGGCACCGGCATACCAGTACTGTACGTAGGCCATCACACCGCACCTCGCACCAAACTTTTTCGTACAGAGACAAAAAAAAAACCACGCGTCACAAGCCTTTCTCCGGCCCGCAAACAAGATTATTGGCAAAAGCTTGTTCCGGTGTGTGGGTGCAGCACCCTGCCGCTGTGTGCTCCGTGGGACCGTACTATACTTTCATTGCTTCGTGTACCTTTGATGATGATGATGTGCATAGATAAAGGGAGGAGAGGAGGAGATGTTGCACGTGAGGTATGAATGGGTTGGTTGTGTTAATTAGTGCTTGTGTTTCTTGGTTGGTTGGTTGGGAAGGAATGATAAATTGCGTCGGTGATGGGTAATGGATGCCTCACGGCGACAACGCGAGTGCGTGCATGCATGCGGACTGAATATCTATTTCCCCTGCAAAAAAATACAGGCAGATCCAGATCCAGATCTAGATCCAAAATCCAAAGCATCGGATTCTTCCAATGTGCATGCATGCATACATGCATGCGTGCGAGCAAAGCCGGGCCTGACCTGGACTTGGGATCATGGAGTAACCCATGCAAGGCAGACGTCCTTTCGTTCTCAGCCTCGTTGCTTCGAGGCCGTAGTACTGGATTCAGCCTGGTTTTGATACGAGTTTTGCATTGCAGACTAGATCGCATTGCATGTGTGTTGTGTTTGGAAGACGGATGCTGCGCTGCAAACACCACCGCACCGCACTGCCAGCACTGTTGCATGGAATGGAATGGGGGATCATGAATGGATGCCTCGTTCAATCCTCCCCTCCCGCCCGCCAGCCCGCACGATGGATAGGCGTTTGAAGAGAGATATGTAGAGACCTAGATAAGCGCGCCTTCGCTATTAGCAGCACGGCACAGCATCAGCATAATTAGCAGATCTCCATATCACAGATCAGATCAGATCAGATTCCAACGCAGCCATCCATCTGCATCCATCATCACTCCCTACAATACTACCTACTAAACCTACTAGCCAGGAGGATTCTCAGCCATCAGGATCCCCTCAGCCAAAGGCGTCCGGCAGCCCGGCCGGCAGCCCGGCGAGGGAGGGACGATCCGACTCACACTGACTGACTCATTCCTGTGTGGCTTATAACGCTGACGCTCGCTCCGAAGTAGCGCAAAACCCGCCTTGCCTTGAACAGAAATGCTTGTAAGTTGGCTGATATCGTATTGGATTGGAGAGATAGTGAGCTTGTATTCGTAATCCATAAGCCGCGTCTCTCATAATCAACATGCACGCACGCTGCATCGCACCATTCCCCAAACGCAGTTACTACTAGCGAGGATACATTCGTGGATATGGATAGGGATAGGTAGCGAAAGTAGAGCAGACCCTGACCCTGTCCCGTCCCTATTTCCAAGGCGCTAATCGTACTGTAGCTAACAGGCTAACTAACAGCCAGTCGTGCCATTTACTGCTTTTGGAATAGAGAGGGGAGAGAGATGAGAGAGATGGGAGGCCTGAACGGTGTGTGTATGTGTGTGTGCACTGTGTGTATGAACATCAACTTCTGGCATTCTCTTCTTGAAATGATGAATATGATGATGATGACGGGGCGGAGTCGGGCAGGATGACACGGTATGTGCACCCCAGGGGGGGCAGGCTGTTTGGCATGCTGTTTAGCTGTTTAGAAAACAGTTGGCTTCAGAAGGCTATTTTGCATTCACAACGCTCTTTGCCACAAGAGGACAGTGTGTGTGTGGAGGGAGATGTATTTTTTCTGACGTTGTATTATTGGGGTAATTAGTGGAATGGTGATGTAGATGTGTATGTACGAAAAGTGGCTGTGGAGGGACGGTGGCCGGACGGGGCGGTGCACGCACACACATACCCTATCTACGATTAGTGCCGGGACTACCTGAGCAAGTAGGCATCACGGTCGGTCTCGAGTCTTGACCCAGATGCGTGTTAGCCTTGCGAAGAGAATAGAACAGAAACAACAAGGCCATGGACACACCCCTGCATCAATGGCATAGACAGACAGGCTGTTGTTCTTGTTTCTGATGGCGGATGTGGCTGCATATGCAATAACAAGTGTGCTCGGTCGGTCGGACGGTCGGTCGCGAGCGACCTAGCGAATAATAGTCATCATTGGACAGTCAGTATGGATCGCTAGGTAGTAAACCGGCGTTATGATGCACATGTCCGACAAGGCCGAGGAATAATCACTCAAGGATGGAATGAACGAAATGCAAGTGACTCTCGGACGGGTTTCACTGGATGATTGGCAAATATGTAACTTCATTTCTTTTCTGTGGCCGTGCTGTGTGTGTGCTTTGTCCATGGCCATTTCAGCCTCAATATGCGCCCGGCCTCGTCCGTTATGCCAACAAAACTCTCTCCCCCCAACTCGTATCACCGTATTGATGGTAGTAGCACCTGGAGTAGTAGCAGCGTATGTGGTAAGAACGCAAGTAAGACCTCGCAACACAAATGGTGGCGCACAATGTATTGCTAGCGCTGTCTGCGTCCGCGACCGTCCCGGCTCGCCCCGTCACTCTAAGGCGTCGTCTCGTTCGTTGTACGCCTGCGCGACTGCTTTTGATATCCGTCGCATGACCCTGCAAGTGCCCAAACAGAAGAAGCCCATGCACGCGTCCCAACAGTGGAGATATTTCAAAACAGGAGATATCAGATCCATAGATCAAAGAGTTGAGAATAGTACAGATTGCAAGAAGTGAACAGGTTGGTTCGTGATATCATTCCCATATGTGGATCCTGCCTGGTGTTACGGATCCGACCCTTCCAAATGATGAGTTGGGTGACGCAAAAAACGCCGGAAGGCTACGTTGCGGCGTGCCTGTATGCTTGCTGGTAGTATAGAGAAAAACAGAAGGAAAGCACAGCGTTTCATTGTGTCGCTGCAAGAAAAATAACAATGGCGCTGTGTGGGGTATCGACAAAACAAAGGTGCGCTCCAAGACAAGGCAGAGTTCGAGGCGGGGGAAGCTGTCAAACGAGGAAAATGTGACAGATCACCAGCCTGGCTGGACCCTACTTGACGAAGCTAAAGAAGCCTTTGCCCATCATCTTGGTCTTCTTCCTGAGGCTTTTGCCGAACACGGACGAGGGTTTGGCATGTGAGCCAGTTGGTTGGCTGCCGTTGTTGCTAGATCCTGACTCCGTCGGACTATCGTCGTCGTCGTCTTGTTCCTCCATGAATTCTGATAGTCGTGAATCGATGGACTGCATGCGTTCCGGGCGGTTGTTGAGGTACGAGTCGATGCGAGCATTGATGGCTCTGTTCTTTACGCTGTGGGACATTACTGTGATGCTATTGTTGCTCCCCGTTCGTGACAGACTGCCTGACCGGCTCTCTCGTCGTGTGCTGGACAAGGATGTGGAAGGCTTGCGTGATAGATGGTGACTGCTTGCTGTGGACGGCGTCCGACCTCCGCCGATGATGCGATACGAGCCATCGTCTGTGTTCCAGCCATCGCACCAAGGACAGAAGTCACAACGGATCTCCCAGCCCTCGAGACCGAGCTTCCGTGTGCAGTTGTCGAGGTTGGTGGAGTCGCTGCAGGAGCGAACAAGATGATACCAGCGATGCTGGCAGTCGCGACTGGCGACGTTGAGCTCGGCTATACACATGGCGAGTCTTGGTAAAGTGGGAGAAGATGCTTGGTATCTTCTAGTGAGGGTAGGGGAAGAAACGGCAAGCTTTTAACAAGGCGTGGCGCCTAGGAATAGCGGTAGCGGTAGCAGGAATCTTAAGTGATGTAGTCTTGGTAGCCTGCCGGTGATAAGATGCTTAGTCGAGGAGGTGACGTGGAAGGTAAAGACCGGGGGATTGAATAGAGTGGTAGTGGTAATACTGGTCTGGTATTGGTGACGGAACCGGTGTAGAGGATAGTTGGATGGCCGCGACAGGATGGATGCAAGCTTAGCATTTAGATGTTTATGAGTAGTAGCCGGATCGTCAGGTCCGCACCGATGAGGCAGGTCTGTGGGGTCGGAGAGATGGTTTGACTGGCTGGACTACTGGATCGTTGGGCCGAAAAGTGCGATTATGCGATATTGGGGGTCGCGCACGCACAGATATTGTTTCCGTTCTTGTACTGCTGCAAAGGTTGCGCGGCTTATCAGTTGCTGTCTTGTCGGATTAATCGGAGCAACGGCTGAAGGAGGGGGGGGACACTATTATCAGGAGTGTGCCTAATGCGCTGCTGCTGATGGCTCAGCAAGACGCCAAGAATGGCGATGCTTTGTGATGCCTGGCCGTGATGGTGTTGCACTTATGCAGGCTGCTGCCGAGCTCGCCTGTTCTCCTTCCAAGAGCTGCTAGACGCAGACGCACGTGTATATTGCTGACGATACACTCCCCTTACAAAGCTTTGAAGAAGCAATACAGATTTGAGACAGTAACACGGCACGTCTCGTTGGTGGCAGATGCACCTGGACTTGCACTTGCACTTCAGGCGGGTCGGGGCGGATAAGAAGCAAGTTTGTTGATGGCGGCAAGATTTGCGTTGAAGATTTGGTTGATAGGTGTATATATCGTGGATGGTCGGGTTGGTATGATGACGAGGGACGACAGACGGTTGGGTGATATAGTCCGAGATGAAACAAGCCGTTCAACGAGGACGAGCGAGTAGAGGTTGAATTATGATTATCGGACGGAACAGGAAAGATGGGACCTGGTGTGGTTTTGAGGCGTGGGATTTGAAGAGATGGCCTTTCTCTTCCAGCGATGACAACAAGGGGGAGGGGGAGGGGGAGCGCAAGGGAAAGTTTTGGGGGGGCAGAATGTGACGGGAGGTGGTAGGTTCTTTATCATGAATTATTAGCAGGGAGGGCGTGGTGTAGGAACTCCCTTGGCCAAATTGCGCTCCACCTGCCTAGACATCAGAGCAAAGTGCTACAGTACTTACTGTAGCCAGGTATGTGTATTAAAGGCACTGGGACCCGGCACTGGCACTATTCTCCCTCTCCCCCCCTGTACTTGGGCAAGTCGGGCACGTTTTACTGCTCGAAACGGCACGAAACAGCAACAGAAGGACGCCAGACGCCAGCGGGCGGCGGGGGAGAATGGCAAGCTTAAGTTAGGTGCGGACCGGGGGGGGGGACCGGGGGGACGGGGGCGTCTCTGGGGCGTCTCTAGGGCGTGTCCAGGGCTAAAACAGTGGGAAGCTGTAGCTGGACCAGCCACGCGAGCGAGCGGTGGACGCGCGGGACATGGACTGTTTGTTGGACATGACTGCCAACTGCCCCCCTAATTAGCTGCAATACAGGAGAATCTGGCTGACTCTTGGTCCGCCAAGTCCTCCATCCTCTCCCCGCGGCCGGGCGTCACCCTCCCCCCCAAAACAACCAAAATTCCTTGATCTCTTGGCTCTATCCCGGGCACCTCGCATACCTCCAGAGCAAGACACGTACCCGCTGTGCGACATCTCTGTCTCTGCTTCGTCCGTGTTGCTGATGTCTTGTGTAATCAGTGTGTCTGCAAACTCATATGACTGTGGTGAGTACTCTGTTGTTGTTCATTTTCCAGGGATTCTCGGACATGGCATGGTGGTGGGATTGTGAGATGCCTAGGGCCCCGGCCAATGCCAAGCTGCCAGGACGCCCTCCAGCTTTCTCTACTCTTCTCTACTGTTCTGCTACTGTACTGTGTGTGTGTAGAGAGAGCGAGAGAGAGAAAGTCTTGGCCTGTTGGAGTTGGAGTCTTGGAATTGCAGACGCGTGGTCGAGGTCTAAGCGCCTCCGTTCCACTCCACTCGCTCCACTCTTCTTACTGGCCCGCGCCGCCGCACTGAACCTTTTTCTGTCGACTTTCCTCACCGCAACCTTTGGCTTCACTGGGGCCTGAGTCATCTATGCTTTAATCATGTTCGTCCGTGTTTTTCTGTGTTGCCTATCCTACACCTCCCGTACGCCGGCTTTCCGAAACGTGTGCTTATTATTGGCCTTCCAACTCTCAAAAAGGTTTTCCTCTTTTAGATCATCGCGCCTCCTGCCAGTGCGCTCAGATCCCAGCTGTGTGACATGGTGGAAGTTGCGTTTGTTGCTGTATCTTATGTCCACTCTTTCCTCCCCATCAGAGCATGCCGGCATTAGCAGACCACTTCTGACTAGGGTCCCATGTCCCCTGGTTTGTCCGTGAGCACCGATTGCAACACGCCGTCAGGCCGCAGTGGACGGTTCAGTGGCTTGTCGCATGTCGTGGCGCTCCCGTGACAAGATGCCGGAGCACGACGAAGATCACACACGGGTCCAGACTCCTCTTTAGACGAGATGAGGTCGAGAGGGCGTCTGCAATAGAGCGTACATCGATATACCACAGCTCCGCGAGGCTGTCACTGCCAAGATAAGAACCGAAAGTCTTGAGGACCAGTGCTCATAGAGACAGCTCAGTGGCGCGTACTACACCTCCAGATGGCAGAATGTACACAGAAACGCTCAGAATGATGTCCGTCCCTCCGTCCCTCCCTCATCTCTGGGTCTCCACTTCATTTCCTCTCCGCCGCGCTCAGACCGCCCTAATTGTTCCAACGGCATTCTGCACACGAGTCACGGCACATGGAATCTCTGATCTTCACCAACTCTGCTGTTTGTGGAAACACCGTCTTCTCGATGATGTCTCACTTGAACCAACACCATATACTGTGTGTCTCTATAAAGTGTTGAAAGTACTCTACTCCCGCGCACCATCCAATAGCGGGCAACAATAAATAGTTAGGACCTGAGCGTATTAAGTCGCAACCCGGTCGGACAAACTTAGAGCGTAACTCCATAGCTGGGGCTGAGTGCTGTTATCATTTTCTCCGAGAGGATTCAATGATTACAAGCACCAGGCCCATAGCATGCATAGCTGGTAAGCAGGTGGTGCTATCCATTTCAAAGCCATTAAGGACTTTTCTAGACAATAGCTTCTACAAAACTGTTGTTCGAATTTAGCTCATCTCTTTCTCCCACGCACAGACAGTCGGTCGGCCGAGATGTAAGTTGTCCCAATTTTTACAATGACTCGAAACCCAGCCAGACCACAAGTTCGTATCGATGTATGTAAGTATAGCAAGGGAATGAAATCAGTCGCGACGAGCCAAGCGACAGCTCCCAACTCCTTGGACGGCAGGCGCACTCAAGGTGTGGATGTTGACTTATGTCATCAGCCGTAACGGGACGGCACGCTCTAACTTCATCCACCAGCCGGTTTTCCCTGTCTTTAGATCTACAAACTCCATCACTGCTGCATGTCCTCCTCTTTGACCGACCTTTTGAGTCTTGACAGCCACCAACAACGATGACTTATCCAGATATCTCCGATGCCACCTGCGCATTGTGTTCCACTCTGCTCCATCACTGCACTTTTGCCAGTCTACTGCCCGATTCCTGGTTACAACAGCGTCATGCTTTGATGCGGAGACCCACCGTATCACCTTGAATTTACTTACAAGCCCTCAACACCAGTCGCGCTTCGTTTCAAGATAACCTCTATGTGTTCTACATGCCTGATGTCAATGCTTAGAAGTCTGCCATCAGCAGAATCTGGACGCAGGATCTCTCCCTGTCACTTCTTACAACAAAGATAACAGGCAATCGCGGCGATCCTTAGCTGACTTGATCGAGATGCCTGCGGGAATCGTACGCACAATCTTGGCATACACTCCTCAACATCAGTATACGTCCGTCAGTGATCTTCCAGGGATTATCGTTCATTCGCAACGCTTAAAAGGAATGGCCTGGCGAAAACTGCTCTCTGGGAACCCTGTCTTCGCGCTGCCTCAATGTCTGGGATTGTTATGGGAATTAGAACTAGCCCACCATCTCAGGACAAGCATCGACGTCTGATGATCATCGCATATGACATTCCCACTGTCCAGGCCAGGATCCGAAGTCGTCACGGGTTGCAGCAGTTTCGTATATATTACGACACCATCCGTTCCGGCAGAGTGGTATTGCAGCGGAATTACCGACCTCTGTCGAATGAGCATCAGCGCTACCTACTTAATCAAGCAAATAGTACGTATTGGCGGGGGCGGAGTCGTCTACGGGCCTGCCAAGCCAAAGTCAAGACTTTCAAGTGTCCGCTGGGCACGCATGAGCTGCACATTGCTGCACATCAGCCGAGAACATGCTCGTCCTCGGCCGGGCTTCTCTCCAAGTCCAACCTCCCTCTTCCCCAGTGCCCAACGATGGCACCGCACCTGGCCAAGTGCAAGAATCGGTACCTATAATCATATCATCTCTCTATGATGTGACGCATACAGCTGCTACGTCTTCCAAGCTCTGTACGACCTGTGCGTGGCTTGTCAATCCAACCCTGCATGTAATTATGCCTACAAGACCTGGCAACGACGAGATCTTCCATCGTCAATAACGGCTATGCTTGCTGCTGCCTATAATCACAATCCGATCACTATCAGAGTTGCACACATCCTATGCGCCATCACAAGTTCACAACTGTCCTTCCCGAATGGCCAAGACCCGTCGCTTATCTTTGCCAATGAGAGGCCATGTTACCGGGAACGGTCAAGCCTGAACTTGGAATTTATCTTGCTTTTCTCCGATTCTTTTTCTTACCGCCTTGTGTCTTCCTATCAGATCAAACAGTAGACGACCCTGGCTCGCGCCAACAGCTCCCTCTGCCTATTTCATTCAATTCGTTGTCGAAAACAACCCGATGCATGCAACCGACTATCTACATGCACTCATCTTGAAAATTATTTGGCACCTCTCATGAATGCATCAGTCGTAGGCATTTGATTAGATCGCCAGTCACCCCCATTGCAGTCACATCGCCACCTGCCCTGCGAGGAGTAAGTGTCAAGTTTCGGTGCTAGAGTCTCGGCTCTTGATTTATCACTTACCCAGCGCCTTGAATGATCAAAGGGTTCTCCCCATACCGCGCGGTATAGAAGCTAATGATGTTGTCACTACCCTTGAGTGCTGCGATTGGGTGTGATGCGTCAAATCTGGTGAGGGTGTCGTCAGCCTCCTGCGTTCCTTCCTCAGCAGCGGTGGAAATACTTCTCTAAGCCAACCTTTACCTCTTTCTTGCCGACGTCGATACTTCCAACGAACCTGACAACCTTACCCTCAGCTGCAGCTTCTTTCTTCAATTTCTCCATTTCCCCGTCATATTCACCCAGCTTTTGCATAAACTCGTCCCCAGTCTTGCACGATTCCAATGCTGTTGGGATCAAGCTTTGAACAGGGAAGCTTGTGGGACTTTCCACAGGTAGGCCAGCTAGACGAGCGAGGATGGTCAGTTTGCGTGCCACATCTAAGCCATTCAGATCATCGCGGGGATCAGGCTCAGTGTATCCCAAATCCTTGGCCTTCTTCACTTCGGCGGAAAATGATCCACCGCCTCCGCCAACGGGCATGAAACTATTGAAAAGGAAGCTCATAGTGCCCGAGAAAACACCTTCAATCTTCCGCACCTCGTCTCCTGTCTCGACAAGCTCCTTCAGCGTCGAGATGACCGGAAGCCCGGCGCCAACACTGCTCTCGTGATAGATCCAACCACCCTTCCCATCCCCATTTCTCGCTGAAGCATATATATCCTTCCACAACGCATAGCTACTCGAAAATGCCTTCTTGTTAGGCGTGACAATGCTAATGCCTTGCTTCAGAAAGGAGGGATAGCTGTCCGCCCACTCCTGGTTGCTTGTATTGTCAATCAATACCACAGGCTCATCCGCCTTAGCCAGAAACTCCAGCACATCGGCGGGACTCTTCGCCGACGTGCTGGAAGTCTGTAGCTGCTCTTCCCAAGTGCTCAGACTGAGCGGCTGGTACGTGGGGCTGTAAATCAGCTTCTTACTGGTGGAAAGCAATACCAGCGAGAAGTATGTAGGTGCAGCGTGCGATTGCGACAGTCGTGATGCCAGCGTCTTCAATTGCGTCAGAAAGCACTTCCCGACTCCTCCCGCGCCTATATCAAGTCAAGTCAGTGGACCTGTTTCATAACAAGAGCATTCGGGATGGAGGGTTCGGGCTGCAAACATGCAGGTTTGCGGAGTGAGACCGGCGTACCTATGACGGCAATGAATATCTGCCGGGGTCCTGGCATAGTGGTGAGTTTCCTGTCGTTGAGAGACTTTCGATTGGATCTTGAGTGGGTTTGTTGAGTGCAGAGTGCTGGCGTGATGTTTCTTTTATACGCTTGAACAAGAAAGTAGCAAGACCCTGGTTGGCAATGCTTGACCGATGATGAGGAGCAGGGGCAGGTGAGCTTGAAGTGCAATGTGTGGTGTTTTGGGCAGAAAAGATGTGATGATGGGAATGTATGTGGGATAGTGGGGTGGGTCCTGAGCTTGAGCTTGACCCCGCCTGCATCATCATCATGGTCCCCTCGTCCTCGAGAGCTGCCCACGAGCACCAGAATGGAAAAGGATTTCCCATATGACACCTGAGGCGCCGCGGTCGTACGGAAGTCTCCAGCAAACCTCAATCGTCTATCCTTCGCAGTACCTTCCGACCTGTAGTTGATCACCTAGCCCCGTTCTGGCACTATACAAACATCTCTATGACCCTCTCGACAACACCATCACCAGATGGCCAAAAATCCCGCACCATACCTTACTGTGTACTGCTCGATACATAGCCTCGAGCTGTTACAGCGGATACCGCACCGAAGAAGGGCCCTGCGTAACTGCTTACCGTCGCCTTGTCATCCCCCATGTTGACCAAGCACGAAATACACAGTCCCATTGGACAATGACAATTATCAGAGTGAACACCGACACCACGGACCTGCGCCGCCGGGATTCCAGCGGCACAGTATGACCATGTATAAGCTGTGAACAGATCAGCATCAACAGCAAATACACGGCTCTATGTGAGCGAATTTTAAATTGCATGACCCCCAACAAAGTCTCCCATCTCTCTCTCGCAGTAAGTCTGACCCTTTTGGGAAACCGTCCTCCCAACAACACAAATCATCTAATGGCATTCGACAGAACCTCGAATTGATCCGTTCGTATGGTGGCAAGATGTACGTCTTTCCGCTCAACACCCCACGTCTCGGCGTAACAGACCTCTTCGTCCGGCTCTCGCATGCTCGGTCATTAGTCGGCTGCATATACTCGCCACTCCTGCCCCCGCGAAAGGACATTCGAGGTTCCGCTGGTAGTGTTAGGACGATGAACTTATGGCGTTGGGGTTCTGCCGGCGGGTTTATGCAACGTGAGACTCTGGAGCATCGAGTATGCCCGAGCGAGAGGACTGCTAGATTGTGAGAGGGACGGTCCAGATAGACGGTACATCTAATCCTGTATCAGCATGCATGCATGGCCTGAGTCATGTCTCTTGGCCGGAAAATGCTCTAATTATGACACGTGCTCGTGGGACCGAGATGCAGACTGCTCGTGTCGGGGCATGGCGATGGTAGCAGGTGACCTATGACTATCTGATTAAGGGGCTATGGGATAAGATTAGCTGTATCGTAGTATTATCAAAAACTCAAGCTAGGTCTGATGCATGCACGTGTTCCCTTGGCTGTTCCAGAAAGATAATGCATGCGAATGCATACGTGCAGTCTATTCCCATCTATATATTCACCCGTGAGAGTGCCGGTGTGTATTTATCAGTATCAAGCGCGATTTAGATCTAGATAACCTTCTGAATGCACTCCTTTCTTCACACTTCCTTCCTTTCTACCAACTCATGAAAGACCGGTCTTGTGTGATGGATAGATGGACATATCAGCACCCATGCTCCAGTCAACTGGCTGCTGTATAGTGTGACCGTTCATACTAAACAACTCAACAAGACGTCCTCATGCTATAGAGAGGGAGATATTTTCCAGGCCGTCTCCCTGGCATACTGAATAGTCCCAACTTATCTGCCAAACCAACTCCCTCCCTCCCTTCACAAAACAGCGATAGTCCGGACCCCCTTGTAGTCGGCCCAGTCAGGAAGGTATAGCCGCCTGACTAGCCTTCAAAGCCCCAATGACCGTCAACGCAAACACCGGAGACACGATATACGACGCCTGTACAAGAATTAGGACAGACCAGAACAGTCCAGAAATAGAAAAAAAGGGGGAAATTTTGTCCGTCCAATAAGCTTGGTTCAGGGGGGGAGGGGGAAACCCTTCAACAATGCCCTTCAACGTAACAACGAACTACGTACCGTCAACACTCGCGCAATCTTAAACTCGTCCTGCTCGTCCGCGCCGCTGCTAACCTGCACCATGGTGATCAGTTTCATGGCCGGTGGACCGGCGGGCATGACCATCATGGCGAACCAGAGCATGGGGTCGGAGCCGAGAAGCTGTGTGCGCGTTGCGAGGATGTAGATTGCGGGGATGGAGAGCGCGGGCCAGGCGAGGAAGCGGATGAGGAGGATGAGGGATGTTGCGTGCCAGAGGGGTTTTGTTTGCGTTGTTGGTGTTTTTGGCGTTGTTGTTGCTGTGGCTGTGGTTGGGGTCTGGATCGAGTAGTACAGCGACACGCCCGCGATGACGAGCGGCAGCGGCACGAATATACGGCCTATGTTCTCCCACGACGCAGTCAGCCAGGAGCGCAGAAAGCCGCCGTCGCTGGGCGCGGCGAAGAAGGCGGTTTTGAGCGGGGGCGTGAGGCCGATGAGGGTGCCGGCGAGGGCGCCGAGGAGGGGCGCGTTGAGGAAGTCGTAGAGGAAGAGTAGGGTCCATTGGATGTTTGGGTGGTGTTTGAGCCAGCGTTTGTGTGTCGCTGCTGCTGAGTAGTATGCTTCTGAGGGGTGGTGGAAGAGCAGTGAGGTGGTGGGACATGGATCTCGCCGGGCTGGAGATTTGCTCAGGAGGCTTGTTCCTTCTGAGGGGTTGTTAGTTGGGAGAGAGGGATATACGGCTTCTTCGTCGTGTGTTTCTTTATCGTCTGGCTCAGGGGTTGCTTCTGCGCTGACGAGCCGCGGTCCAACTGCAAATGTCAAGCAACTCGACACAGTCGCAAAGACGAGAAAGTATGACTTCGCCCGCTCAATAGCACGGGTCGTCGTCTCGTCCGTCACCAACAAGCTGCTCAAGATGCCCGTCTCGCTCAAAGACTGCATCAGCAGCAGCGGATAGCTAGTCGTGTTGTTAAACATGACCGCAACCGTCACCCATTTCGGCAGGCCAAACACCCTACGTGCAGAGACGCCCATGAGGAACGATACAAAGTGACAGAACACTGCCCACGCAAGAACTATCCCATACCGACCAACCCTTTCAGCTTCAATTTCCGCACCGAGCTTGGTGATCAGCAAGGCCGGGAGAAACATGCGGACGCATATCTTCGAGATGGCCTTTGCATTGCCCTGGTCCAGGAGCTTGAATCGAGCAGCGAGCACGCCGTAGGAGATGACCAGTAGCACCGACAGACCAGCCTGGACGGCTACCAGAACGGTATGAGCGATGCTAAAGGCCATGGACGAAATAGTGCCTCGTGTTGCTTGCACGAAAGGAAAAAAATCAAAGATACAGCAGAGACACACTCTCTCACTCTCACTCTCTCAGAAGTTGGCGACATTCTCACAGATAATAAATACACCATCCAGTAAAGCTACAACTACTGCGCTGCAGGTCGTCACACGGATGACCTCCTGCAGATCCATATCTGCTCCCGTGCGCAGGCGTCATCCGCCATAGCATCACAAGATCAGGCGAACCATAGAAGCAAGGATTCGCGACCGGCGATGAGAAATCGGAGTTGGCGACCGAAGTCGGGTCCTGCTATAATTAGTGCCCTGCGTACACGCGATTCCAGGGTCTGCGAAAAGCTGGTCACGATGCAGGAAGGACGCTAGTCCCGAAACGTAATGAACCTTGATGTCCAAATATAAAGCGATGCCAAACAAAGCATACATACGAGGTGAAGGCAAGATATAAGCGACGTACGAGTTGCGTCGTGTTTATAGTTCTCCATACGACCGTTTCCGTCAAACACGCCACCGTCACGCAACGTCTAGCCACGCTGAATAACGCAAATCCTCCCATTGGCCAGCACTGTTACGCAAGCTGACGATTAGACGGGCGCTGATTGGTTCCCTAATTCGAGATACTCCGTCATGCTCTGTCGAATGCTTCTATATCAAACAATAAATAGCAGTACCTGCCCGCCATCTATTCCTTCTCTCTACCATCTCTCACAAGCCCTCACTTTCAACTACCAAACATCAGAATACCAATCTTCAAATCATCCAATCCAACATTTATACTTCAATCCAGCATGTCTGTCCCAACCTCCGCCATCCCAGCTACCTGCTGCGGCCGCAACGGCGACGCCGCCTGCCCATGCGCCATGGAGGCAACCTGCTCGTGCGGAAAACAGCCTGCGCTCAAATGTACCTGCGAGAAGGCCGCGACCGAGAACACCCTGTCCGGCGCGAAGTGTTCGTGCAGTACGTCGCTCTCTTCTCCCTGTCTAGAAGGACCCTTAAGGAGTGAGTGCTAACGTTGTAATGTCCAGATCTTCGCCGTCAAGGTGCCTGCACGTGTGGCCGTGCCGCGACTGAGAACCAGAGTCCTGCTGCGTCTGCGTGCGCGTGTGGCTTGCGTCCTGCGGGTGCGTAGCCTCTGTTCTATCCTATATTTATCTCTTTGCTAATGTGTATGTGTGTAGATTCGTGTACGTGCGCTGGCGAGGAGACAGGTCTCAGGGCCGAGGAGACGGATTTCACTACTAAGAGATAGATTGCTCTGTGGTCGGAGATCTCTTTCTATGGGTGTCTACGTTTCGGGTGTTAAACGGGGATCGGTGGGTAACTGATTATTTTATGGCGAATGATGCTAGGGGGTGGTCGTTGTGGACAAGATGGCATTTATGGAAATTATGAATGTGGTCGTGGTCGTGGCCGTGGCCTCAATATCGGATGGGATTAGACTTTAGATGGCGCTGAAGGGGGTGCCCTGGTGTACCATAGCCAAGATGTATCATATGACGACTATCATTGACACTAATTTCGAGGCAGCATTGTGGCCTAGCTGTGTTGACACGTCTCGCATTTACGAAGCCTCATGGATCGCTCCTTTGTAATGATTGTTCTGAACGCAAAAATACTCACCATCACATTCAGCAGCAACATCTAGGAAGTGTCATGCGCGATTCCGCGAATCTTTTCCATAAAAATACACATTCCTCCTCTCCGTATACGTCATATCCGTCTTCAAAAACCGATATTCCACCCGACTCTCCGCAATAAACACTTTCTATATCAATGCAATTAGCCAAATGACGCCGTCAAGAAATCACGACACGCCAGCTTACCGTATGCACATTCAGCACGTGCCGTTCCTGCGGCACCTCCTCTTTGCAGCTCACCCCCATCCGACACCCCTCAAGTCCGTTATCCAGGATATCCTGGCATAAGTCGTAGTCTTCCGGCAGTCCTTCCTCGAACTTGATGATCTCGGCTGCCACGCGAGCCTCGCCGAAGGAGTCCCACACTCCGTCGCGTACTCGCCGTTGGAGCAGATATCTGATTCCGCGACGGCGGTGGTACGGATCGCGCATACGATGCGTGCAATGGAAAACGGCCGCCTGGAGACTGATGCTCGGGATCGGGATGAAGCTGACCGCCGCAGTGTTGTACCGCGGGAGTGCATCGGCAGGAGTATGATCCGTGTTGCCCGGAAGTGTCTCGATGAGGTCCAAGGCAGTCTTGAGCAGGTCGAAGGAGGAGTCCCAGCAGTCGATGAAGCGGGTGTGTTCGAAGAACCAGGACTTGATGATGCTCTGTGTTGTCAGGCCCCAGATCGCGACCCGTGTGATGGCGGAGATGGTGGTGGGGTCGACGGAGGGATTGGAGAGGAGGGTGTAGCGGAGGTTGGTAAAGGAACGCATCCATTGCTCGATGGCGGTCATGCAGTGGACTTCAAGGGTGGAGAAGACGCCTTCGGGGCGGATCTTGTCCACGGAGGGGGTGCGCATGTCTCGGTCTTCGAGGTAGGCTGCGTAGCACATTTGCCGGAAGATCAGGGTGAGGGTATTGCGTGCTTGTGTTAGGGAGGAGAAGACGGGTGGGATGGAAAGGAGTAAGGGGCCGCTGAATGATTCGAAGTTGTACTCGCAACTCTCGTCGGAAAAAGTCATTGCTTGAAGGTCAAGCAACGAGAATAGATTGGCAAGCTCCGATTCTTCGGCGTCATCCGTCGAGAAGGCATCTATACTTGCCTTTTTGTCTGGGTGTGCTTTAAGAATGCGATTTTCAGACAATATGCGCAGGCCATTCTTTAGATGCATGGCCGAAAGATTGTAGTTACCCACCAGATTCTCATAGCATACGAAAATGATACACGCGACAAGAACTCTCTCAAGATGCTCACGATCCTTCGACCTGCGTGACAGAAGAGCGTTCGAGCTCTTGATTGCTTGTGCGTACTGCGCCAGGGCAAAAGCACCTTTCTCACCCCGAGGCAGTCCCAGCTTGCCATTCCAGTGTTCATGCAAAGAACTCAATGCCAGGATGCCATACCTGATGGACGGTTCATCATGACACATCTGAAGAACACGCCGTTTCCAGAAATCAGTATCGAAGTGACCCAGGGCATTCTGTAGGGTGTATTCTCGAAAGAACTCAAAAGACCGGGCTTCAGCGTCGTTGCGGAAAGGAGATAAAGAAGGACTTCGAGACACAGGAAGAAGGGGATTGGACTTCCTACCACGGCTATCGGTCCGGAACGAAGCAGTTGTCGAATTTGGTCGTTGTGGAATTACCAAGAAGGAGGAGTTTCGCTGAGTTGCAGCGGCTGCGGCGGGCGAAAGCTGAGCAATGTCGTAACCAGCACATGTTCGTCCGGAGCTCCAGCAGCGATTGCACGAAGGTTTGCCTTCGTCACACTTAACTCTTCTAGCTCTGTAAATATGTTAGTATCAATTCCTCTACTCGCCCCAAGTGATTGATCAGTTGTTATCTGGCATACTCACCGGCAGGTTTTACACCCTGTCCTAACGCGAAACTTGAATTGCTTCTCTATTGCACGCAGCTGCGCATCTGAAGTCATCATCGTTTGCATGGACATGTTCTGTATGTATAGTACGCCTCCCTCAGTGATAGAGTCCAGAATATCAACAAGCGAGTCCCCACTTGTCAGCTGTCAGGTCTCTAATAATGACCCTGTGAGACAACAAGCTCCGCGTCAGAATGAGCCTTGCACAATTACTCTCAGCAGTTTGATAATGAAATCATGGCTGCCTCCAAAACGAAAAACCCGAATGCTTCTAGACTAATTACCTAGCGAGACAGAAGAGGCCGAACAGACCTAGAGGGACGAATAGCTAGACCCAATCGGAACCTGCCCGTCCAACCAGGATGCCTAAAAGTAAGTACTGTACATATGTGACTACACGTGACTTGAATTGGTTTTTGGTGCACTATCATTTGATTATCGTTGACCCATGTTACTTCATGTTTTGTTTAGAGCATATAGGCTCATGAGTCAGCCCAAGACCTACAGCCTCGAAAAATGGTACATCACGACAATATCGGCTGTTTGCAAGTGGGTAACGACGGTTGGAACGAATGGCTGCGCATCTGGCTCCCGATTCTTTCTAATTCTACATTTGCGTGCATGGCAATCTTCGAACTTGTCTAGCCTATGGCGATCTCTGCTTGTCGGATATCATACGCCCATGATCGTAATCGTATATTGGGCAAAATGACCACCGAGAAGCTTTCAGCTGAGACATCCTCGGAGCGTATACCTTCGCGAAGCATATCACATTTGATACTATTGCTTTTTTGGAACCGCTATCGACATTTGTATACCGCATAGTGGGTCTGTTCAGGTGTATATATGTTGCGCCTGGTAGTTACACATATAGGCCGATAGATACAATTTGGCCCGGAGCCAAAGACGAGCGACAGGTATTATTGAAAATAGACAAAAGGTTTTGCAGGTATGCTAGGAAGCTGCACACCAACGGCTCAGCATGTGACGTGTGAATAGAGACCAAAATGGGAGATATGAGAGCGTGTCTGTCATAAGCAGACATTCGGCGGCCGAAAAGAGTTTAGAGCAGTACTGATGCCGAATATACAATGGGTGTCCTGCAGGTCTGCGTTTCACCGCAGAATAAACCCATGAGAGCGAACCTAGAAACGGAACTAGTGCACACAGTCTCACAAAAATAGATATTTTTGCGGAATCATTTTGCAATGACACAAACCGCCAAAAAGTGATGTGTTTCCAAGACGTGCCTCGACGCCATAGCAGCCTCTGCCTAAAGGACAGCGAAGATGCTTGGAACAATGAACCTCCTACTAGATGTGATATGCCATTCGAGGCTATTTGATGTTGTTGAACAAGTCATCAGCACCCAAGTCACCGCCATCTAATTTCCCCAGCTCTGGAATGGTCGGCGGCGGCGGACCTCTTGCGATCCTTGGCTGTTTTGCGTTCTCTTTGTCTTGCGTTATGCTTCCATCGTCAGATGTGAACAGCGAACTCTTTCTTTTACTGAACCAGCCTGTACTTTTCCTCTTGCTTAATATTGGACTGTTCGGGGCATTGTAGACCGTAGTGCTAGTTCTGGAATCAATTGTATTTGGCGTTGAAGGACGGTCTCGTAGCGAGTCAGAGGAACCGAGGCTTCGTAGACCCAGGAAGCGTCGTACTGAGGATGGCCGCTTTGTGGAAGTTATGGGAGACTTTAAGGGTTCTGTCAAGGTGGAATCCGCCTGCGCGAAGGTGTCTATTGCCTTTGGTGCCCCGTTCTGCTTTTGGTCTGATAATCCGTTTATAGCTGCGCTCCCAAAGTAGCCATTGCCTGTGAAAGTGCCGGACGGGGTGGTAGGGTGCGACGAGAGAGGTCCTCTGCCGGGAGTGGGAGGACGAGGCTCATCAGGTGAGTCCTGCGGAGGAGGAATATTTGTGCCATCAGTGAGCGACACGTTGATCGGGGAGAGGGTGGGAAGCTGGAATTTCCCGTTCTTCGACATCGTGATTGTTGAGGCGTCGGTCGCGTTTGTTATGTGTGTCGGCTCAGGCTCAAGCGTTGCGCACGCGTTCAGGGGAGATGATGAGCTTGTCAATCACCTGAGGATACCCTGTGGCGTCGCGACGAAGACACAATTGTAGCTTGAACCGAAAGACAGGAGAAGGTAGTAATTACCGTGCAGGGGCAGGAAAAGACCGTTGCACTGAGGCGACACAGCAAGGATTGCTTGTTTGGGTTGCCGGATGGCTCTCGTGAGTGGAGACTTCAGCAAGGGAAGGGTTCGGTTTCGGTTCTCCCGTCTCTCCTGCGCCCGAGTGCCCCCGACTGGCGCTCGTGCGCGCTAATTTAGTGCTCCGCCTGTGTGAAAAGCAAATATCATTCGCATTAATCCTCCGAACAGACGCCACTCCCAACGTCCTTTCTCATATATATACATATATACATATAGAAATTGACATGGAGGATGAAGAAAGCTTACGTCATGGAAGCTTCATGCGTGAGGCTCTCAGTATGGTGGGACCTACTTTACTCACTCGATTCCATACCACATTCGCTGACGCACTGAAAGGCAGAGCTAGCACTCGAAAGCGACGAAACACCTGTGGGATGCGTTTTTGTGCATGATGGTAAAATTATTGGCAAGGGTATGAACGACACCAATAGATCTCTCAATGTAGGTGATTGTCGTGATGCTAACGCCCCATGATTATCTCCGCGCTAACATGGCAAAGGGCACGCGACATGCTGAATTTGTTGCTTTAGCAGAGATCCTGGCTAAGTACCCACTAAGTATATTGAAAGATACAGATCTGTATGTGACCGTCGAGCCTTGTGTTATGTGTGCCTCAGCACTTCGGCAGTACGGCATTCGGTTCGTCTATTTCGGATGCTGGAATGAAAGATTTGGTGGAACAGGCGGGGTTTTGAATATTCATGATGAGTGAGTATATATGTCTGTATGCAACCGTGTCTGAAGTCCCAGATGATAACATTGCGCAAGCCCTTCCGTCGACAAGTCGCTGCCTGTTAGAGGCAACATATTTCGAGAAGAAGCCATCATGCTCCTGCGCCGATTCTATGTTCAGGAGAACGAAAAGGCGCCAGCACCTAAGCAAAAGAAAACGCGCGAACTCAAGACGGCGATCACGCCGCTGGAGTTCAAGAAGTGATTCCGAGACACCCTTTGTATCCAACTGACGAGGTCAACGTATATCCCATTGGTGGCCATCAATATCGACATAGCTCAATTCGAGCTATCGGTACCTGTCTTATCCAACACGTGGCTAAGAAGCTTGCTCAATGAATCCGAGCACCGCTTCTTATCGCGTATGTGTGCGAGAAGTGGCATGTCCGCCTTGATCTCATCGACGACTTCTTCTAGGCACCCCTCTAGTACCTTTCGCATTCCCTTGTCCGCCTCCATCGATTGATCGTGCAATGGGTCTTTGAAGAATGTTCCCAATGATCGAGCGAGAGTGGCGTATGGGATCGGTCGCAGTGCCTCAATTTTTAGTTTCACATGCTCCATAATATTGGCTAATGCTCTATGCGACGCAATTCTCCAGACATACGTGCACTCAGTAAGAGCAAGTCGCTTTTCTTTGTCGGAGAGCGCTGCCTTCGGGCAGAGTGTCTGGGTCTTCCAGTCGACTAGATGAGGTGCAAAGTCCCCCTCTGTGACGATATCGTGAATGAGAGAAAAGTGTCTTGGGTCAATGGCACTCCAAGTTGCGGACTTGATGACATAACCTCGTTCTGGGTCCTTCGTTTTGGTATTACTGAGACCCCATGATTCAACTACTTTGGCATCAAACACGAAGTCCTTACTTGGGACTTGCTGACCACTGGACGTCAGACCGCCACCGATCATCAAAGTTACTTTTCGATTGTTGAGTCTACGTCATGTTAGTATATGTTTGTCACGGAAAGTTTGAAGATTTTACACTCGTCTCCATTTGGCTGCAATCTTCGCCTGTGTGAAAGGATCACTGACGTTCGGCGGAGGAGACTGGCTGACCGGGCGGTCTTCCTCATCCTCCTCATTCTCGGTTTCGTCGCTACTTACTTCGACCGACGACAGCTCTTCAATATCATCGTATGCGATCCTAGCTTGGTTCTGGGAATCGGTGAGCCTAGAGTGAGCTTCAGAAGGTAACGCCACCCTTGGGTCATAGATTGTCATTTGGCCATGCTCTAGAGGAACTCTAATGAGAGCGTTCAAATGGTGGTCAGACTTTGCTCCAACATCGAAAACGTCCTTACAGGTCTTCTTTGCTACTGGGGCTGACATTTCGACCTTACTTTTCCGCTTAGCATCACCACAAGTCAGAGCCTTCGGCAGTTCAACTGATGCTCGTAGACCGAAACGGGAAGTCAGATCAGTGGTCGTCACGGCCTTTGAGAATCGTGTGGGACATGGCAACGACTCATTACTATTGAACCTAACCCCGTCCTTGGCCACTGACTGAGGGTGATCCGGTTCCAGCTTTCTGACCTCAACAATCATGCAGTCGTCCTCGGCTGGCTCTTTTATAGCCATCACCGCTTCCCAGTACTTCAAATCAGGATAACCACCGTTGGTCGTCTGTACCATATTGTGTGCATGAGCATTCTCCAAGAGCTTTTGCACAGGTGGATAGTCGTAGGGGCTCAAGTCTCTTGGCTTCACCCATATTCTATGACTATCATCAGTGTCGAAGATATGTTGATGTCCAAGAGACTTATTTACCTTTGTATGTTCCTCTTGGCTAGCCGCAAGACTGCAATTGAGTCATGCTCTGGTCTTTGTTGTTCGCCAGTCATCTTCTCCGAAGTTGATACTATTACTGGCCAGGCTGGAACTTCGCCTGTCCACAGATAATATTTTCCTAGAGAGATCTCTACGGTATGCATTGGCTCCGCCAATAGGTGAGGTACATGGTCTTCCATAGAGCGAGCTGTTAGGCAGATAGACTTGTTGTGGGTTTATTGCATTCCGATCTATTTGTGCGGATTGTGAAGGTGGTAAAAATTATTGATGAGATCTGACCTTGTGTTGATGCTAAAGTGAATCAATCGGTGTGGTTTATATAAATTTAAGTGAAATCGAATGCTCAAAGTCAATTTTAGTGATGATACCCGAGCTCACACGCATAACGTGAAGTGGAGAGTGTATCTAATGAAGTGTTGAGCAGCTGTAGCTTTTCTCTCACAAAGCTTACACATAGCCCCTGCAGAACTGAAGTACTTCAGAGCTGCTGCTTAAGTCGACAGTATTCTTCTCTGATATCTTCTCTACAACATGATCTCAGGTATTAGTACCAAATGCAACAGTCGTCTTCATCTTCACAGCTGTCTTGGCCATAACACACGTAACCATTACCGGCTGATGAAGACATGTCAAATAGCTCCGTTCAGCCTGTATACCGTGATACGACGTGTTAATAGACTTGTCGAAGACATGCATGTAATAAAATCAACAGTGGTGGTTTCTAGCAGGAGAGCTCATTCAAGATCCTGAGCTTGGATCCAAGTGGGGCCATAGAGCATGAATGCAGCCAATCATAATCTATAAAGCTACCTCGACATCTGTCCTTCCAAAAAGACCACTGCGCATCAATATACATCTCGACACCTCAATTAGCACCACTCCAGAGTGAGCCTCGCCCTAGGTGCCTACACGCCCTTTCTATCAGTCCTCGCCTCCTTTCTGGGCCCACGACGAGCAATAACATCCCTCCGGCTTCTGCGCGTGTCAAAATGCTAAATCTCTCCTCCCTCCAACCACGGCAACTCGCCGCACAAGTCCTCAACTTTGCCCTCGTCCTCTCGACCGCATTCATGCTCTGGAAAGGGCTCAGTGTAGCAGCAGACTCACCTTCCCCGATCGTCGTCGTATTATCTGGTAGCATGGAGCCTGCATTCCAGCGCGGCGACTTACTATTTCTGTGGAACCGCGGCGTGGACACACAAGTTGGCGAGATCGTGGTATATAATGTCAAGGGAAAGGATATTCCTATTGTGCATCGGGTGGTGAGAAGGTTTGGTGGCGGGTGAGTTGCACTCTATGAGATAGAGAGGGAGAGCGATACAAGAAGAGAAGCTGACTTTGGACAGAGAGGAACCGTTACAATTACTTACAAAGGGAGACAACAATATGGCAGATGACGTAGAGTTATATGCGAAGGGTCAGAGCTTGTTGAACCGGGAAGAGGATGTGATTGGGAGTGTAGTGGGCTTCATACCGTTTGTGGGATATGTGACGATATTGCTAAGTGAATACCCGTGGCTGAAGTCTGTGATGCTGGGGATCATGGGATTGACTGTCGTACTGCAGAGAGAATGACGAGTTGAAGAAACAGGATTCATTGCAGGCGTCATAATTTAGGGAAAGCAGGTCATGTCGAATCGTCGTCGTTGGAACGGAGGCTCATATTGCTGGGATGAAACCCTATTGGAGGCTGATCATGTATGACTTGTATTCTCATGAACATAACCAGTTCCGCCATAGTATTGCTTAATCCCCCTTTATCTACGACGTTGAGATCAACCATTATATTCAGCGCCCAGATTCAAAACATAGTTATCGGGAGATGCTCTATGATTGTGCGTACATGGTAAAAGTCAAAATGATTAGGTATGCGTCCGCCGAGATTCGAACTCGGGTACCCGCCTGGTCCGATGTCCTTAGGGACATTGGGAAGGCGATATCCTAACCACTGGACTACGAACGCGACTGAGGAAGAAGGAAGGCAAACGCGGCTCTTAGCCGCTTGGTCGATCCATGCACGTAGCCGAAGCAGTGGTGAGGTTGAGTTCAACATATAGATGTCTAGGTAGTGGTGAAGCTTGGAACCATGTGACTGTTCTGTCTGGAAGCAGTGACGTGGAGGTGACCGACCACGCGACGGCAGGATGTTCGCAGTTACAGTCACGAGCGTGTGGCATCTTGAGGTCACCGAGAGCCATCTCAGATGATTAAAGAAGCAACATTCCGTATTGAACCACCCAGCCTAGTTTACAGAAGAAACCCACCTATAAGAAACCATATAAACGGCTATTTCCGCCAGCTCATGAGTCGCAGACTGCCTGGTTGATATAGAGGGGCTGAGAAGCGCAGCGCCCCAGAATACGACGACCGTGCATCATTAAATACATGTTTGATGAGCCCGATCAGAGGAAACCTCTGTTGGCAACAAAGCGATCTACATCTCCCGAAATGAGAAATATAGAAATCGCCATGTACCCAAGCTGCGTCCGCTGATTGCACACCCCTCGAAAGACAATAACACCACGAACCTTCCAGGCCAGATGGTCATCATTGTTTGGAATTCATGATTATGCTCTATTCAGAGCCCTCATCATCATCATCGCCTCCCTGTAGATATGTTAGAACTGTCAAAAAGCGGGAGAAGATATTCTTACGGCAGCATAGGCAGCCTTCTCCTCCTCGTACCGCTTCTTATCAGCGGCAGCTTTGGCTTCATAGGGGGCGCGCCCCTTATCATTGAGAGCCTTCCACTTCTCTCCAAGGAGCTTGCCAACCTCACCTAAAAATTATCAGCAGGGGTGCGCAATGATTGTCTTGGTTTACCAACCAAACTTGATGCCCGGGTTATCCTCACGGACTTTATCACGTTGGTCATTTGCGAAGAACATGTACGCGGACAGACCACGCTTTGGGGCGTTCGGGTCTGTTCAGATTAGCGCACAGCTTGGCATGTTGGTGACGACGAGATGAATTACCCTTCTTCTTTTTGCCGCCTTCGGCCTTGGACTTGGTCTTGCGGGTTGCTGCAGCCTTAGGCATGGTGATCTGATTTACTACTTGTGGAAAACATATCAGCGGAAGCTCGTCAGGTGCCCGTGTATGAAGCCAGAGAGCAAAACACGTGAGTCTGAGGGGAGAAATGATCCGTGTTGAACAGGCTCGATGTTGAGCACTCTGTGACCATTTCGAGATTACGTGCATACAGCGCTGGGATTGTTTTGATAAAGTGCGCGGATGCTGCATCGAGCGAGTCGCGGTCGAATCGCGCGTTTGACGCGACTAAAGAAGGAGAATCAATCAAACAGAAAGGTACTTACAAATTTAGGGTGGAGTCGTTGAAGAGATTCGAGGATCAAGACGCGTCTGTGGTTGTGGTGTTAGTAGGGAGCGCATGTCAACAAGCGACGACGACGATGATGCAAGTCGCGATTCAATTGAAGTTGAGCAAAACATGACGAGAAGAAGCATAGAACAAGTCGAGAGACGCGAGATTAGGCTGGAATCGAGCAGAAAAAATGGTTGTGGATTATGCGCGACCATTTCGATGCTTGCGAGCCCATATAAAATGTATGGTGAAGGGGGACTTACATTTTGCTGGAGAGGCAGTTTGCTGTAGAGAGACGTTGTATGGGAGAGTTTGGGTGAGAGAGACTGTATGAGAGAGTGCGCGGGCGGACAGCAGTACTGGAAATTGAATAGGCCGGCACTGGGCAGGGACCATCAAAGCAATGAGGGGTCCATGAGCTAGCCTCTTTAGGTATAGACCCTGGGCCTCACCTACAAATCGTCCGCCGCGCTGCCCGCCCGTTGCTATAGCCCAAACCATCCCCAGTTCGTTTTGAGTGAAGTGATCCAAGGTGCTGTTCACTCACTATATTCATTGTTACCTTGAGCCATGTTATACCGACCTTCGATTTTGTGCGCATGCTGCACTTTCATTGCGGATAGCGCTATGGATTGGGCTTACAGTAGAGAAGTGACAACTGACAAAACAGGGCGTCGAGCTGCCTGCAACCGCTTGCGCTGGATGGGCAGGACAATCAGACTGGTCCGTCCACGGGACCTATCCTAGGACCTAAGCCCCTTCATAGCACGTGATGCGAGAAGCTCTACCTAACTAGATTAAAAGGGCGCGAGAAACATACTGAAAACCCCTCGTCAAATGATAACACCTAAAGCTTGTGCGTATTAGAGCTCGCGAAAGTGAGTCTGCCTTATGCATGAACAGGGTTGGATCACGTGAGTGAAAGGCCCTGTGTGGAGTTTCGCCAACCACCATCGAATCTAGTTCCCTGTGCCACAGTACGTCCGAAAAAGTCGCGGTGAGGACCCGTCACCTTACTAAATAAACTCTTCACTACGTGCTGGAACTTTGCAGCATTGGTGAAGGGCGAGAGATTGATATAACGATATGTTTGTAGTAATCACAAATACTCTTTACTTGATGTTCACAAGGAGCACTCGATCTTTTTAGGCTTTCTGGTAAATTATTTCAAGCGTATTCTTTGGATCCAACCGCCTTTATCTAAGCAATCGGCTGACTTGCAGGTTGCAGCAAAATGCCCAAAATATACTTTATCCGACGAGACGTCAATAGGTGACTGTGAGATCATTTCGTAAGTCTCGGAATGCTCGAAAACGCCAGGCTCTAATCGGAGTGACAATATGCATCCACGATACAGTAGCGAGGCGCGACGTTGTGTTCATCGTTGAGATTGGGCTCGATCCCCGTGAGGCCACAGAGCGTAACTTTTTGGTTGACGGAATGAGGCATGATATCCGTCACCCAAGTTCCCCTTCATCATCAAGTACAAGAGCTGTCATGGCCTCACTATCTGCCCAGTTGATACCACTACCAACTATCATTGCCGCTACAACACTCTTCATCACACGCCAACGCTTACGCGCAGAGAGTAATTCTGCTTGTGCCTCCATAGCTTGTTTTCGAAGACCTGCGTCTTGAATCTCGTCAGGGACCTGGGCTTTGAGATCATTGGCAAGGCCCAGCAGTTCTTGGGCGATCGTTCGGTTTTCCTGCATAAGAAAGGCGTAATCCCGCTCGGCAGAAGCCACATATGATGTCGTTAACACTGTTTGTGAAGCGAGCGAACCGTGAATCATGGACAAGATATCCCTCTCATTGATCACAGGGAACAACCTCCTATATAGGTGTTAGTATGGCGTTCATTGCGCATGGATCACTTTCACCTTTCTACAGTAGAAGTATTGGGTCCGCCATGTACTGCTTTGATAACCGGGTCTGTCACGAGAACACTATGAACAATCTTGTTGCGCAGTAGATATCTTGAGCGCGCCGCGAGAGCCTCGCGTTCGACGGAGATCAGGCGTTGCTCTAAGACATCATCTGACACATTTGAAGGCTCTGGTATCTGTCCTAATAAACCAACGTGAGCATTTAGTGGAGAAGGTGAGGCAGATTGGAACGCACCTGACAGTCGCATCTCAAGCAGAGCGGACTCTATTCGCAACTCTTCTGTTTGATCCCATAGGCTGAGTGCCTGTCTTTCGCGCTCCGATAGCACAAGCGCATCGTTGTTAGGCGTTTGTGTGAGATCTTTGTAGGACCTTGACTCATCGGAGAAGCCGTTATGAGAGGGCAATTTGGGTTCATCCATTTCTCAACTCCAAATATTCTCTGACATTCTCTCAAATTCTTGTTGTACATCTCATATACGCGTCTTCAAGCTTTACGATAAAGCTGTAGGACCCTGGCCATGGAACGGCGGCCGCCTTGGCACCGTCCACTAGAACCCAGTTCCATCATCGCGGGCAGCTCCACATCTTCAAGATCTCGCATCACACAGGACTCACGTTCTCTTTGGGGACATGCGACACAGCCCCAGAGAGCGGAGCTGGGGATGTCGCTACAGGTCTACGTAACTCATACAGGCCAACGGCTCGACGCCGATCCTGTATCTTTCAACTCGCTTGAAGCCTTGACTGCATGGTTATCGCAGCGTACTGCGATACCAAAACAGAATCTCCTCCTCCTCACGACTCGCGCAAAACAAGTAAAGCTACAAGCGCTTCTTACAGAAGTAAGCGAGTGTTTCATTATCACTGATCAAAGCTAACAGTGCGGACAGAAGGAGATATTTGCGTTCGATCGCTCTCTCTTCTCAGACAGCCAACCAATCCCAAGCCCTGCTCTCGTACCCGATCTCTTTGAACCGGATGAAGCTCCATCTGATATATCAAACCATACGGATCTCAAATCATGGCAGAATTTGTTCAAAACACGGAAGGACTGGGCGGTAAATTTGCTAGAGGCAAATCGGACCATGGTCAAGGATGCAAATAAGTTCTCCGCGGAACTTGCGATCGTCAAAAGGGGTGTACAGCTGGCCACTGGGAACCGCGACTCCCGCATAAAAAGGCTTGAGGCTCAGTTTGCTGAGGCTCGTGCTTGGTTCGAGGATGTTACTAAAGAGCAAGAGGAAAACCTTCGGAATCTGGAGAGGGACCTGTCTCAGCTCAAAATTATTCCTGCCAAAAGAGAATTCAAGCGTTTCATATCTCTTGGAGCCACCGATCGTCTGCAGGACCACACTGACTCGTATGTCAACCAAGGGAATCTCACGGACTTCGTCGACATCTCAGCGGTCAGGAACTCCGCCGCCTTGAGCCAGAATGTCTCAACTAGTTTCAAGAAGCGGGTAGAAGGAATATCAGGGGCTGTTGAAAAAATATCGGCTGATTACAGTAGTCTCATAAGTGCCTTATCCCAAGGCCAAAGTCAGTCATCCACTGATGAGCAAGAGCCTTCTCGCCTATTCCAGGAGATTGAGACCATAGTCAAGAAGGTTGTGTCAGATTATGAACACGTCCTTGGGATCTCGATCATTAAATCTACTGTGACACAGGTGTCCAAGATGGCCCTTCTACATACTCGCAACTATCTCCCCGGTATTCACGAATGCACGATCGAAATGAGCAATCATTTAATACGAGCAATAGAACACAAAAATGCTGCTGTCCAGAGTGGTGTAGAGAGTATGCGAAGTATAGCCACGATTGATTCCTTGATTATCAAGGTTGAAGAAGATCTAAAGTCACTTGAGATCCCGGCGGAAGGGCGTGACGCTCTCGAATCATTAGCGATCGTCTCGAAGCTACCGTATGTATACGGATCGCTACAGCTGGAAGCAATACGTAGACACGACTGGTCCGACAAGATGAAACACGATTCTTCGGTCCTCGCAGAGGAGATGGCGGGCTATCAAGAGGAAGAGGAGCGTCGCAGGAGGAAGTGGCTCAAGACCATCAGTGATTTCATAAACGTTGAAGCTTTCCAAGATAAAGCCCCCGGGTTTGAAGTCAATATTCGTGGACGAGAACAAACTTGGCCATCTGTAACTCATGAAGCTTTCCGATCCTACATCGATCTATTGATGGGCACGAAGGGCCAAGAATCGACCATCCAAGCACTGAGCCAGGCCTTCAAGGAGATAGACCGACCTACCAAGCAGCAGATGAAGCGAGCCAAGGGTGTAAAATCTGGCAGTGTGCATGAAGCTTCCATCGGTAAAGGATCGTTGATGCTTCGTGGAGATGACGAAATACGCGTCCTTCGAGAGAGTAATTCGAAACTCGAGGAAGAGCTGAAGGGATCAAGGAGTCGAATTCGCAAGCTGGAGGGCTTGGTACATCAACAGAATCACACACCTCGCCTCTCTCTGGGCAGTGCATTCCATCCAACTCCAAGTCCGGACTTGTCAACGCCTGATGCAAACATAGGTGTGTCACTAAGGTTGCAGGACAATCTGTCTCGACGCTCATCAATGTCTTCTCGACGACCTTCAACACAACGTGGAGGTGAAGAGAAGGCCCTTCAGCGTCGTCTATTGCAGCTAGAAGGTGAGCTTGCTTTAGAAAAAGATACTCGCATCTCTCTAGAAAATGACATAGCCGCGAAAGAACTCTCTGCGAAAAATTTACAACAACAGCTTGCAGAAGCTAACTCCCTCAAGCACGATATCATGGAGAACATGGAAGATCAACAGAAGGACTTTTCCAACGAGCGTCGATCCTTGGAAGGAGAGATATCGAGGCAAAAGTTCAAGATCGAGGAGCTTGAAGATGAGTTGGACCGGATCCTTGGCAGTCGTGACAACGAACAACACGGCAACGAGACTCGAATGCAAAGGCTCATGGAACAACTCGAACATGCGCGGAAAGAAGCTGCGAACGATGCTCGACACTCACAAGATCAAGTGCGTCAACTCGAGCAGGACATTGCGAAACGGGACGAAGCGGAGGCAGGACTCAAAGAGATCCTTTGTAGCGTGTACAAGCATCTAGCACCGGATGGATACCCCCCCTTCGAGCTCACGATCATCGTTGAACATCTTGAGAGTGTAGCGCAAAGGACAATCGATCATGTCAGGGACTTGGAGTCGGCTGTCCAGACCGCGAAGTCTGAGGCGATGGCGTTGCGGTCTGATAACAGCACACGTGAAGCTGATCTAGCGGCAAAAACCCAAGAGCATGACAGCGCAGTCCGTAAATTTGAATACCAGTTAAGCTTGAAGGAGGCACAGATTAAATCTCTCGAGTCCGAACTCGAAGGGGAAGGTCGACAGCTCCATGAGCTAAGGTCTAAATTCGAAGACAGGGAAACAGGCTCTGAAGTGCTTCGGAAGCGTGTAGAGGAAGAAGAGACTAAAGTGCAGAAGATAACAACCGAACTTACTGAGGCAAGGTCGCATATCAACAGCCTTGATGTCGAGCTACTTTCTATGCAAAAGAAGAACAACGAGTTACGAAAAATCTCGGAGAACGACTCGAGCACGCTCCAAGAACGATCACTACATGTGAAGTATCTCATACAGCGGATCTTTGCACGAAATGAGCGCCTCCTTCGTCTTCTCGAGACCCTCGGATATGCAATCAGCTACCCCGAGGAAAGAATGGTCGTCCAACGAATCTCCAAAACAGGTAATAGCACCGTCCTACCTGATCCAAATGCAAGCTTAACATCATCTCCACCAACCGGCGCAACAGCCTCTCAACATCTGACATACACTCCCACCGACTCTACATTGCTCAAATGGCTCGAAAGCGAACCACCCCCTATAGAAGGTGCTAACTACGCCGACCTCCTCGCTTCTATCAATCGCTTCAGCTTGGATACCTTCCACGACGCCGTCCTCAAGCGCATGAAAGACTTTGAGCACACCGCCCGCAAATGGCAAAAGGAAGCCCGTGCCTATCGCGACAAAGCCCACCGCGCTGCCTCCGACGCCCACGACAAAATCGCTTTCCGCTCCTTCAAGGATGGTGATCTTGCGCTTTTCCTGCCCACCCGCGACCAGGCAAATCGACCTTGGGCCGCATTCAATGTCGGTGCCCCCCACTACTTTCTTCGCGAGCATGACAATCATCGCCTTCGTAATCGCGAATGGCTTGTTGCACGCATATCGAAGATCGAGGAGCGCGTCGTTGATCTCAGCAAAACGCTCAACTCGGCATCTATGCGCGGCGCCGACGGACTCAGTATGGACGAACGCTCGACGGGTGGAGCGAGCTACGAAGACGATAATCCATTCGAGCTCTCCGACGGTCTGCGTTGGAACTTTGTCGAGGCGGCTGAGGAAAAAAGCGGCGCGCCCAGCACGCCGGGCCTAGGGAAGAGCACTGTCGCGTCAGCGCACGTCGATGCAAAAGGCAGTATTCGCGTTAAGAGCAAGACCGGCAGTGGGAACGACGCAAGTCGCACACTGAACAAGAGTCTTGATTCTCGCCGTAGTAGTGCGAATTCATCGCGCAAGAGTATCGTCGGTGTGAGCGCGCTCAAAGGGAGGACTTCGACAGAAGGATTAGCGACGGGGAATCCGGTCGCCGGCGGAAGTGGACTCGGACGAACCGGACAGGAGGGAGCGACCGCGGAGCGAGATGCGAATCTTAATACGATTGTGACTGACGAGGTGCGAAAAGATTTACTTTGGGGTCCCTGACAGTCGATTTGTTCTATCACAACAGCCTCATCGCGTTCTATACCTTTATCGTTTTTGTCTGTGTGTATTTGAATGAGCCACAAACCTTTGTATATCGACGCCATTGAATCGAGTTGTCTTCCTCACAATCTGTCGCCGTGAGGCTCGTTTTTCTGACGCTTCTCTGCGTATTTCGCACACTAACATGTTGAACCATAGAATCCGATCTTCTCGCCAACGATCCCACCTCCCCCCGCTTCTAGACCTCCATCCCCCCCGAATTTCACCACGCCCGTTCCAGTGCAAGCAACCACTGCATCACCCTCCAAACCACCTACCAGAACACCCTCTGCATCACCGCCGAAAACACCAGCAGGCCCACATGCGGGATCACCGAGTAAACAGCGCCCCCAAGCGACTAAAAGCCTATGGGATTCGTTGTTCCAGTTAGACATCAGTGTCGAGAAGGGACGCAGTCCAGGGCGGAAATAAGGCATCAGATCGCCTACGTACGCAGTGAAGATAACCACAGAGGGCATGAATGGATGCGAGTTGCTCATGATACTTCTGTGGGAAAACTTGCATAGCCACGGAATATATACACTTGCTCGGCGAATATGCGCAGTGAGGATGTCATAGTGAGGATACATAGTAGTCAGTTCTTCAAACATACCCATTAATTCAGCGGTTCCAGTCAATTTCGCTAATCTTGTCGCATTTTAAGCCAAAGTAAAGTGACCTGAGTGATTTCGAAAGTCGACTTTCAATAATTATGAAATCTATTCGGGTTGGTCGAACTAGCCTGGACAGCGTGTATCTCTTCGTCGAAGTTCATAAGATGATTTTGGCATTTCTTTGTTATATTCATGATTCGCCTTACAGCACTCTTTGGATAGATTTCGGGTAAGAGCGGAGGAGTTGTCAGAAACCAAGATCCATATATATCTGAATCTCGACTTTGGAGGCGAAAACAAGTGTTAAGGTCGCGAAGTTCGCCCCTGTGATACCAGACTTTGCTCGCCAAGGTAATATATTCTGAAGTTGATGAATGAATACCTCAGCGCTGCGTGGCTGGAAATGGACTGGGTGTGCGAGGCTGTATGTCGAAGTATCTGGTCGATGAATCGTCGGAGTCCATGACATAGTTTAGAACAAAGATGCATTCACCTGAGTGTACAGCGAATTGTTCGTTGGAAGTAAACAAAGATATAATTATATGGAGCGCGTACGATAAGCAGACGTGGGGGGCTTGGCACTGTAAACAGACTAGCGTGAGCGAGGTTGAGTTCACGAGGAGCTTCCACCACCACCCACTCGTCACGGTCACAAAACTCCCTGTCCTGGACTACTTGCACCGTTCACCCTGTTCACGCGCAGACTTGTCTTACATGCTCAAGCTCTCTCAACCTTCACTTGAAATGCTCTACTATTCACGATCAGCATCGACGTGAAGTAACGCGTCCGTTGTCCTTCTGCCTTGATCAATCACTGAGCCACAGTCCCACTTCTCGCTCTCCACCTCAGCTGGGAAGCTCTCGATCGTCGGCATAAAATCAACACACCGGCCGAGGTCGTTGAAGTAACATTTTTAAGTCTTGGATGAAGACTTATATTTCTATCACACTCACCTGGACCCGTAGGAATTAGGCGAATTCGCTTCTACCTTCCGCCTTTCGCCGTTCGCCCACCAGTTTAGACCTCCCCCACTACGATCGCAATGCCGTGCTTCCAAGGGTTGGCCGTGAGCATTCATACACCGGATGGACCTCTGTCAGAATATTCGATTCAGAGGCAGAATAGATTCTCCCGCATCACGTCGTATATACCTGTTCCTCCCGCTAAGATCCCACCCGGGTCGAACAAACCAGAGCAGTCGACATTTGCGATCTCGATCACGCTCCTCACACCAGGTCTCAATGTTCCATACTCGGCACCGAAGGCTACAGCCGACGATCCTTATCCGCGCCCCAGAATTGTGGGTAGTTTACCTGGATTTGGAAAGGATCGCGGCAAATATGGTCCTGTAATAGGTCCTTACACTCCTCTGACACAGTCGCCCAACGAGACTATTGCGGCCTACATATATTTTGACGGAAGGGCAAAAGAAGAGGTCGCAACTTTACTACGGCGCGGCGAAGAGACCTGGGTCAATTCAAGATGGGTGAGCGTACCAGACTCGGAGGGCGGAGGCCTGGCAGAACGAGAATTCTTGTTTCGGGAAGTAGGCTTAGAACGCTGGCTGAACGGGCTTGACCTCGAAGGCAAGGATATTGCCGCACGTATAGAGCGCAGGAAGCAACGACTGGAGAAGAAGCGCCTGAAGAAGGACGCTGCAGCTTCAGACGACGAGGTTGATGTAAAAGGGAAGAAACCCCTCCAAAAAAATGGCGTACTGCGCTATGGAGACAACAAAGATGCACCGGTAGAAAGTCTTTCTGGTGACGAAGGCCTATTAACCAGCGATTCGGATTCAGAAGACGAACCGCCCGAGCCCGAAGCAGCCGGGCAAATCAAGGTGGCTCTATTCAGAGTGCTAGCTTCGGGTGAAATCAAACGAGGAGAGTACTCTCCCCAATTCGACGCTCATGACGACGATGAGAACGCGGGTCAAAACGGCAATAGTGGAGGCGATGCCGATGTCGATCACACGACAAGCTTTGCAAAACCAAAGACTTTGGACCCTAAGTCGATCAGCACGCAGACCGTGACTGGTATCGACCCGCCAGATAAGCCATATGCAGTATTCACCTTCTTGTATAGGGGCGAGAGTGAGTCTTGAACATTTTTGGGCTTCAATATCAGCTGATTTTGTGTGCAGAACAACTCCGCAAGATGGGCATCCTCGCTACTGATGAGAAGAAAGCACCTGTACCGTTGAAGCGCCGGTCTACTGGTATTGACCTTGGTAACCTGAAACCTCTCACCAGCACTGGTACAAAAGGATTTGCAGGTTATCGTGACGGAGCAGCAACGTCGCCCACGAAAGGTTTCCCTAGGAAGGGCAAGAAAAAGGACGACGAGGATGCTATGGATAGCGACGCAGATGATGAAGATGATAGGAGGAACGAAGAAGACTACGAAGACATTACGGAAGAGAAAGGTCTATTATCACCAGATGACGCTCTCAAGCAGGGCGAACTTGCGGAAGGTGTACGAAAGATTAAGGTAGTCGACCGAGAGACCCGATCGCATGACAATCGCTAATACAGAGCAGCTAAAACGTCAACACTCTGCCGAACCAGTCGCACAGCCGCCACCACCACCACCTCCTCCAACCGCAAATATGGCCACCCAACCAGAACCAGCTCGAAAGGGATCATTGTCACCAAAGTCTACATCTGTTCCAGCACCTACAAGCACGACAACGTCATCGTCAGCGCCAAACTCAGGGGCACCTACGCCATCTCTACCACCCAGCGACGTACCACCAGAGGCCCTCGTCGGATCGCCATTCAAAAAACAGAGAGCTAGCTTACCGGGATTTGAAGAGAGTGTCCGGAAGAGTCTGTTCAGCAAGTTCGAGAATAAAGAGCCCACTGCAAAAGGCGTAACAGGAAAACCGCGGGACGATGGCGACATGGACGAAGACGAAGAGCTTTGAGCATGCAACGATTGCACCTCCCGGAAGAAAGGAACACTCCACTTCATTCTACTTACCGCAGCATCAATACTGAAGTCGCAGGGCAAAGGAATTTTATCGCATTGCTTTCAGGAGGCTTTCTGCGCGCTCGCCATACCACTTGAAACTGAGCTCGCTTGATACCATAACGCCCTGTAAGGAGCGAAAGCACAACATCACTCTATTTGAATCTAACAGGAAAGCAACGGAGGGGCTTGGATGTTTGACGAATATTACTATCTTGTCTACGATACAGACACAGCATGGTGGGTGATGAATAAACGCAAGCTTGGGAACACGATACAAAATCCGCACTGTTATACGCATACGTGTAGTGACGTTCGGTAGATGTGGCGAGAACAATATATCCTTCGAATCTTGTGAGATAGCTGTTGTGGATGGGTGGGATTTAGTATTCCTACCTATGATGTGACTACTTGGATAGATCTTATATCTGGCACTTTACCAAAATTGGTCAGCGGAACAAATTGATGCACCTCTGGCTGCTCCTGCACGCCAAAGAGCCATAGATCGCCTCGCGATTGTCTATGTACGTCAGTAACCATAGTCTGTATAAACAGACCAAATGAGCAGTTTTCTCTGATCTAGTCCGTTAAGACCTCAGCCTCGTCTCTTAGAGTTTAAAGTCAACATTTGCCCTTTCCCAGCTCTCCTGATCTCTGGGCTTCCTCCCTGCAACCCTATCTGCTAGCGCGCCCTTCTTCTCCCTCGCCCTCTCTGTGCTTAGTTCGTATAGTGTCGCAAGATTGAAGGTCAGTGTATGAAATGCATGACCCTGGTCCACAAGGTCCTCGAGTACCTCCCGCGCCGCAGACATTTGGCCGACATACAAACGGCAAACCGCAAGATTTTGTCCTATCATTGGATCTTTGGAATGTGACTTACGCAGGGCTTGTAGTGTAGACAGCGCTGAATCAAAGTCATCGTCGGAGATTTGTAGGAGTGCTGTCAAGTGTGATGGGGGCTGGGAGGCAGGCAGTGTGCGGCGTGCGGCTGCAATATCGCCAACGCGAAGCCAGAGGAGGGCTTCGTAGGTACGCAATCGGACTGCTTCGGCGTCTTCTGCATCGGTGTAGCCTGGAAGTGAAGCCAGGTGTTCGGCCGCGGCTTCTAGGTCGCCCATTTCCACGAGGAGATTTGCGGTCAGCACGCCGAGTTCTCTGAGGCGCGCGCTCCATTCTTCAGTCGCTGCGTTGTCATTGTGTGTAGCGGATGCGCGTGCGATTTCGGAGCGTGCCTCGCGGGCCAGCTCGTAGTATCCCATGATGCCTTTGCGCCATTCCGAGTATCCGAGGGCAGTGAGTCGGATGCATAGGACGCGGAGGGACCATGGGACGTAATGAGTGCCCGACACGGGGTGGCGGTAGAAGGATGAGGTGAGGTCACCCAGGGCTTTTGACTCGGTTGCGGCGAGGTCGTGATGAGAGAGAAGTGTGAGGCAAGCGAGGCGGGTGTGGAAAAGATTCAGGATGGTTGTGACGGAAGTAGGATCGCGAATGGCGCATAGTTCGCGGGCGCAATGGAGAGCTGCGAGGCGGTATTGGCCTCGGGAGAGGAGGGTTGTGAGGGAATCGTTGATATCGGAGGCATTCAGGGAGTTGAGGAAAGGTTGTGGGACTGCGGAGGTGGGGAGCGGATGGTATATTGAAGGATCGAGGAGGAAGGAGAGGTCTTTAGAGGGGACATCGTCGAGGGCAGAGGTCGGAGTGGTCGAGTCTTGTGCTGGTGAAGCTATCTGACTTCGAGATATTGGCTCGGGCTGTGAGAAGCGGGGAGCGGAGGTGTCTATGGTCGAGCCGGCCAGCGGACTAGATCAACAGTCAGTCAGTCAGTCATCATAGAGCTGAGTTGACGGGATATCAAATAATGCATACTCGTCTGTGTCTGCATCAAGTGGTCCTAGAGTGGTCCTTCGCGGCATGGCCACTAGTAGATCAGGTCAATGAACGGCAACTCAAGGTTGTGCAAGGCAGGGCAGTAAGTCTGAAGGAGTAGGTAAAAGACTCCTCCTGACAGATTAGAACATACCTCTCCTGCGCTCATCGTGGGAAGGATTGTGTCCATGGCCTCTGTCAGTACTCATGGCTTGGTGCTGATGCGGAGAAGCAGATGTGAGGTGTACATAATACGGAGATGAGAGCGCTGGCAAGTCTTGGTATTAGTTGGCGAATCAGACATTGCATCACCTTCCCCAGACTCTGCCTAGTGCTTCGCCATCTAATACCTATGATGCTGGGCGATGCTGCAGCCGATGTCGCTGAACAGCTTCAAGCGGCGGGGTGTCAGAAGCAAATCTCGGTCTTTGATTGGCCACTCAGACACTAGCCTCACGCCGCTTTTGCTAGAGACCGCTCAGACCAATTCTACTTTCTCTTCCACATGTTTTTGTCGGCACGGGGAGGCCAAGTGAGAGGCAATCCAGATTCTTAACTTTGACTCACCTCCAATTCGTCGTGACTACATCTGTCAGCCCCTCTCCACTCTCCTCTCACCCGTATCCTCCTTCAAGCCTTTGTCGACACTCAAAGACAATTATACGTTTGCATAATTCGACTTGGGTTCCTCTCATTCATCAGCTTCCGAGGTTTTCGTCACTAGTCTAACCCTCGTCTTCGCTGCAGTCTTTGCAGAACGGACCGCCCAGAGCTTGCGGCAAATCCTACATCGCACCCTACGAGTACGATCAAATCGTAAGCCCTTTCTGCGCCATGTACTCCAAAGCAACCTCGAAGGCAATTGTGCCTTCGTTGGCTCGTGCCCGCGCTTTCTCCTCTTCCGCCTCTCGTCCTGCTGTTTCGCCATACTCCAGAAAAACACAAACAGCCACATCGACTCTGTCCAATGAGACCACGAAGCGTACTCAGAGTACTCAGGCCCAACCGGCGCCCTCGAGAGCACGACCAAGTCCCGCGTTCAACCGCGAAGATTCCGGTATCAGAGGTGTGCAACCGCTTAAGCCGTACCGGCAGCCAGAGATGGATCATTCTTTCGTAGGAATGACTGGTGGTGAGATTGTACATGAGATGATGCGTCGACATGACGTGAAACATGTCTGTGAGTAAATTGACAGGCACCATCTTGGCTACGATTGCTAATCGCATCACTCAGTTGGTTACCCTGGAGGAGCCATCCTACCTGTGTTTGATGCTATTTACAATTCAGAACATTTCGATTTCATTCTTCCGAGACACGAACAAGGGGCTGGGCACATGGCGGAAGGTTATGCACGTGCATCTGGAAAGCCCGGTGTTGTTCTCGTAACATCTGGTCCCGGTGCTACGAATACTGTTACGCCAATGATGGATGCTCTCATGGACGGAACACCGATGGTCGTTCTTACCGGACAGGTCGTCACCGCGGCCATCGGATCGGATGCTTTCCAGGAAGCTGATATGATTGGTATCTCAAGAGCTTGTACGAAGTGGAACGTTCTGGTAAAGAACATTGCTGAGCTGCCACGGAGAATCAACGAAGCTTTCGAAATCGCAACCAGTGGTCGGCCCGGGCCCGTTCTTGTCGACCTTCCGAAGGATGTTACTGGAGGTACCTTGAACAGGCCAATACCCATGACCAGCAGTCTTCCAACGCATCCCAGTGCTGCCACCACAGCTGCCCGCGAGCTGGGCAAGAACCAGCTTGACGGTGCCATTAGGCGGTCGGCCAATCTTTTGAATATTGCCAAGAAGCCCGTCATCTACGCTGGCCAGGGTATTGTTCAGGCTGCTGGCGGTCCAGAGCTCTTGAAAGAGCTTTCAGACAAAGCCCAAATACCAGTGACCACCACTCTTCAAGGTCTTGGAGGCTTCAACGAGAATGATGAGAAGTCACTGCATATGCTCGGAATGCACGGCTCGGCGTACGCCAACATGGCTATGCAGGAAGCCGATCTGATTATCGCTCTCGGTGCACGTTTTGACGACCGCATTACGGGAAGCATCGCGAAGTTCGCTCCACAGGCGCGCGCTGCTGCTGCAGAAGGCCGCGGTGGCATCATACACTTTGAGATCATGCCAAAGAACATAAATAAGGTCGTACAAGCTACCCAAGCTGTCGAGGGAGATGTCGCGACTAACCTTGCTTCAATGCTGCCATACGTCAACGAAGTGAAAGAACGCCCGGAATGGTTCGGTCAGATCAAAGCCTGGAAAGAACGCTTTCCTTGGGCATACGAGAAGGAGGGTGAGAATGGTCTTATTAAGCCACAAACTGTAATGGTCAAGCTGTCTGAATTGACAGACCCGATCAAAGACAAAACTCTCATCGCAACTGGTGTTGGACAGCACCAGATGTGGGTGGCACAACACTTCCGATGGACACATCCGCGAAGCATGATCACGTCTGGTGGAGCAGGTACTATGGGCTTCGGTCTCCCTGCTGCTATTGGTGCGAAGGTCGCACGTCCGGAGTGCCTGGTGGTTGACGTCGATGGCGATGCATCATTTAGCATGACACTCACAGAACTGAGCACGGCGGCAGAGTTCAACGTTGGCGTCAAGGTGATCATTCTCAACAACGAAGAGCAGGGTATGGTCACTCAATGGCAGTCTCTCTTCTTCAAGGATCGTTTCTCGCATACCCATCAACGGAATGCCGATTTTGTCAAGCTGGGCGAAGCGATGGGCGTGAAAGCAGACCGATGTATCAAGCCAGCGGATCTAGAGGCGAAACTGAAGTGGCTGCTGTTTGAGAGCGGCGAAGGACCGGCTATCCTCGAGATTGTAACAGATCAGAAGGTACCCGTGTTGCCAATGGTACCAGCAGGTAGCGGGTTGCACGAATTCTTGGTTTATGATGAAGGTATGGTTCATATCGTTCATGCCGATCACTAGATCAAATGCTAACAGTTCACAGTGAAAGAGAAGGAACGCCGCAAGCAAACGAGAGAACGCTCCGGTCGCTAAAATTCCCTAGCCATCATCATTTCCTTTGATACCATTGTACATATGTTTTGTTCGCATCATGGCTCAGTTACCTGCATATGAGCCCCTGGCGTTTTCTACTTCCTTGGGGATTTAAAAGTTTCGTCTTATCGAAAGGAAGGCCCTCCGTGTCTAAATTGGAGAATTGATGAGGTGTGCAGATATATAACAGACCATGGTATACGTCAACAGAGCAGATACAAATAGCCTGGAAATACCTTCAATATGCTTTGCGATTTAAATACGTGTTGATGGCATGGAGCGGGGTCAGAGCATCGAATTTCCATTTCGGTGCAATAGGTCCCGAAAGCTCACATGCTTGGTTGGATATAAACAACTGAGGTCCACACGTCAGTTGAACACGCTCATCATCGCTCTTCCAACACCTGAAGCCACTACACAAACGCCAAAGTCAAGCATCATGACGACTCCGCAGACCAAACGCATCGGACAATACGTACACCTCAAGCCCGACTCGCTGAAAGCCTACAAGGCCTGTCACGCCGCGGTCTGGCCCGCCGTCCTTGCGCAGATCCACGCCTGCAACATCCACGACTACTCCATATACTACGACTCCAAGACGAACATCTTGTTCGCGGCTTTCAAGTGGACAGGCACGGACTGGGACGCAGACATGAAGGCCATGGCGGAGAACAAAACGGTACAGGAGTGGTGGGAGATGACGGATGCGATGCAGGTTAGCCCGACAGGAGCGCGGAGTAGCGTGGAGGGGGGATGGTGGAGAGAGTTGGAGGAGGTGTTCTATTTTGCTTGAAAGGCTGGAGGGATGGAAGGACCTCGGGGAGGTCAGGATGGGTGACGCAATAGGCTGTGGGTATCCATGCCTGGTATATATATATATTTATGGAGTGCCGGGATGTGGTATTGAGTGTGTGTCACCAGAACCAGGTGGCAAGTTGCAATCCTTGCTTATCGTCACAGTACTGTACGTATATGAGACAATTTCCGTCAGAGTCTCATGGACAGAGGAAGAGAATAAGCGGTGCTCATTGATTGCGGCAGTGAGCATCAAACTCTTCATTGGGTCTCTACAAAGTGAGCACCACTATGTAGACGCTGGCTATTCTTGGACGACACTGCTGTCGGGTGCGGCCTATTAGACTATACATCCCGTCATATGCCAAGGTTGGTAACTAAGGTACTAGGTACTATGTAATTAAGCCAGGCGGCTCCAGGCACCCCCGGCCAGGCAAATTGCAGCGAGCAGCAGCCGAGCACGAGCAGTCGGTAGTAGCTGTGTAGGCACGCACTAGGCAGTATTACACAGTATGTAGACCAAGTGTGCTGGTACCCGCTGTCTTTTGCCCGCTGGCGCCTGTTGAGCCGACACACCAGGGGTCTTTTTCAAACGGCGCCGCCGATCCAATTGGCGACACGCGGTCCCCTGCACGCGCCAAACCACCATGAAAACACAAAGTCGTTCGATTACTGGCTGGAAATCCTGTTGAAGGTTTTTTTTTGGTCGTCATGCCAGCTACAACAGTATTAGCTATGCACTCTGCTGGCTCTTGCTGGTCCTTTGCCGATCACCCCGATAAGATTCTGGAACATCGAAGACTCATCCATCATAACATGCCTCTCATTCATTCATTGCGAGCTTCTCTTGTCTTCTGCCATTCACGAAACACGCCCTGACTTCTTCTCTTTCTTCGCTTTTCCACCACTCCTCTCTATTCACACATTCTCGATTTGTTTCATTGTGTTTTTTGTTCACTCGGCTTGGTTCCCTCATCCCTACGACTTGCTCTCCCTGCAATCGTACCATGTTCTACTAGTTTCTTTGCTCCATTCTGAGACAGCACCACATTCTCCGACGGCATCACAACGAACGCCCACTCGCATACGTCCGCTGCAATGTCCCGAGTTCGAGCTGTGCTTGAAGCGCGTGAGACGTCTACAACAGATGAGTTCCTGTCTCTCATCGCAAATCCCTTTAATAGTGAGGTCGGCTACACCTGCTCTGCCAACTAAGACGGTCACTAACGTGCTTGCCATAACAGCTTCAACAAGATGCTCTCCTCGTATCTCTTGCCACCTCTTTGGGTGTTACCGTCGCCATCGCACTCCTCTTCTGCTTCATACGACCCTACAACACCGTTGTGTATGCTCCAAAGCTCAAGCATGCGGATGCAAAACATGCACCCCCCGTACTGGGAAAAGGACCCTTCGCCTGGATCAAACCAGTCTGGAAAACAACAGAGGAGGAGCTAATAGAGAAGATTGGCTTTGATGCTACGCTATTTCTACGGTTTACAAGAATGTGTCGGAACATGTTCATCGTTCTGACGATTATTGGCTGTGCCATAATCATTCCAGTCAACGTCGTGGGTGGGAAGCAGACTGCAGATGCGTTCAGCTCGCAGATCTCGACAATATATCGCCTGACGCCACAGTACATGTTTGGGGCTCCGTTCTGGGGCTTTGTGGCTATTGGATATTGCCTGACTGCAATAGTCTGCCCATTCTTATGGTGGAACTATCGTGCTGTTGCGCGCCTGCGACGAAAGTATTTTGACAGTCCAGAGTACCAGAACAGTTTGCACTCTAGGACGATTCTTGTCACCGATATTCCCCAGAGCCTGCGCAATGACGATGGTGTAATCAGTCTTGTTGATTCGGTCAAAGCCACGTCGAGCTTACCCCGGACTACCATTGCAAGAAACGTAAAGGAAATCCCAGAGAAGTTGGAGGAGCACGAGAAAGCTGTCCGGCAATTGGAGAAAGTTTTGGCAAAGTATCTCGTGGATCCCGACCGCCTCCCGGCCACCCGACCACTATGCAAACCCTCTAAGAAGGACAAATCACATCCTCCTAATCAGAAAGTCGACGCAATAGAATACCTCACAAATCGTATCGAAAGTCTGGAAGGCGAGATCCGGATGCAAAGAGAGTCCGTCGATAACCGTAATCCAATGTCGTACGGATTCGCGAGCTACAAAACCATTGACGAAGCCCATGTCCTTGCTCATGCCGCAAAAGGAAAGAAGCCAAAGGGAGCAAGACTGCGACTGTCACCTAAACCATCAGATCTCCTATGGAAAAACTTGGGCATGGGCCCTTCTCTTCGACGTTATCGCAGAATCATCAACAATCTATGGGTCGCACTTCTCACTATTGCCTGGATAGTCCCTAATGCTCTGATCGCCGTGTTCTTGACTGATCTAAGCAAGCTTGGCCGAGTCTGGCCAGCGTTCCAAACAGAGCTCGAAGCTCATCAGAACGGATGGGCCGCCGTACAGGGTGTGGCAGCTCCTGCGCTGACCTCCCTATTCTATTTTTTTCTTCCAACAATCTTCAGGAGACTGTCAGCTCGCGCTGGTGATGTCTCGAAAACCTCTCGTGAGCGTCATGTCATTCACAAGTTGTACGCCTTCTTCGTCTTCAACAACCTCATCGTCTTCTCATTTTTCTCGTCTGTCTGGGGCCTCGTCACTTTTCTCATCAACAAGAGGAAGAAGGAGCACATGTCTTGGAGTCAAGCTCTTGATGAGGCTGAGCCCTTGAGGAAGATTATGGACACATTCTCCACCGTCAGTCCATTTTGGGTGAACTGGCTGCTGCAGCGCAACCTTGGAGCCGCTATCGATTTGTCACAGATCGTCAACCTGGCTTGGGGATCACTCCTACGGAAATTTACACACCCCACGCCACGAGAACTCATTGAATCAACTGCTCCTCCTCCATTCGACTACGCTTCGTACTACAACTATTTCCTCTTTTACACGACAGTCGCTCTGTGTTTCGCGGCATTTCAGCCAATTGTTCTACCAGTCACCTGTCTCTATTTCACTATTGACTTTGTGCTGAAGAAATACCTCTTGATGTACGTTTTCGTCACTAAAACCGAATCCGGGGGACAATACTGGCGCATCCTGTTCAATCGCTTCATATTTGCGCTCCTCCTCGCCAATGTTTTTATTGCCCTCATGGTTGCGGCTAAGGCAGGCGAAACCCTGGTCTGGCAAATGTTGCCCGCTATGGCACCACTCCCATTCCTGATCATCGGCTTCAAGTTCTATTGTCACTGGGCCTTTGACGATCAAATCTATTGGTACAGCAAAGGCAATAAGAAAGACAAAGAATCCGCCGGGCTACCGGACAAGCCGTCCCGCGATCGAGACCGTGTCGCTGTCCGCTTCGGTCACCCAGCGCTATATCGCAAACTCATGAAGCCGATGGTCCATGAAAAAGCCCGACACATGCTCACACAAATCTATGGTGGCCGCTTGAACTCCGACATCAATGACACAAATATCGGCGGCTATTCGGACAGCATGACCATGAACCGCATGTCTGCCGGCCGACCAGGAAAATTGTCTGATCATCATCCCTTTGAGCTTGTCAAAGAGTCTCAGTTGGACTTCGAGCATTTCAAAGACCGCGCCGAGTTCGCACAAGAACACGGCGGTGAGGGTGAAATGTATGGTCGACCAACTGATATGATCCGGCCTGACACGCCTGGTCGTTTATATTCTGGTGATTCATCCGCGACACATTCGCGGAACGTTTCGGTCAACTCGCATATGTCTGATAAAACTCATACCCCTGAGCGGGTGTTGACACCGGGCGAGGAGCAAGGTACGACGTATCCCGCAGGATATCACGTCACGCCCGCACTGAGAGGGGCGAGTCCCGGACCTGGAAAGAGAGGTGCGTGGGAACAAGTCGGATTGCACGCGGGACGAAGCACGACGACGTTGAATAGTCAGTACAGTGAGAGCTATGAGGCTCTGAGAGGGGCGGCGCCGATGGGTACGGCGGAGCCACACACTGCGGGATCCGGTCAAGGCAGATCGTCACCATACCAGACTCTAGATCATGAAGGCGGATATGACTATTTCAGAGGGAGACATCGATAGACATGTAAGTACAAGACGGAAAAACGAGGTAAAAGCTGCATTGCGAAGGCGTATTGGGTTTACATGCTACAAGCACTACGGTGAAGAGCACAATCTCCACAACTTTGGATATGATATCAAAAGAATATTCACAAAGCCATAAATACTCGCGAGATTGTATGCAGCTAAACATCAGGTGCACTTACTATGATCACTCGGCTCTTATGTTCCAGATGAGCCTACGGAGCATTGATCTGGGGACACTTTGCTGCCTGAAATATGCCTGATATGTCCCCAGACTAATGGTCCTCCTCTAGCTCATTATCTTAGCCTGGACCCTGGCCGCTGTTACTAATTTAGTCAGCGCGTGGGCACAGAGTTAGAGATGACGCCACGCGTAGATGCTTCCCGAAACCATGTGCGTGAACTGCAATTGTCAGCGCTTGAGATTAAGATAGGTACTTGTGCTGCGCAACTCTTCAGACCTACCATGATATCCGACACTACGTATGAGACCTCCACCGTAACACCTTACAAGTCTCCGTCTGCGAGTTTCTCGCCCACAAGTGCGCCACATAGAACATGACCTCAAGCCCAGGTGTATCCCTGAAGTGGTCCACGAAGTACGTTGTCGATTCCAGCACCTCCCGAACTGCGAAGCTACCCGGCGATAAGATTCTCCTTCCTCCATCTGCGCTCGAACAGCTGATCGCAGCAGCTCCTGTTGTATCTTCTGACGCCGAGATCCGTACGAACACGACCAACTTCGACCCTTCGAATCCCTACGTGTTTGCGGCCGAAAGATATGCGCGAGCGCCTTACCAAGACCGACAACCACAACTACCACATCCGCTCACTTTCAGGCTTGTCAATCCCGATAGTGGGCGTATAATCTATGCGGGCATACGGGAGTTCTCGGCGGAGGAGGAGACAGTAGTGTTGAGCAAATATCTTCGCGACCGGTTGGGATACTCGGATCCTGCGCACAATGAGGATTCACAGATGACAAATGGGTTCAGTGAGGATGGGGATCATACGGCCCACACTGAAACATTAACAGTTTCTGTACAGCAACTTCCGAAAGGAACTTATGTGAAGCTACGACCCCTTGAGGCAGGATACGATGTCGAGGACTGGAAGGCGCTGCTAGAGCAACATCTCCGATCTAATTTCACTACTTTGACGAACGGTGACGAGTTGGTGGTACCGGTGCCGAATAGCAGGGGTAAGAGTGAAGAGTTTAGGTTTCTTGTGGATGGGTTTAAGCCGGAGAGCGATGCAATCTGCATAGTTGATACGGACCTGGAGGTGGATATTGAGGCACTGGACGAAGAGCAGGCTAGAGAGACGTTGAGAAGAATTGCCGCGAAGTTACACAAGGCACCGGGGAGTGCGGATGGTAGTTCGCCTGGTGGAGAATTACCGTTCATGCAGACGGTCAGTGGGCAAGTCTTGGAAGGAGAGTACGTTGATTATGATCTGAATTCGTGGGATCGCTCCCAGGGCTTGGAGATCCAGCTCATACCCAATAACGACGACGACGAACTTGATCTTTTCGTCAGCCCGTTTTCGACCAGGCAACGAGCCAGACCGAGAGAAGACGAGCATGTTTTTGCAGAGGTTTCCTCAACTTATCCAAAGATCGTCAGCATTCAACCGACGAATGTGGAGCTGGAAAATGCTGAGTCTCTACGCATCAGCGTATTAGCCTACTCGGCTGGAACGCCAGGTTCTATAAATGAGTCGCTCTCGCCAAAAGCATTCACCCTACGAGCCTCTCCTATTGCTAGCGTCCACGATAGCAATAAGACAAATAGCGCACAAGAAGAATCACAACACGACCCCAATGATGTTAAATGCGACAACTGCAATCGCTATGTCCCCAAGACTTCTCTCTTCCTCCACCAGAACTTCTGTCTCCGCAACAACATCCTCTGCCCGCGCGGCTGCGCTCAAGTCTTCCAAAAGCGCTCCCCCGAATACGCCGCTCACTGGCACTGCCCGCACGACTCCAGCTTCGGCAATACCCCCCTAAGCAAATCAAAGCACGACGCCCTCTACCACACCCCAACAACCTGCCCCTCCTGCTCCCTCCCCTTCACCACCCTCCCCGAACTCGCACACCACCGCGTCACAGAGTGCCCGGGCAAGCTCATCCTCTGCCAATTCTGCCACCTCGAAGTCCCACAAGAAGGCGACCCCACCCAGCCCCCAGACGCTGAAGTCCTCATCTCCGGCCTCACCCCGCACGAAGTCGCCGACGGCGCCCGCACAACGGAATGCCATCTCTGCAACAAGATTGTGCGCCTGCGCGACATGGCCACTCACATGCGCCACCACGACTTCGAGCGTTCGGCCCGGCCCGTGCCGCGGCTCTGCCGCAATCTGCTCTGCGGCCGCACGCTGGACGGGGTCAACAAAGCCGGCGACACGCGTGCCGGCACGCGCCAGGGCCAAGGCCCGGGTAATGATATGGGCCTATGCAGTATTTGCTATAGCCCGCTGTACGCGGGACTGCATGATCCCGAGGGCAAGGCGCTCAGACGACGGGTCGAGAGGCGCTATCTCGGCCAGCTCATGACCGGGTGTGGGAAGGCCTGGTGCGCGAACCAGATGTGTCGGACGGGCAGGAAGACGGCGACTGGGGTGGATAAGGCGGTCAGTATGAAGGACGGCGTCCCGCTCGTGAGGCCGTATCTGGAGGGCCTCCTGGTAGGCGCGGGGGAGTGGAGCACGCCGCTGCATTTCTGCGTTGATGAGGGCAGTCAGAAGAGGAGGGTGATGGCGGAGATGATTGCGGCTGAGCCGGGTGTGGATGCGAAGGCGGGCTATGCGGAGGAGTGGTGTGTTGCTGCGCTTGAGGCGGAGATGGGCAGTATAGATGGCGCGAGGACGTGGTTGAAGAATTGGGCGCCGAGGAGGGGCGAGCGGTGATTTATTCTCGGGTGTGAGGGCGGTGGAGGGGAGGGGACGGCGTTGTTGACGGAGCTGGTGTGGTGGTGCATATATGGCTCGAACGACTCGATCTTGTTCTATACATCCTATTTGAGGAGCATATACATAAGGCAGGATTACTATAAATTACGAGCATTCAGAGAAGCATACCCTCTATCTCCTAGTTTATCACGTAGCACTTTCCATCCATACACGCCGTAGCTCGATTAGGATATCTAGTACGCAATGATATGGACACTACTTATCCATTGATGCTTTTTGAGGTCTAGGCCAGCTTTTTTCTGGCTCATGCTACATGTTCTGGAGGCTACCTAGTGACGAGTAAATGCATTCATCTTGACGGTCTTCTACATTGGCTACAGGAAACGCCTTATGCAAAGTAAGTAATTCAAAATGGGATGGTGTATTACTACTATGTCATACCGTGTAATATCAACATACGGCCTAAAGCAAACTTTCAAATTATAATAATAGGAAGGTCTTATGAGAGTATAAAGAGAAATAGGACAGTGTCAAGTGAGACCACTTTCAAGAGGCCTTGAGTTCGGACACAGTGGCTGGAATGCCGGCAAGACCACTAACGCTTCTTCGAGAAGCACTGGAGTTGGACATTTGCCGCTGTAAAGACGACGTGGAGAATTCTGATACTGGTGGCGATGAGGGTGGACTGGGTGGGTGATGGTTCTGGGGCGGTGGCACGAATGAAACCCGAAAGCTCGTCTCTTGGGTCGATTTCGACTCCCGAAGCCTCTGTCTCGATCGGATTGCTTCGAGTTCCTCGCGTATATCTGATGCCAGCGGCCGTTTTCCGGGATCCTTTGTCAAGATTGCGAGAATGAGATCCTTGCATTCTACAACCCATTGTTGCCTCGGTGCCTCACATCTTGTGGGTAGAAGATTCAACCACTTCACAATTGAAGGCTTGATCTCACCGTAGTTCGACGGGCTTCTGCTGTGGAACGAGGGCCCTTCTGTGTCGTCACCTCTCGCGACTTGGCGAAGTTCTTCGATGAGTGCTGGGTCGACGGCGAAAGTGACGACCTCGATAAGGATACAGCCGAGTGACCATATGTCTGCCCTACGAGCATGGATTGGATTCTGCCCTTGGGCGCCCAGCCGATCCAGTTCGGGTGCGGTAAAGGTACCTTTCCCGCGTTTGGGTGAAGTCTTGCGTCCAGGAATTTGAGTCTGGACAGATAGTGCAGTCCCCGAGTCTAAATATAGCGCTCTGTCGTGCTGGTCTGGGTGACTCATATGTGTTGCCCTCCTAGGCGATCCGGAGTGCGCAGATACGGGCGAGGGAGTCCTGCTCATTGGACGTCTGAGAGAGTCTGGTTGGCCTTGAAGGTCCTCATTGAGTCTCTCATATGACAGTACACTGGATCCCGCCTTTGGACTGTCCCGTTTCGGCTTGATACGAGAAATTCCGAAGTCTGTGATTTTCCACTTGCCCACAGGGTAGCGGTGAGTAGGCGTAGGTTCATCGGGGACGAATACGAGGATATTCTCAGGCGTCAAATCGTTATGTGAGCGACTTAGCATCGCACTATCATAAAGCCCATTGTGTAGAAAGTCGAGTGCATCGGCGATGCTTTTGCATTGGTCGATGAGGTCCATCGATCCATAGAGATGAGAGTTGTTCCGTCCAAAAGGCGAACAGCCTCGACGCGTTGTCCTAGAGTCAGCTGGGCTCTTCGAAAGAAAATAATTCAGATCGAAATCAGCCAGATCGTACAATATTCTGTACCATTTCGTATGGACAGGATGATCCTCTACAAGGATGGCAAAATTGACCAAAATGTGGTCATGCTTGCTCAAGCTTCGTCGAAGCTTTTTGAGGTTCTGAATCTCTTCGTAAAGAACGTCTTTGGCCATAATGTTCTTACACGCCACGGCGTACGGCTACGAAAATAGTCAATAAGAATCTGAAAAGAAGTAGAAAGGTTATAGGAGACCACTAACCTTTCTGGTGAAAGTAACAAGTGTTCCATCACTGTACTTCAAATGTCCAGCAGCGATCACCTCCTTCGTGACCGAGGCGGTAGCTCCCTCGCCGATTTTTTCACTGGCTTGGGTGAAAGGTAACGGGCTGCAAAACCCTTGACCAAGATGGATCTCCTCATGAAACCGCGTTATGACCAAAGGACAAAATGCCCACTGGAACTTGTAAAATGGAACTGCATGTGCTCTGAGGAAATGAGGTTGGTTTAAAGCCTCTTTGTTAAATGGCAAATACTCATCCGACCGCTGCATGTTCTCGTTAAAGACTCGCGGTAGGCTGTCCCAATCTGAGTATTTGCAGAGGGTAAGTATCATCAAAATCTTCAGGTACGGGGTGATATAATTGACGGAAGCACAGAAATGAATATACCATCTTTGACCTGCGTAGAAATGCTTGTGCTTTCGCCAGAAGGATTGGACCTCGCTATCGGGAAATATTTCTCCCCTATCAAACCTTTCGTTTAGTTCGTCGTGGATGTCCTGATACTTTTCAGCCCATCTGACCGGGTCTATCTGAGGTACAGGACTGTAAGGCTCCGGATTGGTCTGCTGGGCTGGTAGGTCACTTTTATGCGCTGTGACTAATGTCGTTGGTGTCGCCGGTTGTGGTGTCGCATCTACTTGCGATATGAATGTGTTCCGATTCTCATAGCGATTACTGTTAGAGGTGGTAGGCTGCGCCGTGAGAATCAACTCGTGTTTGCGCCTGGTATCTTGTCGCGCTCTGATTCTCCGCTTCCACCACCGCTGAACAGATATGGGGAAGGATTTCATGTCGTGGAGCTCCGTTCATTCGGGGAGATGATAGACTCGTCTGCAGTCTGCGACTGAAAATTCACTAGAAAGGTCATGAACTTTGCACGATATGCAAAACTTATGTAGCATGTGTGAGTACAGAGAAGTAGTAAGTTGCCACAAGGCTGTGCTGTAGGCTTATATCAACCTCCTCGAAGCCCCAAGGCGTGTCACAGGAAGCGCACATTTCCAGGTAACTGTGACCGGTCAGAGGCTTATCAATGATTTCACTTCGACGCTTGTGCTTGCAGGGGAGGGGGGGTACGCAGGATCTCAGCCTGCTTACTTTTGGTGCAATGCCAAACCAATATCACCATGTTATAACGTCTGGTAGCGCAATATATATCTACGAAGAAGACCTTCAGGCTTTTTTTCAAGTACTTCCGAGCCTAGGGGCACGAAGCGCTTTCATATTGTTGTAGGTACGTGCCAGCGAGGGTATATTTTGTACTGACATTGTCAGATGAGACGCGACTGTTGGATTTTCTGCGCCCGAGAGGAAATCCAACATGTTGTCTTGCATATGCAAACCCGTTTACATTTTGGACCTAGGAGGCATTTGAGTGAGTGTCCGACTCGTGATGGAGTTGAGAAACTGAACGTATAGCGAAATTTCAAAGAGAGCTCCAGCTACTGGCTAGTATGTTGACTGAGCGCATCCTCAGAGTCGAGACTTGTGCAGCTGGCTGAGTTGGACTTGATGGCCTGGTAACAGAGTATGGGGTCGAGTGGTTCACGGAAAGTGGTAGAGCCAATCAAATGAAATCTTTCGAAGCAGCGTGTCCTAAGCTCGTGGAATGCTTATATACCCCCCTTTTTTCCAATTAGATAGTAATTGCAGCAGCCTGCTGGGGGCGGTTTGCCACCAATGTACGATAAGCTACAGCCAGAAAGAAGCAACCCACAAAAGATCGTGCTAGACGCAGCGAGCTCTCTGACCGCTAAACAGGCTGCGAGGTGATACCGATGACCAGGATTTGACGGCCACGTTGTAATGATATTGAAGATTTCTCCTGGACCTGGACACACTCTTCAGTTACAGAACAGCATTCTCAGTTATGACAGTGACGCAAGCGCAAATCGACGTGCCAAGACAACCCTTCAACATTGAAAGCAATGTCCTCTTTCAATAACTCGAGGCTGATACAGGGAAAGTGTTCGAATCATCAGGAGCACTTCACATATCCGTGTTGTACATCAAAGGTCAGTTAGTCGGTGCTCACTCGATCAACATGCTGACGTTGTGAAATGCATAGATAGTGGCGAACACAGCCATAGTTGCATAGTGGACGAGGTTCCAGAGGACGTAATTCAGCAACTTCGTGAAGTGGGTAGCTATGTCCTCCAAACTATGTATGTACGCAGGCTAAGAGGCGTACCACTGAGCTGGCTCTGCAGCTCGGTTTTCTAAAAGTTCTCACAGAGTCGCATACAATGCACAAAGAGCACAATGATCGCTATGCTCAATGAGAGTTCGATATTCTTTCGACGTTCCTTGAAGTTCTGTTATGATTTGAGAATCGTCTACGGGTCTTCGGAAGCTCATCAAGCACTGTGCACTGGCATCAAGAAAATAGCAGCGCCTTCGGTTTGTGGGAAATCCGGGTAGGTTGTTATGAATGCTGAATAATGTATAGATAATAGCTACCAATTCGTGTATGTAGAACGTAGCGGAGACAGACGGGAGTATTCCACAGCCATCGGAGCGGAAAAGACTCGTTCCTAATGCTTCATCCTCGAAATGCACCGGCAGCTCACAAATGGCTCGAAAGATACTGTGCAGATACTGCAAGCAGCCGCGCTCTTCAGTCGCCTCCTATGAACGTTCATCGAGTCCTGCTATCTTCATTTTTGCATCTGTGGCGAGATCAGATTGAAGCCTTCAGTTTTGGTATAGCAACAACGGTAATACTCGCTCTGCTTTGCAGTGATAATCACTCAATGTCGATGTAGACACTTTCGAGGCCGAGCACCTCCAGGATATGCGGCGTTTGGAAGATAAAATCGGCTGCAGAACGATGAAATGCTTGAAAAGTACCAGGACTCTCATTGCCACGCTTTTAACTATATGCGATGGACTTCATAGTCGGAATACAAATTTTTTCAAGATGACGTCGAGAGCGAAATGGAGGTTGGGCAACCTCAGCCAATAGGTGGAGGAGGACATCAGCTCTGCAGAGATCCTGGAAAGGAGAGTGCAAGCGACCTTTGGGCTGGTGAATGACCAAAGGGACGTGTAGGATCAATCGTCCAACTGACTATGTCTTGTGTCCAGCTCGCAGACCTCCTCGATCATCGAAGTCAGGTAGCATCGTCTGACATGAACAAGTCCATGTACAGTCTCACGCGCAAAAGTGTTGATGATAGCGCTACGGTGCGTGTGATTACGGTATTCACGCTGATCTATCTTCCAGCTTCATTCATAGCAACGGTGCTTGAGACGAATCTCTTCAAATTCCAGGATGATAGTGAAGCACTTCGGATCCCTCCCCAACTCTGGATTTACGTTGCGGTGGCGTTGCCGTTGACATTTCTGACTGTGGGGCTGGTGGGTTTTCAAGACGAGGCATGACAACAAAGGTCAAGACGAGGAGACAATTCAGCGGCATCTTTCATGTGCATAGATTGATTTAGGTGTGTAGGCCGCTATTTTGGGGATAATAGGCCTGGGTCAGCGATAATGAGACAACCTATCAAACCTTCGTGTAAGCGTGTATTGGCTGAATACTTTTTAGATTTGGTGATGACCGAGACGCGGCAGCACGCTGAGGATAGTGCTACGATATGGTGACTGACTATCGGACAACTACTAATAGGTAGAGGCTTTGATTGTCCGGAATGGAAAGAGATGCTGGGTGCATTACCTAGAAAATCGTTGGGATCAGTGCATTTGGTCCGTGCAATCATCGGAGACCCTTGATGTTGAGGGCGATCTTTACTGGTTATGGCGAACCGGTGGTGGCATCCGTCATCGAGGGTCCGATAATTGCCCCTCAGTTTGCGTCTACAAATAAATTTGATTTCCATCGAGGACAACACAGACCTTTGCTATCACTTCACGATTTACACACAACCATAATGAGCACCAAGACTATTCAATTGAAGGCCTATCAGGACCAGAAGCCTGGAACGTAAGTCTGTAGCCCCCGTAGGACAATTCATCCTATCAAAACGAGATCTCCCAACGGCTTTCTGTTCACCTTCAACTTGAGGTGATTTGCAAAGCGAAACATAGCTCAGAGCCTCTCATGCTGACTTGACTTCTTTGGATTAGTTCTGGACTTCGCAAGAAGGTCAAGGTGTTCCAGCAAGAGAATTACAGCGAAGCTTTCGTCGCCAGCATCCTACTCTCGATTCCAGAGGGAGTTGAGGGAAGCACACTGGTCATCGGTGGAGACGGGCGATATTGGAACCCAGAAGTTACTCAGCTGATTGCAAAGATTGGCGCCGCGTACGGTGTCAAGAAGCTTATCATTGGCCAAAATGGTATCATGAGCACTCCCGCCGCCAGCCATCTCATCAGAATCCGCAAAGCGACTGGCGGAATCCTTCTGACTGCTAGTCACAATCCTGGAGGTATAGTGGGCACGACCTACTTATTAGTCAAATATTAATGAAGCTCTCCGTTAGGTCCCACCGAAGATTTCGGTATCAAATACAACCTCGCCAATGGTGCCCCGGCACCAGAAAGTGTCACCAACCAGATCTACGAAACTTCCAAGACGCTATCCTCGTACAAGATTGCCGAAATCCCAGATATCGACCTGACTTCGATCGGCTCGAATACCTATGGCTCCCTCGAAGTTGAGATTGTACACTCCACCAAAGACTACCTGGAAATGTTGAAGGATATCTTCGACTTTGATCTCATCAAGGCGTTTTTGAAAGAGCACTCAGATTTTAAGATCCTTTTTGACGGTCTGAGTGGTGTAACAGGATCATATGGTGTGGACATCTTCGAGAAGGAACTTGGTCAACCAGGCAGTACACAGAATTGTGTGCCCAAGCCAGACTTTGGTGGTCATCACCCAGATCCAAATCTTGTTTACGCAAAGTCTCTAGTAGACGCTGTGAACAAGAATGGTGTGCATTTCGGTGCTGCTAGTGACGGTGATGGTGACCGCAACATGATCTATGGAGCAAACACATTCGTCTCACCTGGCGACAGTCTTGCCATCATCGCTCACCATGCCAAGCTCATACCATACTTCAAAAAACAGGGTGTATATGGTCTAGCTAGGAGTATGCCAACGTCAGGCGCTATTGACTTGGTTGCCAAGAAGCAGGGTCTTCAGAGCTACGAAGTGCCCACTGGATGGAAATTTTTCTGTGGTCTTTTCGATTCCAACAAAATGAACATCTGCGGCGAGGAGAGTTTTGGTACAGGTAGTAACCACATTCGAGAGAAAGACGGACTTTGGGCTGTTGTCGCTTGGCTAAATATTATTGCCGGCGTCGGGCAGCAGACGGGCACCACGCCTAGCATCGCATCAATTCAGATGGATTTCTGGAAGACTTATGGCCGTACGTTTTTTACACGGTACGATTATGAAGGATGCGAGTCCGATGGGGCGAACAAAGTGGTCGCCCACATGAAGGAGCTCATAACCACAAAGAAGGGCGAGTTCGTCGGCTCGACCATCGCCGGGCGCAAGGTACTTGAGGCGGATGATTTTTCCTACACCGACCTCGATGGCAGTGTGAGTAAGAATCAAGGCATTTACGTCAAATTCGACGACGGCAGCCGCATTGTGGTCCGTCTCTCAGGTACAGGTAGCAGTGGTGCAACCATCCGTCTTTACATCGAGAAACATGAGACGAACGAAGCGACGTACGAGTTAGACGCTCAAGAATATCTCAAGGATAACGTCAAGCTATCGACAGACCTACTCAAGCTCCAGGAGTTCATTGGCCGTACTGAACCTGATGTCAAGACCTAGAGGTTACGTCTAGAATCGTGTTCTCGAGTGCTAGCGTGTTTCTACCGTTTTTGCACTTTAGCGGGGACAAAGGCTGATAGACATCTTATGATATTACGATATGTAATTAGTCCTTTACAAAAACTATAATAGGAAGAAATATTCCCTTCGTTCTTCGATACGTTCGTAGGGTTGAATAATGCCTACAAACCCCTATATCAATTGATCCCTTATGGGCCATAAAAGTTCATAAAGAAAGACTTATATACACATTTATTTTTATTACTATATCCTGTAATATAGTCACGTCGTACATGTTGTCCACCGTATATACTTTTAATTGACGCTATCTGTATATCAACGTACCATAAATCTGAGCCAAGCCTTGTCAGGCTCAAAAGTTTACACTTCACGCTTTGATATGTAGATAATGCGGCAAAAATTGAGTAATTGGTTTGACTTCGACTAGTGCGTGCCTAAGACAGACTTAAATGTCACGAGTTTGATCTTTCAAACAGTATCGGTGAGAGGCTCAATGCCAAGGCTCATGCAGAAAGTTTCAGATCCCGGATGTCCTACACCCGCGAGCAACACGCCCCCACCAAAGACTTGATAGACCTCTGCAACATTCTACCACGTGTCACAGATTCAAGATATCAGCCAAGTGGAACGCTCATGTGACGGCCCCTGTTAGGCCGTCATGACCTTGCCATGTGGATGAGGCCTTGCAACGTCATGTAAGTGCTCCGTGCACTACTGATCCGATCTGTGAGTTGCGACGGCTTGGATAATCGCCACGATATCAACCACAACTTCTCTGTCATCGGCATTCCTCTTCCAGCGCCTAATTGATCACAGACAGTGGGACTTCTGCTTGGCATTAAAGCAACCTCGAACTGTGACACTTAGAGCCCCAGATCCAAAGCCCAACTGCTTCTATGAACGAAACTCCAATGTCAGTAATACCCTATTATTGGTCATTGTACGGTGCACATCAATTGTTGCTACCAGGATACAGGTCGATCCTTAGACGCTTTGGCATCAGTCAATTCTGTATATAAAGTTCATCATCGCCAGGATAAAATGTAGAACTCACCTTCATTTGCATCTTCTACAGATCTCTACAGTGCTGAGCACTCTTTCTTTCGCATACATTCTTTGATTCACCAGAGCTGTGCTCATTTCACTCACTCGATTTACTCTGTCCCATCATTACAAGATCCTCAATCTACATATAACTATCACTATGAAGATCACATACGTTCTTGCCACTATCATCCTGGCGGTCTCTGCACTGCCAACCAACCCAGCCCCAGCCCCAGCTGATGTCAATGTCAAAGCACCCGCCCCAGGAGAAGCACGTCCCAACTCTGACGCCCCTAAAGTCGTCAATGACCCAGTGGAAGCCAAGATGGCGGAGATGAAGGCCGAAGATGCCAAAGTCGAAACGAAGCCAGAGAAAGATGTGGCGGACAAGGGCGCCGAAGCTGAGGCTGAAGCCAAGATGGCGGAGATGAAGGCCGAAGATGCCAAAGTCGAAACGAAGCCAGAGAAAGATGTGGCGGACAAGGGCGCCGAAGCTGAGGCTGAAGCCAAGATGGCGGAGATGAAGGCCGAAGATGCCAAAGTCGAAACGAAGCCAGAGAAAGATGTGGCGGACAAGGGCGCCGAAGCTGAGGCTGAAGCCAAGATGGCGGAGATGAAGGCCGAAGATGCCAAAGTCGAAACGAAGCCCGAGAAAGATGTAGCGGACAAGGGCGCCGAAGCTGAGGCTAAGATGGAGGCCAAGATGGAGGAAAAGATGGAGGCCGAGATGCCGAAGCCAGCACCACCGGCGGAGAAGGGAGAGGAAGAAAAAGCTGTTGCGGACCCTGCTGCGACTGAGCAGGCTGATAAGAAGGCTGACCAGATGACCGCTGAGGATGCTGCCGAGAATGGTGACGCGAAGGAGGAGAAGAACGTTGACAACCCGGCTGCCACCCCGCCAGCAGCCAACGAGACAGTTGTTCAACCACCGGCGGCCGGAAACGCCACGATCATGTGCGCCCCCGGTGCTGGAAATGCCACTGGGGCAGCCAATTCCACTGGTGCCGCCAATGCGACCGCCCCTGCACCCGTAGCCCCGAACGCGACAGCACAAGCTCCTCCTGCGGAAGCAGAGGAAACAGAAGTCGCCAAAGAGGGGCAACAGAAGGGTGGCATGACGAAGTTGGTCAAAAAATTGTTCGGTAGGGATAGCAAGCCAAAGGAGGTCCGAAACTTCCATTTCGAGGCGCGTGAATACGCTCTTTTGTAAGCCTAGCGATATCGCCATTTTATGATGAGTTATCCTCTGTCTGGCTGGGTTACTCTTGGCGACTTAGGATTTCTTGTGTCTATGTCATGCTAGAGCAGTGGCTAGAGTGAGGATTGTCTCGAAGGAAAATCCCTTACAGTCTGGCAGTAGACTATGTTGGAATAGATGGTCTATGGGATTTTCCATGTATTCAGTTAAGGCTTCTCTGCGTTTCTAGCACAGCTACGAAGTAGAGGCTCGAAAGAGGTGGCACGCTATGGATGTGATAAAGCCATATAGCACTAAGAAGAGATAAGAAATACCCAAATCTTGGTTCTCCTCGATCAAGACAGATCAGATATCTGTAGAAGGAGCTATGTATTACACCTGTGAATATCTGACCCAATTGTTGTTGTTTAGTCCACGGTAGGCCTAAGATTGACAGACGCCGTAACTTATCTGTCGTCATAGAGATCTTCGTAGAATATCTCACAAGTTGAAAGTCGATCTATCAAATGACGCATACTTATGTTTAGGCTTGCTATTTCAGGGGAACAAGTTTCAGGGATACTCTATAAGTGGCAAAGAAAAGAAAGCGCAGGACTAGTCCCTCTATCGGCCCTGGCGTATCTCCTAAGAGACTTATTTGGCTCAAGCACATCGGCTCGACGGGGACGAACAACAATGCTGAGCATCTGCCATGGACGCCAGTCTGAATGTCACCGGCATTCAACTGCGATGTATACAAACATGTAATCATGTAGCCATAATATAGGTTCACACTTTTCTGAAGTCTTGCTTATGTAAAACTACCCAAATTGTGAAAAAGCGTGAGAGTAATCGCTGTTAGAAGCTGACGCTGGTTGCACACTATATGTTCTCGTTACAATGGCAGCTGTTCATAGAAAGTACAGTTTTCGCGGTCTGGTCTTTGGTATGAATGATGCCAAGAGCTCCTTCCTGTCGCCCGCACAGTTGCTGTATCGAGGCTGAGCAAATCCTAAGGACTACGGTACTGTATCGAAGTTCATAAAGAGGCCTCCCCGCTGCTAGAAGACCTCCCCATTGATAAGGAGGTTCTTCAATGACCAAGACACACTATCCGATATCCATGACCAGAGGATAACACATACAGCCAACCACATTACATCTAGGGATCGCCGAGCACGGCGATTGTTTACATACTATACGAATGCAGCGTGACAGTCGTTCTTCGGCCAGTCAGCAAGAAAGCGGAAGTAGAACAGAAGCTACTTAGTACTGTAATACTCAGTGTTTCGTTCAGAGCGAAGAGTCTTGCTAAGATCTGTGAGGCACTAAAGTCGGCGAACGGAGTGCAAACGCGTGATGTTAGATCAACATCTATTAACTTCGTTCACTACTTGGTAGTATCCTACATTATATGCACCCAGCCGCGTTACCGCGGCTACCCGGTCCCCAAGAATATGCTACATTCAACATCAAAATCCGTAACGCCATCGCTTTTGAGCAATTGAAAGCCCTCCCAGTCATGCACCTGCCAGACCGTCACACCTGTGATGTTGAGAAGATAAGGGTAGATTTTCATCTCGTGTCTCTCTACACTTTTACCGAACCCGGTTCCTCTAGAGACAATCGTGCTCGCTCAAGGTACTAAAGTAATGTGTGGGAATAGGAACAGGAGAAGTGGAAGTATTTTTAGGAATAAGATTGCCGATGGCAGATCGCCGGAAACAATGTGTGAAGTGGACGAGGTGTCCAGCAATATTGTCTGTTGATGACAAAGTTGTCGTTTTCTCGACTACGGCGATCATAGGTTGTAGCGACTAAAGTCCATCACCTTTCTGTAGGGGTTAGGAAAGGCTGCGAGGGTTTTGCTGAATATGTTGGAATAAAGCATGGAAAAGTCGTTCAACCTGAGATTGCGTTAGCAGGATACCTTTGCCATCAGAAGAGCATCGATGCTCACCTCTGGTGTCGCCTTAATAAACGGCAGGTTCCAGAAGGCTTGTTTGTGCGTTTCCATGATTTCCAGGAGGGTGATGATAAGACCCCATGGATGCGGTCTATGAACAATGAGTCGCTCGAGAAGGATTCTGGAAATGATCTGCTGTACTTCCAGTGCTTTGGAATCTGTCGAACCGAACAGGTGTAGGATCATGTAACTATAGTAACAGGTATGACTATTGGGCCACCTAAGCTGATTGGCCAGAGCACCTAACAGATAATAGGTAGCTTCTGGTCGCAGATTCTTCGAAAGTGCCTCCAGAAGCCGTACTGAGCCTGATGCCGGGTTGAACGACGGTGAATTGTTCTCCGTTGAAGAAGCCACATAGATAACGATGGCATTCAACAACTGATCGTTGACTGTCACAGGAATACTAGAGAGTCCAGTTTCGAGTTTTGTATGAGTATTGATAGCCTGAGAAATCTTCTCGTAGTCCTCAGAAGTTTGATCTGGGTCATGGATCATATTGTCAAGAGCGTCTTTGATCCCAGAGCGGAGTATGTACCCATCAATATCAGCCCTAATGACAGGCGCCTTACGTACCTCTTCCAGTCTATCGATCTTCAGACCGGCCATGAAGGGATCTGGCAGTTCTGGGAATGAAGATGGATATGCACTCAAGACTAGATTTCTGAGTTGTGTGCAGTGAGCCGGTATAGCATTGCACAGGCGGAAGTGGTTTTCCGCTAGGAACTCTGGGAAGTCGTGATGGATGACGAGTAGTAGTCTGAGTACAGCGCGATAGAGCGTCTGCGCGGCAAGGGAAACGTCGTTGGACTTTACCAACTCACCAGTGAAAGCCAATGCGGTCTCAATCAAGCGAGTATACATCTCCCAGCACTCGTCGTCGCCATTTTTTACGAAGGTTTCAAGAATAATCCGATGTGCGATGAGCGCGAGCCAGCCGAAGGCGAAGCAGGGAAAATATACTGGTTGCATGGCGAGAAAGGCCTTGCCCATGACAATATACATCTGCTTTTCAAGTCCAATGAAGCTATGCTTCGAAGCCTGAAGCTCGCAGATGATCGATGCGAACAACCGGAAGAAGACTTTCTGATTGAAACCTTCACCCTTTGTGTGATGATGTTGACACAAGAGGAGGACAACAACTGAGAGAAGTCTTTCGAAATGTTTTGGCTTCGACTCTTTGACAGCGCCATCAACGGGACCCAGTTGAGCTACAAGTGCGACAATGAGGCGAGCCAGGGCGTCCACATTGACATAAGCAGTGTCAAGACTTCCACCATACAGTATCCGCTCTTCAACTTCATAAGACTCAATGGATATCGCGATGCAGGTTCGGAGAAAGAGGGCGGTAGCTTCCTTATCTCCAGTAATTCCCAAGGTGCGTAGTTGGCTGATGAAAGAGGATAAAGTATTTTCAGAGACACCCTGTCGCTGTAGTTGTCCCCATTCGATAAAAGCGTACTCCATAGTATACTCCTTGCTTTGATGTGCGTTCATGAGGGCTTCTTCGGGCTTCGCCGGTGCATTAAGCTTCGACAGAACCGTCTTGACGCGCGTGAAGTCAGGGAATTCGGTGAGCCAATCGCTGAGAGCCTCGAAAGTGACGGCAAAGTCCGATCGCATGACGATAGGTACTTCGCCACTAATCATTTCATCCATCAAGTCCGATAGGAATTCTATAGCGATCTCCCTCCGAGACATCAGAGCCCTGGCAATTGCAACGTCAACCTTGTGGATGTCAAGAAGTCGCTCCTTGAGGAGGCATAGAGCTGCAAAGGCGTTGAACACACGGTCCTCCTCTAAAGGATCCAGCCAAATGATAACCTGTCGGGCTGTTGCCACCGTTGATTGGCACAATCGAGAAAGCAACATCACAAAGACTTCAACCTCAAGTCGACTGCTTTTGTCAGAATATATGAAGTTCGTGGCCTTGCTGGCAGCAGTCAAGCATAGCATATCTTTATGAGTGCCGGCGTTGTCTACAAGTGCAAGTATTTGATCGTAGAATCGACTGATCGGCGACGTCTGAGATAGGTCTTCTATGCGGGTCTCGTTAGCATCGCATACCGCACGCTGCAGATCTGTCATGAGCTCCAGTAATCGATCACTAGCAGCATTGTGGTCTAGGAAGCCGTTCATGTGTTGGTTTATTTGCTGCTGGGGAGGCAGCGATTGCAATCTTGGCGGCGGCTGAATGTTCTGGCGCGGCGCGGCTGGAGCCTCGGCTGGGTTTGGAAGGGTTGAAACTGTAGGGAATGGTTCCTGAAGCACATCTGGTACCTGTCGACTGCTATCTTGGGAAGCTGTATTGGCGTGAGCGATAGCAGGCCGAACTTGGCGTCCGAATTCTTCATATATTGCCTGTTGATCTTGATTGAGGCCACCGGGGCTCTGTTTGTAAGGTTCAGGAATGTAGAAGGCCCATTGACTGATACTTGGGTCTTTGAAGGGCTCGTTTGAACGACTTTGTCGATACATGCGACGAGAACGAACCAATTCTTCTATTTGGAGGTCGATTTCTGCCAAAGACTTCATCTCCGCAGCCTGTTCCACCGTGTTACACACCAAATCTAGGTTGTCATTAACAAACATCATGATTAATCCTTCAGGGAGAGCCTGATTAGGTGTATCACGAGCGAGGACTCGGATGTTGTTCATGATGCTCATTCTGAGGGGCTCTTTACAGGTAACGAGTGCCAAGCTTCCAGAGAGAGACTTGACTACGTTATGGGCGGCGCCTCGCAATTTCTCTTCGTCGGGTTCAAGCGCGAAGTCCTTAGCCACAAGCTGCTGTGTCGATATCGCGGCAATTGTGACTGAGCGCTCTACAACCGGGGCAATGATCTCAGCCACCGCCTGTTGGGCTGCATTTAGTAGGATATTATTCATCCTTGGGTCATTCCCCGGTGGGTACGAGAGCATGTCTCTGAGATCTGGCAATGTAGCCGCAATTGCGGCAGGCGAGAATCTGCCACTAGGGCCTCGGTTCCTATTCAGACCCATAAGAGAAAGCTCGCTGAACCCTTCCATACCTTCTGGAAGTAGCGACGACATGTCGAATTCTTCCTGTGGTGGTCTGGCACGAATGCAAGTAGATGGCTCGATGTTTTTATGGTTCAACTTGAGATCTTGGCACAGCACCTCAATCTCGAATTTGAGATTTAATTTAAGCTCGGTGAACTGATAGAGCTCCAACAGTAGGCCAATGATTTCCATGAGCCACGGGTTTGGGGGCCGGAAAACTGTCGAACTGGCTGCCTTGACAAGCACTTTACAGGTGAATGGGATGACAATCACCAGTCTCTGCGTATCATGACCTTGGATGAGAAGGTCTTTGAATGATATATTTTTGAAGAGGATTGGCTTATCACGCGCAATCGTCAATGATCCGAGCCACCCACCGAGGTTCTTCAGATGAGTGCGTTCGGTGGAGTTACTTACGGTCGATTCGCAATTCAGCATTCGAATGACCGATACATAGGTCTCGCGTAGAACCTCTGCCCATAGTGTTTTGTCGTCGAGAAGCTGGAGCATGTCGAGATAGAGGTTTTGAAAATTTGGTTGCATTTTGGCGCGTTCCTCGACAAGATAGTTTGCAAACCATTGGTGGTGCTTCTTCTCCAGGACTTCTTTCAGATCTTTGAGCTTGTCTTTAAGGTTGCGTTCGGAGACATTGTTCAGGACGAAGAGTACCTTGTCGGATACATCTTCGTCTGGCTCCTCATAAACATCATCTTGTTGCTGCTCCCCAACATGGAGGCATGTGAAATTCGGGACCGCAGGTTCTGCAGCCAGAAAATCCTCGACACTGGTTCCGTTTGGCATCCCGACGCCGTTCGGCGCCTCCCCATTGATATCGGAATGCTGCCCACCAACGATGTCTTGTGCTTTGAGAAAAACCTCAGTTCCCACAAGACCTGGCACCCTCAGTAGCCTATCGCAGAAGCTAGGCCACTCCTGCAGGCGATCAGAGAAATGTAGAAGTGCCTGGAGACCAAATTTGTACATAGACTCGTCGGGCTGAGATTCCTGGACAGCTTCCAGAACCATTGCTAGGCCAGCCTGGAGAGCAATTCTCGAGAGTAAGCGATAATTGATTATCCCCCCGAAAAGTACCGCAGTCGTAGCTAGGGCGTCAAGAGGATATTCTCCGAAGCAGTTATATTCGTCAAAGAGCCCGTGGATCATACACGCAAAGAGGTCCTGATCGGCTGGATCTTCTGATGTCTTGTACTTCCGAAGGGCATCGACGATGTCCCGTACATCAGACTCTTTAGCATACATCGTTCGATAATGTTCCTGCATCTTTTCATCAGCGTCAGCCGAGACTGAATTGCCGTCTTTGCCATTCTGATCTATGATGCCATCGAAACCTTCGCCGTAGTTGATCAATCGTGGGTACGATTGAATACAAGCCCTTTGGAGGGTTACAAGATCCTCATCAGGCACCTGGTTCTCCATGATTGATAACAGGTATTGAACTGTTTTCACAGCCAGGGGTACGGTCGTAGGTGGGACTTTCTCTCGTTGAGAATGAAGCTCATTTTCTGCTTTCGCGTGGAGGAAGTTACCTAAAGCCTTTGGAAACATTTGGGGCATGTTGATAAACATCTCCTGAGCCCAAGGGTTAATATCGTGAATATCGCGTGCGTGTACTTGTGCGGCGAGATCTAGACTCAATTCATTGCATGCCTGAATCAAAGCGGGAATCCATCCATGTTCGTGTGCATGCTCCAAAATTACTATAAGCAGCATATGGTTCGAGGTGTACGCATCGATGAGCCGGCCTGCGATCCAGCTGTAATCTTGCTTCCAGAGACCGTGCATGACGAATTGATAGTGTGGTAGTGACTTGATGAGAAATGGATGAAAAAGCTGTCTAAGTGCCTGGTCCTGCAGGCCACCCCAAGGCTTTGGGACTGCTGCAGCGGATATGAGGAATATATCGGTATTCGCGTTGATGACCGTTTCGGGGATACCTAAACTCTGGGCATGGTTGTATGCTTCTGGTGATCGGAAAATCGTGGTAAAAAGAGCACTGGTTGCGTCCAGAGATGCCATTGGATGATGCATAGACTTGTCGGCGAAACCTTTCACTTCGTCAGAAGCATCCTCGAACATTTCGCGGCTGTAAGCTTTGCGCAGACGGGGTATCTCCTCAGCGTCAAGGTCTTCGGTTGAGCATGATAGAAAAGCTACAACGAAGGAGAGCTGGGTCTCAGAGTATTTCCAGGCCCCACCCCACATGAGTTGGATGTCGAAATTTTCGTAGTCTTGTGCGAGCGGAAGCAGGGCTCGGTAAAGAGACAGAAATTGTTGTTTCGTGACTCGTAGCGTCTCTCGATCTAGTGAATGAACAATGTCTTGCCAATCTAGACGTTGGCCCGCCCGATGCTCCCGCAAGGCAGCGACAAAATTCGTCGCGTTGAAGGGCTGCGATCCCTGGCAGATGACCATATAGAGTAAGGCTGAAGTCACTTGTGTGTAACTGATGTTGCGCACTTCCACAGTAGAAAGCGTTTCCTTGCAGCTGTCCAATGTCGCTGTAGCCTGTGGACCTGCGCGATGGAAAGTCCTCACAATATGGTTCTCTGGCCCCATAAGCTCCACCATGTACAGTGCGGAGCCTATTTCAGCAGGCGGCGAAAGATGCAGTGCTCTGAACCGAGCAACAAGTGCGTTCCTCAGATCGTATTTGCTCTCATCGTTCCAATTACGAGGTGGGTATTGAGCGAGTCTTTCTATTACGGATGCGAGGAAAGCAGTCGACAATTCGTCTGCAGGCTGCGAAATTGCGTGAAGGAAGTTCGTGTAGTTGTTCGTGAGGATCGCGTCCGCTGTTTCATATAAGCTTCAAGTCTATAACACATTGCCAACGGGACTTTACCTTTCGTCCTCAAGTCTGATTTGCCAGTCGTCTTGAACGCAAGTGCGAGAGTCGTCTTTGCAACTGGATCTAATTTGAAATGCTCCATAAATGTTGAGAGATCGAAGTTCCTGAATATATCTCCATCCGTAGTGTCCACTGACTCCGCTATTCTTTGTGCTTGTTGAGGGTCCTGTAGAATCTTCTGCATCTCTGTCACGAGGAGGTTGTACGTGTTTGGATTTGCGCTCTCTACTGGTCTCCCGTCAAATACTTGACCTGCATGGGTGACCAGCAGTCGCTTGAAGTACTTGGAGAATACCTCCATGCCGTTCGAATCCACCAGCTAGTGACAGTGGTCAGTACTTTGTCCCATTTTACAGAAGAAGATCCAATAGTAACATACTTTGCGAATCTGGTCCGTTTGCGCCTGCGCTTTATCGTCTTTAATTGTGCTCAGTAGCAAGAATACTTGAGCGATGACGATCTTAGCTAGAGACTGACCCGGAGGTACGGAAGTGAGATTACTCGCTAGGCTTGGTGATGCCACAGTGCTTGGCTGTGAGAGCGATGGGGAAGCTCGTGCAAGTCTTGATCCTCCTCCGCCGCTGCTAGAATTGGCCCCACCAGTTTGCGAAGCGGAAGACAGAGCTGCGGCGGAGGAAGCCGGGTGTGGGTTATTGGTTGACGCTATGGTTCTTGATCTCGCAGAAGACAGCAGCTGGCCTGGAAGAGGCTGCTGCGATCCTGACTGGTTAGGAGTGAAAGGTGAAGAGGTTGAAGATGTAGAGGAATTGCGACTGATTGTGTGCCTCGGAGGAGGGAGGCCGGGAAAGGCAGCGTTTGCGGGAGAAAAGTTGGGGCGTGAAGGGCTGTTCGATGCGGTGTTTGAGCGGTTTGTCGAATTATTTAATGCGGTCGAGATGGGTGTTAAGCCACGACGACTGCTCTGGTGCTGACTGGAGGAGCCCCAAGAGAATTGCTGGCTCATTAGACCCGATATCCCATTTGACCCGCAATCAGCGTCAGATGAACGATGAAGACGCGTTGGCGATGGAATAGGTAGGAAAGCAAGATGCAAATGGAATTAAGCTCGTGATGGGATTGCGATCGTAAGAACAAGAAAGAGAGGTCGACATGCCAAGACTGAAAAAGGGAGCTAGGGCTGGGAGGCTAAGTTCTCGCAGCAAGATAATAAGTACTTGCGTACTGGTGGCACGACTGGGCTGCGGTAAAGCGCGAGGACTTTGTAGCATCCTCTTGCTACCACTCAAACGTTATCTACACTCAACTCTATCATCTACACCACAAGCTCTTATATTTGGAAGCTTATGAGTACAAGTAATCAGATGAGCGCTGCTGCTCACATGTACCATTGCTAGATACGTAGCAACAAGCCTTGAAGCCTTTCTGAAGAGCACAGCCTTTAGAGCGAATGAACGCGAAGAAACGCGAAGAGCATTCCAACACGATTTACCTGGGTGTGTGTCCTGACCAAATAGTATGTACGGTCAAAGTAAATATAATCCTGCTAGCATCATTGATGCATCAGTATCGAATTGTTCAGGAGCATGTTCGGTATCCAGCGAAGGCCACCACTTGGGCACCAGATGCGGGGAGTATACTAGGCATATTTCGGTTAGTTTGAGGCCGTTGCTGGCGGCAACCGAATCCAAACAACCGCGCTGATCCTTGAACCCCAATCTCGAGGGTTCTATATCACAATATACCAAAACCCTCGATATAGCACTTCGATATCTCTATATTCTTCTGATTGTGTATACAAATCTCGAAACATCCCCTTGAGAAGCGAGGCAACATGCCTTCTGCGACGGCCACAGAGCCACCTTCAGTCTCCCTTTCCTGTATTTACTAGCTTCCAGATCGGGATATGTTGCAGCATTACTGACCAGCCTCAGTCGCGAACAACTTCTGGGGTAAAGATGACGCCGGCGTTTCCCCTCTACTCGAGCGTATGCACAATGCGAAAGTTACTGGCGACGAATTAAAGTCCTTTTATGCTGCAAGAGCAGCAATCGAAGACGAATATGCCCGCAAGCTTCTCAATCTGGCTCGGAAGCCCTTAGGATCCTCGGAAGCCGGTACACTTCGCATGTCACTGGATGTCATTCGTGGTGAGGTCGAGTCGACCGGCAAAGCACACCAAAACATCGCCCAGCAAATGAAGACTGAACTGGAAGAGCAACTGGCAGCTTTTGCCGGTGGAATGAAAGAGAGGCGAAAGATTGTTCAGAACGGCATTGAAAAATTGCTGAAATTGAAGATGCAACAGACGTCGACCGTCAACAAGGTATGATCTGTCCCCATGTGTACAAAGAACAGCTACTGAAAATATCACGTAGGCCCGCGACCGTTATGAGCAAGACTGTCTTAAGATAAAGGGTTTCCTCGCACAGGCACACATGGTTATGGGACAAGAAGAGCGTAAAAATAAGGCTAAACTCGAGAAGACACAAATTCAGCTATCCACTACAAGCTCAGAGTACGAGGCCGCAGTCAAAGTCCTCGAAGAAACGACAGGTCGATGGAACCGTGATTGGAAGGCTGCTTGCGATGTAAGAATCGTCTCCAAGGTCCAAGAGCTCCATTAACAACGCCGACAGAAATTCCAGGATCTAGAAGAAGAGAGAGTTGACTTCATGAAAAGCAGTCTTTGGACTTTCGCAAATATTGCGTCAACTGTCTGTGTCAGCGATGATGCGGTATGTGGGATTTATTGACGTGATCAAGCCTGGCTAACATGAACGTAGTCGTGTGAAAAGATCCGCTTGTCACTCGAAGACTGCGATGTAGAAAAGGACATCATATCCTTTATCAAGGAAAATGGAACAGGCCAGGAGATTCCGGACCCACCAAAGTTTATAGACTTCTGCAGGGGCGATGCCAGCGATAACCTTTCAGATGCCGATGACAACAGCTACTCGGTAGCTCAGTTCCAGCGAACGATGAATCCAGCCTTCCGAACATCATCCCCTCAGCCTTCCTTACTAGACTCCCACCATGATCCTAACAACGTATTAGCTCGTGAATTTGGACTAAAGGAGGATCAGCCATCTCCTCGGCTGGACGCAAGCTCAGGTCAAACACCTTTAAACGTATCGCAATCCTCCTATTCTTCACAAATCAGACCTCGTGCGGATTCACGTGCTGAATCGCTTCACCAGCAGCTCGAACAAGGGCAATTTGGAGAAATTCCAAAAATTCCGTACAATGAACACCCAATGGACGGAATGACTCAATTCTGTCGTTCCGGTGGCCCTCCTGTCGACCGCTCTCAACCCATTAGTAACCAACAACGGCCACCGTCTCGTGACGACCACAGTGATTACTCGAACCCAGCTTCATACTCGAGTGCTGACCCTCAAAGTGGAATGCACTCACCCACAAAGCAGATGCAATACAATCCACCTTCGCCAGTGAAGCAAATGTCTGATCCTGTGCCCAATTTAGAGGAGAAGCAAGTCCAGAAAAAGAAGAGCGGCTTCTTCCAAGGTCATAGCCCATTCCGGAGACGAAGCAAACACGAGAAGGAACAGAATGGCGCTAGCAATACTAATAATCGTAACACCTGGTCACCGACAAAAGCTAAAGGACCCTTTGCTAAAGGGATTCATGCGTCTGTCGAGCGTTCTGCCTCTCCTGAGCCAATCGACCCTCGTGCGAACTTCCAGCTGAATGTTGGCAATAATGTATTTGACGTTGCCTCTCCCGACAAGAAAAAACAGGCACAGCCTAATGATTCAGCACAAGATGACCTGGATCCCATTGCTCAAGCTCTAGCAGAACTCAAGGGGGTGGGCAAACAAGGAACGGTTCGTCAATCCGCAGATCGATACGCTGGCTTGCGGACACCCGCACCGCCCGGTAGTCCCAATCCCAGTGCTCCTCCTGCTGGTGCCGTTCCTACTCCGTATGCGAATCAGAATACTCGTGGCACGCCTCCACCATCGTATAATCCACCTATGAGCCGCCTTGGTGCACCCCAGCCAGCACATACAGCCAAACAAATGCAGCAGACCACAGAGAAGTATGTTAACCAGGCGCGTGGCGCGTTCAATGGCAATTCTTCGCGCCCAACGACTCGTGGTAGTGGAGGCCATGATGTGATGCGTGCTACCAGCCCTGCTCCGCCGCGAGCTACCAGCCCACGACCTGGTATGTACAATGAACAGAACGGGCACATCAACCGGTCCACGTCCCCGAATCCGTATGGTTCGGGTCACGGTCGCCCACGGGCACAGTCGTCGAGCCCGATAAAGCAGCAAGCACCGAGCTCGTACGGAGGACACTCACGTGGAAATTCGCCCAATGCGCAGCCGGTTCCGCGTGCGGCGTCCCCGAACCCTCAATTCAGGCGAGATTCTCATAGCAGACCTCTCAGCCGAGGCGGAGAAGGTATGGCACTGCAGCTAGCACCGGGTCCAAGTGAAACTGGCAGTACTTATGGCGGCAGTCAACGTAGCCGAGACGGACGACCGATGAGTAGCTACTACGGTAGCAACAGCGGACGTGGTAGTGACCTTGGCACTTATGGTGGGCAGTCTGTGGGACAGGTTAGCACGAGGGTCAGAAGTAAGAGTGTAGCAGAAGCCAGACAGTATACTCCCGATGGCCGGGCGATCTTGCACTACGGTAAGTCTCCCTCTATGCTGCGCTTGTTTGAGGTTTGCTAATCTAGAGACCTAGCACGCGCAATGTACATGTACCAAGCTCAGATTCCAGAAGAGTTGTCTTTTGCAAAGGGGGATGTCCTTGCAGTGCTGCGACTCCAAGACGACGGATGGTGGGAGGCCGAGGTTGTAGGAAAGGCCAGCAGGCCGGGACTGGTGCCGAGTAATTATCTACAGAACTGCTAGGGTGAAGCTGACACCCATTACACTGCTGATGCGTCTTGACTGGTATGGTATATGCGATTTTGATGTATATGACGGTAACTGCAGCGTATGTAGCACGAAAATTGTGCAGATGCGGCTTTGATTTGGGTTATTTTGATATTGATCGCTCGCTGTCAAGGGTGCACATGGCGTTGAACAAATTCAGGTTCAAGACTGAGTATATATGCACGAAATAATGCCGTCTCTCTTTTTCACGTTGCGAGCGGACCTGTATGTGATGATGATGATGATGATGATGGAAATGGTGCTTGTCATATGTGATGCCTCAGGCCGTAACGGGATCGGTGAGCGCTAAGTAACAACCACGATGGAATCAAGAGGCCTGACTAATAATTAATGATTACCTGGCGGAGAGTTAATAATAGATAAGAGCTAGGAAGGTAAAGCCATGTTGCATATACTACGATTTAGCGAGGTGAGACATGCTGCCATATATGCATGAATGCAGCAGAGATGCACACCCGCCTGGCCAATCTTCGGCCTGACGAACCAGTCATGCTGAAACACTGGCCACGATACGACAGCCAGCAGCCGCCACGTTCCTTGGGCTATTCTAAAGTCTCTGCTGCGCTACTCTATCACTGGCAGGTGAATATGACATCTGTCTGAAACCGATCAACTCGGCCCTGTAATTCTACATCAAACTAACTAGCAGACAAGACTGAGTGGTCTGCTTGTCAGCTCACAGCAGCCCACTTAACTCTTTACCTTTGCTCAGCCACGCAGTGGTCGAGTAACAATAACACTGGAGGGAGCTGGACAACCCTTGAGTATCTAATATCGCTCTGTGCAGCCTTTCCCTTGTAACTTGTTACCCCTTGTCGCTTTCACACTTTGCCTCGAACTTCTCGCCACAACACCATCTTGCTTTCTCTCCAGCATTTGAGAGCGCCGAGTGAAGCTGAGCCCGCGCGCAATCAAATTATATCTCACCCGAGCCAGCGACGAACTGGCGAAAAAGTAGTCTTCACGACGATTCGATAAGAGCTGCGCCACCACCTCTCCTACTCTCTCCCTCTCGGCCATTCTGTCGATTCCTACAGCTTTGCAACACATCCTGTCGATCATTACTGCAATCTGAATCGCATTCTCGTTTTGGTTGCCTGATCGGTACCTTACTTGGACTATTCTAGGAACTGATTTCTATTCCTTAAAGGTAAGAGGCCTTAGGTCCATTTCTGTCCTTCAATCATTTTCGCACCACCGCGGTGCATCTTCAACACCTGTCGTGCGGGATATCACCGCTTTTCCTTCACCTAACGTCGTCTTACAGAGGTGTTGTAGCCGCTATCAGTAATATTAATGTGAGCCATATTCTCGTTCGCCTCAACCAGTCATATCTTAGTTCCAAGTTGGTCAATGCAAGTGGGACACTTCACCATACACGTCGAACTCGACCTTAGATATCCTGCAAAGCAAATATCGATAACTGCCATTCACACATACGACACAAGGAAGATGTCAGACTGATGAGATGCCCCGGAAAGCCACGTGATAATATTGAACAATATTCAAGATGGGAGAATTTGGCGGCCAAAGCCTTCACTTATCTCGCGTGATTATATACTTGCGCCATTTGCTAATGCATTGATCTTCTAGGCCCTTCTTTGGTTCACACTGGCCCAGTCGTCCAACTTCCTACTATGAGGAAAACACGGATTCCGTATCCACTCTTCCAAAGAGACAAAGATCGCGAAAGACACCAAATCGGGAACCCTACTCTTGTAGAAACCACTTACGACCAGCGGCACCTTAGAAATGCCACCAACCTACGCGATGCTGGTGCAGTGTCCAAATCTCTGAGACAACGAACCTTTCCACAGCCAAGTGAACATGACGCGTCATATCAGCACGAGTGAGATATAGCCATCCATGCAGAGACTGGCAGCGCACTAATCTTCACAGTCATTTGAGACTACCACGGACACCTTTTGGCAATGAAGTTCGCATTTCCGCTGCGCCTACAGATGTATCTGAATACTCTCAAGGACAATCGAACTACGGGTACGACTACTATGATCATCCTACGGCTCAGACCTCACGCGGTGCCGACCACTCACCTCAGATATCACCTATATTGGAGCCTACAAACCCTGACGGGCGGAATTCGATGCGAAGTGTGTCGCCTATTCGAGAACCTTTATCAGCAACAATATTTCCGCAAACCCCGGAGCAGTTGCAGTCGAAGTGGTCGCCTAACACTGCTTCACCGGAGTCTACCTTCACACATAGATCAACAATGCCGGTACAGTCAAAGTTTTCACCAGTGTCGACTATATCTCCACAGTCAAAGCGTTCTGGTAGATCCGTTGCCGTACCTGAGTCAAAGTTCTCGGCCCATTCGACCCCGCAATCTAATTACTCTCCTCAATCAACTTTTGCGCCCGTACCGCGATATACAGGTTTCATTGACAACCGTCGCCCTCGACCATCAAGCCTCGCCGATTCTCTCACCACGGTCAACACAAAGAATACGACTGCAACAACCCGTAAACCGGTACCCCACCGTGTTGCTTCTTCGACAGCTGCCTCCATCATGACCAACGCAACCGCGAAAGCCCTGCCACCACCACCAATGGACCTCGATCCCAAAGATCGCATTGCAAACCTTGAAGCACGCATGGGTGATTTATATGTTCAGAAGAGCAATATCACCCGAATCATTGCCGATCTCAAAGAGACGAAACCGCAGAACCCTCTGCTCTCCGATATCGCGAAAAGGAGAGAAGATGAAAGAAGATTGCAGGAATTGGAGGAGCAGCTGCACAACATCGTAAGCGAGGAACATGAGACGGGGGTCAGTCTGAGTAGGGCGTGGAGAAAACGCGATGAGGAGAACCCGGAGTTTTCGTCGAGCGTCTTGTGGATTCACAGGGTCACCTCATAACGGCATTCGTTGGAGAACATAGGAGCCCTTTAGCATTCGGAGAAATGTACGAACGAGATCGTGCTGGATCTAGAAACGAATTTCTTGGGACACTATATAGCATTGGTTCTGACATACCCCCATTTGCGAAGGAGTTTGGCATATGTGTAATGGCTGGTAGCAGTGAACCTCGAGAATTTTCCTTATATTAGAAGAGAGTCGGAAATAGCTTCTTGTATCCTTTGCCTCCAAACGAGGTAAACAGGTTCTGCTCCCTGCTTGTGCTTGAGTTATCGTGACTTCGTATTCAACCCTGCACGTGATCATGGCTAGCCGATGTTGCCGACCTCAAACTTCGATTTTCCCACCAGGTGACTGCTGTTAGACTATTGCTCCATGTATATGCGCACTGTCTCATCTACCGGCCTGTCGCTTAGCCATGTCCGCGATGGTAACGTTCGCAGCCGATTCGGACGGTTTCCGAAAACGGAAACGCGTGCACAAGGCTTGCGATGCCTGCAAAAGGCGTAGGGTCAGTCAGCCTTGATGCATCTTCGACGATTCACTGACCCGAATTTAGAAACGTTGCAGTCATGTTTTTAATGAAAGTGAAGGGAAACATACTGGAGTTTCAGTGACGCCTGAGGAATGTCATCGCGATGGAGTCTCACTTGGCAGCGAGTCTCGCGAGGCGGGACAAAGGCCCAAGGCACGAAGACAGACTGAATTTACAAACGGCGTGAGCACAATAGAGATCGCACAGACCACGAATGAGCAGTATTCAAATGATATGCCTGAGCCCCGTGACGATGGCCGTGACCAAGAACCTTCACGTTTTGTGGGTTATCTAGCTCCGGAAGCACAGCTACGCGGTCAACTTCGGGCACAGAAAGACAACGCCGACCAGCTTATCCAGCATTATTGTGGGCACTGGGTCGCCTGGCAGCACAACTTCAAGTCGGGACTCGCGGGTGATCTGGCTCCCTCTTCGACCATAGTTGGACCAGAGGACCAATCAGTAGCTCACAACTTCCTAAGGGCATATCTGGATGCTATAGGAGTCAACTTGAGACCACCGCGTAAACATCAAGATGTTCTCATTCAGATATATTTCGAATACATTCATCCAATCCTACCGCTCGTGGACGAGGCTAAATTCAGAAGACAATATGGGGATGCTGAAGAACCCAGACTCCTTCTGCAAACCATTTGTATCCTCGCCGCGAAGCACGATAAAGCTAGGAGCCATCTCTATCTAGATGACTCATCCGTGGTGTATAACCCTCGCGACTTCTCAAGAAAGCTGTTCTCATCTGCTACCGCCGCGCTCGAAGCAAAGCTAGAGACAGACAGGATCACTCTGATCCAATCTCTAGCTCTCCTATCTCTACATTGCGAAGGCTTCGATGGGGCGGAACAAGCATCAATGCATCTATCTCAAGCCGTTCACCATGCTCACACTGTGGGTTTACAGTTTGGTCAGAAGCAGGGTACGATGGGACATGGCTTAGAGACCATATTCTGGTGCCTCTGGAGTCTTGACAAGCTCAACGCATGTATCAATGGCCGGCCATTACTTATGCACGACAGAGACCAGCACATACCAAGGCTCGAAGAGTCTTCGGAAAGGAGGACACCGTTTGGTATCTGGCTACAGCTGGCGGACGCACTAGACAAGGTAATCTGCTATTATCGGCCAGGCCTACCACCAGACAAGACAGGATGGGAAGAGGACTTTCCGTCGTTCGAAGACATCATAGGTGAAGGAGGTGATAGTCTGGATGCCCCCATTCTCGGTGAGCTCTATTTTTTACGCACATCGTACTCATACTCACATTTATAGCATTTCTAGAGCTCTTCTATCACGCAGTAGCGATGGCCTCACATCGATCGATGGCCATCAACGACCCCGTCAAAGCCACGCCATCTTATACACGCCAAAGCTTGTCTGCAGTACGAGTCGTTTCGATACTTAAAGATGAGTCTCCTGATAACCTTCCACCTCTACCTATTATCCCGTACGCTTTGTCCTTGGCCGCATCAACGGCCTACCGGAGATTCCGTCAAAGCAAGCTCCAGACGCACAAAAGCCGCGGAAAAGAGGATCTCAAGCGATGCTGTGAATTGCTGAACAAGCTTCGTATTTCTTTCTGGTCTGCCGGCGCCACTGCTGATTTAGGGAAGGCTGCGTTGAGCAAGGCAAACAGCCAGGACCTGATTAGACAAGATAGACCGAAGCATTCTGGGAGCAAATATGTAGAACCATCGGGAAATGTTCAAGCCTCCGTCAATGGCACTCACATAAGTGACATCCAAGGACCAGCTACTATCACTCAGAACTCAGTCTCTGACACCGACGTCGCAGCAGCGCAAGCCCTGAGTTCTTTACAGACCACACGCCTTCCCACCCCATCATTCGCGGATGAGATATTACCTCCGACTTCTGGCGAATCGCTGGACTGGCTGAATTTCGATCACGCTTTCGAAAATATGGAAACGCTGCTGGGGAGCGCCGGTGCTGACGAGTCGAGCTACCTACTAAGGCCTTTCAGTATTGATACAAGCATGCCCGGCATGTTTAGCCCCTAGATTTGATTGGCTAACGGCTGCTATCGATACTAAAATCGCGAGATGCCATACTATTCTTGTAAGTCATCCACTAAGCGCTAGTATTGGAGTGAATTTGACGAGTAACATAAAGGCAGTTCATTTAGTCCAAAGGATATCGATCAGCATAAGCCATTTTATTGTCAGTATCCTATAAGCAGACCTTGAACACATTTGCACCAGTCGCGGGAAACAGACTTGGAAACTGCCAGCGTTGCACTTCTAGGGGCCCTCGGCTGAGTTGCCCTCAGCATCTTGACCAACGTAACTCTCCACTCCAACATTCGTCTAGACCTTAACCGCATAAAAGTCATACTCGTTCTATCCCCTCTCGATCACAGCTCAAGAGCACAGCAGAAGTCTCGTGGAGGACAATGAACTGAAACTACTGTGAGATACCACCTTTTTCCGTCGCTCTGGTCAAGTCTCCCTGTGCAGTCCTCATATTCACATGTCACTAGGAGATGAGCGACTACATGTGGTGTTACATCATCACTAAAGCATTCTAGGACGTATATGAGGTAAGTACCAAGATGGGGAATGCGCAAATATGATCCAGTCCGTGGGAGAATCGTCTAGGCGTGAACCTGGACTCGGCTTCTGACCGCGCTCGTCCATCCCCTTTGTCCTTTGAAACCTTGGCGTGAGGTTTTTAATTCTATCAAAGTCATGATGGATCGTCAGGTGTACGAAATGTCGAACAAAGACCAAGCAGGCGTTCAATTTGCATCAGCCTGGCAGTCGTGATGACTCGCTTGTAGCCCTCTGCACCTCAGACTCCCATCAGCGGAGGAGGCTTCTTGTTTCAAAGTCGCATCACGTAGTCATTGCCAACCTGTTCCATATTGGAAACTTCTGTCCACGACTGTTTCAACGCGCCCATCACAATGCCTAAATAAGCAAATACGCCAGACCTTGCCTGATCCATGATTGTCACCGACCTCGCCTGGCCATGAACCAACTCGCACGGCCTACTGCACCGCGCCGCAGTTTCGGCTTCGCAGTCGTCAATCGCAGTCAACCACGGCTGCGGGACATGCACATTTGCACAGCGCCTCACGAAATGCGTGACGCAAGGATTCAATAGAAATGAATATCTGAGATCAGATCTCAGCCCTCTCGAAACATGCGCGGACTGCATGACAAAGAGCCGACTTAACACCTGGGCAGTTTTGGTAGGATCCTGAAGGAAGCAAGGGGTGATGTGGCCGCACATGTCTTATATCAGATCTATTCTATGGCATGCTTGCAGATTTGGGGATTGTGGGCAGGCTACGATAAAGCGACGACTCATCACATGGACATTTGTGCGGGCGCAACACGCAAGGGAGACCGCCCGATGCAGCGGGATCGGGACTCGAACGTCGAGGCGTGGGAGACATGGGCTATATGTCATGATCCGGGAGCCGGGATGTATGCGGCGGGAAGGGGGTTCACATGGCACACGTGCCGTTCCTGTGCCTTGGGTACAAGTGATCAGCTCACGTGGATACGACTTGGTAAGATCATGGAATTATGACGGGAGAAGGAAGGGGTGGAATCATCCCATGTTAGACTACCGCGTGTTTGCAGAAAACACGGATATCCCAGCGGATTCCCGGGCCCATGATTCCGGGACCCGGTGCGAGTCGGCTCAGTGGCTGTGCGCCGGGTAAACTTCATCGCCCTGCCCTTGCTTCCCCCCTGCCACGGCGCATCTACCTTCCTAGAGAATTGCACTGCGGTGTTTCGTTCTCCTTTGGTGTTCTTTGATGCTATTGTTGATTTCGCCCCTGATCACCGGACATGGCGACGGTGCACAAACTCCATGCTCCATGGCACAATATACACACAACTGGGCCGCGAGCGTGTACAACCTTCGCGCGCGCACCCCGACCATAATCGTCACCGCCTGAGCAAGCACTACAAGCGTTGCCAGTAAAAAATCGATCTTTCGATCTTTCGATCAAGTCAATTCTATCAATGCCCGTCTCTAAACTCCGTCCTCGGTACCGAGCCTGTCTCCGATCCTAGTCCATCGCCTGTAATTACCACTTACTCTCGTTAATCCATCGCCAACTTGCCACGCCTCAAGGCACCCATTTTCTACATCCAGAAATGCACCGCGCCATTCAACGCATCTAGAATGGATGCGACTCGGCCGATCTGGCGAGGTGCATCAGGGGCAGTTGGCAGTTGGCAGGCAGGCATGTGAGGTAAAGGGAGGAAGAGGCCAGAGTGGATCGGTCTATACTGGCGGTGTGAGACGAGCAGCTACGGACTTGTACTGCGATGCGATGCGACGCGATGCGATGGTGCGCGGTGGCTGTGGCGTTCTGGGCGATGGCTTTCATGGCTGTGGTCCAGAAGGGTCGCTGTGGATATGGCTTGCAGAACGAACAAGTGCCATATGCCGCGGAGGGTGTGATATTGGGGTAGAATATTAGGCTATGGAATGGTTCATGGCTGTTGGAATATGTCACGAGGTAGCACGCGTGGCGCCACATTGCTTATACAGTATGAGCGTTTATGTGTTATGCAATTACGTGCCTACAGTTGCAGCGGAGGGAACTCACCTACAGGTGTGCATGGCTTTTGGTTGTTCGGAGGGTTGCATTGGGTTGAGTTTTAAAAACTCTACTTGTGACGTCGCGTGTCAGCAACAACAACAGAACCTTATCAATGAGATGCTTCTCTGATAGAGACACTCTCTGTTGGTTGATGATGATGATTGTTGGTAGACGTAAGCCAGAGCTTCTCGATCAAGCTTGCATCTACAGCCAGCCAGCCCTACGGGCCGGCGCGCGCTATCGATATTCCAAGACATGGCAGCGAGGCGTTGACGAACGGTCCTAGATCATGGAGGTTGCATATCAAGCAAGACATCGAACCACATACACAGCGATCGACGTTGCGCCGGACAAATTTGCACCTTTCCAACGATTTGGCTTTAGCAATTTCGATATATTGTGGCGCCTGTGTAGCCTATGCTGTGCCTACAAATCACTATATTATGGGTCTCACAATAACGGCGACCATTGCCTGCGACGCCTAGCTCTTGACATGATAGTCCTATGTTCGTTCTCGACCATGGTAGAAGGGCAGGTTCGCAGAGGGCGTCACAGCTCAGCAGCCACGGTTTGGGCATCGATCAAATTCATGCTCCACCAGCTCGCCGATATGCTTTCAAGTCTCTTCCTTTTTTTGGAATTGTCCGCGCGGACGATACGTACACATGGGCTCACGGACTATTAAGACCAGTTGTATCTAAGCGTAGCTCTCGATGTGAAGGACGCCTTGTGTGTACCGTGTCGCACTGTTGGAAGCCATCAGTACAGGACGCAATCGGCCTTGAAACTCTTGGGACATTCGGCTGCGTTAGCCGTTGCAAACAGGCAAGCCCGTTCAAAGCTTTTCGTCGCTTTGTGGCCGCCACAACATGCGTGAATCGACCGACTTTTAGGTGGCTGCAGCTGCTGCTGCAAGGGCGGAGGTTGCCGTGTTGGAACCCACAGTCTGGCGCGTGATCACTATTGAGAACGTCAGGTTTTGCATTTCTTAGCGGGCGCATGGTTGCAATGTGCATTTGCGCGTCGAGCGAGCAATTGATGCGCTGACATTGAAGTTGATGCTCTATCCAGTGGCCGGAGTGGTACCTTGGGTATGATGAGGTGAAGCTGACTAAGAAGCAGGTAACCAGGAATTCTTTTGAGAATAGAACTAGGCAATACGTGTTGTAACTTGTGCTGCGCATACATGCATCCCAGTAAAGTCGAACTGATCTTTCAGATTCAACTGAGATTAGCCTTTCGTGACCGGCATAAGCCAAAAGCAAAAAGCCATCGTCTGACTTCCATGGGCATCGGAATCCGGGCTGTCAGTTCCGGGTCGTTCGTTTGTGATAAGCAAAGTTGCTCAGCCCTCTTCGACCCGCAAGCAAAAGATGCTTGTGATGCTCGGCCAGAGAGAACAAGGAGTCGCTCAACGTAGGACCTTCGATGTACCACCCGAGTATGCTCGTTGCTCCAGACAAGGCAAACACGGCAGTGTAGTGCATGCTTCACGCCCTATCCAAGCTATCCAAGAGCGCGGCACTGACACGCTCTTTCGACATCTCTGGGGCAGTATCCACGAAGTGTACACTGCCCTCCAATCCCATTGTCAGTATCCAAAGGAAGCAAAAGGCAATCCGTGGATGAGGACGGATACCTGCCGCTCTCACATCAGCCGTGCATTGGTAGCCTGACTTCGCGACCCTATTAGACTCTTTTCGTGATGTGTCGTGTACACGCACTACCGTACGAGGCAGCCACAACGGCGAGAGGTTCCGCTCGTGTACGGCTGAGTGATCTGTCTGACATGCAAGCGAGTTCTCTTTCTGCGACGGAGCATTCTCGATACGAGCTATCGGACTCGTGTATTGTATGGGACCACGAAGGACGTCCAAGGCAACGCAATTGCGAACCAGAACGATTCATCATGGGAATTTCAACAAGAAGGTTGATGAACGTACAAGGCGAAACAGTGGCGTGAATATTCTCAGAGTCTATGAATTTAGGCTAATTAGCGGGAAGGAGCTCTCGTTCACCCAGAGAAGTAACATGCGATGCCTGCGGCGGATACGGGAGGATATCGCTGTGCTGTTGTTGCATGTGTTGGGTCTCTGGAATGAAACCGATGGATCATCCCTTGAAACCAACAGCACGCGACGCTCAGAGAAGTCGTGATCCTCACTATTCCGGGGACTTGCAAGGAAATCTCAAAGGATCGCTTTCTACTAATGCAGCCCCTAGCAAGATTACGCAGCTGTGATCACAGAGCATGGCTACCAGGCTGGTGATACATGGACTGGTGATTGAATACAGATTGTATGATCAGAGCTAGTCGACTCTGCCCAGTGTAAAACCACTGAGGAAAGTACTCCCTGTACGAATATGAAGGTCGTTCATGTCGGCAGTTCAGCCCCCATTTTCACGACTACCCCACTAATTAGGTAGAGGTCTGTCGAACAACCAAGATGCATCATCATTCTGCCTTGATTTTGCATAAGCGCAGACCTCAGCCATGCTAGTTGCGCCGCCAACGAGCGTCGAATGGCTTGAATTAGACATGGTCCTGGATAGGGCCGCAAGGTTCACAGTATCTTGAACCTATCCCATCCTCGTACATGCCCACACGTCAATCTATCTTGCTCGACGCATGTAAGACTGGAGATCTGGCAGCTGCAATCCGACCGCCGTACAGAAAGCCATCCGAGGCGATGCGAGCCTGTACGTTATCGTCGATACCGGGAAGTCATCCTAGTCCTACGCAGTTTGGAAATGCACCGGCGATAGGTCATAGGTATTGATCCTTCGAAGTCGGCAACGAGCATGTCATCAGCTTGCCCGAGCCGCTGCTTCTTTTTTCACTTCCTGCAAAACGTCCATGGTGGCTGGTTTTACCACTGCTCACCAAAGCCACTAAGAGTAGTGATACTGGCAACGGACGGCAGTCACAGGGAGTCACCTTTCGTGGCTGCAGGGCTGGTCCTTCTGCTGATTGATCAAAGCTAGGGAGGGATCTAGGAGGCGAGTAATTACTCTGTGCGCCGAGGGTACCGTCGACCGTGTCGATATATGAGCTTGCCATGGGGTAATGGACCGATACCAGCTGTTCGTGCAACACCATCCTAAAATCCTGAGATCGATCATACGTTGACAGCATACTCCTATCGCCAGGCTCCGAAACATCTGTTTTTAGGAGTGTAAGCCATCGGCATGATGCAGACAGAGATTTGTCGTTCGGAATTCCCGCAAGCCGCGCGAGGTCGCCCGAATGATTTCTTTCAACATTTGATCTCAATCTCTTCGTCTCTCATCGAGGCAGAACCAGGGATTTGGCTTGCGAATTGCGCCATCAAGTTCTGTCGGAACCAGTAGGCTCCATGTTTCGTAGCATAGCGCCACCCGCAGGAACAGACAAGACTTTGCGTGCCTATCGAAAGCCCCAGACCCGCGTACTCAAAACCGGGAATTCACATGAGGTCGATGAAGTAAGTTGGGATCTCTGCGTATCGCGAGACGAAGCGCACACCCAGAATAGCAGATGATGATGAACACGAGGGGAACGAGCGATGGCCCGATGGACATCTGCTTCTTGATTCGAGGGTCTATCAAAGCCAATTTGCATCTCCTGATCTCAATTACCCCCTTGGCCGAGTCGAGGGCTGAAGCTGTTGACATAACATGAGTCACGCGCGTGCATACATTGAAGACTATCGTCGATAATCGCTGCGGCTGGACCGAAAGTCAGAAGCATCCGGCATTATGGGCATGGGCTGGGGAAATTGCGATCTCACGATGGCCAAGTCTATCGAGCTGCATGGTGTTGTCGCGCACCGTTGGCTTCTGAGCGCGCGTACATGGCAGATAGACCACGAGCCTAGTCTCGTCCATCGCCACCACCGACGCAAGGTCTGCAAGGCACATTTGCCGGTACCCATGACATCCAAGTCAAGATCCTGTCGCAATCGGCCAAACGCGACCAACCACGGCATCACAACGCACAAGACACTGCAAAAGTGTTGTGACTGCAATTTGACTTTGCCCATATCTTCTCACCGGGACAACCAAATAAGCCCCTCCCATGCAGCTCTCACCACACACCAAGACTCTCGCGTGCATGTTCCCAGCCGCCTTCCCAGCCCTAAACCCATCCGCCAGGCCCCGCGACCGAGGCATCGTTTGCTTTTGCACCAGCAGAATAGCGACGACAAGAGTGATCTTCGGTTGAAGACTAAAAGTAAAAGCCTTGGGGGCGCAGCGCCACAATCGTTGCACTGAGACACGCGCAGTCGCACCAGCCACCCGCCCCCGACAAGGACGTCAACCTTGGTGGTCTGTTTATCAAAGCCATCTCCGGACTATCTTTGATAAGGAGCAGGATGTAACTAGCACGTGACTCCGGCGTATCCCTCAGACCTTATGTAGCCGTAAACTTTTTCCCCTACCAAACGCTGTACAATCCAGAACGCCGTTTCATGCTGGCCCACTCCCAATCCCAGTCCCTGTGACCAAGGTCGGTGATGCCCCGCGCTACTATTAGATATTACTGCATCGCGGAAGACTCAATCGGGTGCGCGATTTGCAGATTAAGAAGAGATTGGGCCGATGCACCACACCCTACCTCTCCTACCTGCGTCACGGCCTCCTATACAAACTCTCATAGTGCTGCATGCATTAATATCATGGATGATTATACAGAACTGTAGCTCCAGGAATCTTACGGACGACGCCACTGGCGATCACAACAATCAGCCGCGCCGTCTGACATGCGCCAGGCAGCATGCGAGCGTTCAAAGTTCTGACTGCGCGTATTTCTGACTGTACTGATCCCGAAAATCCCTTGTGTCATCCCGTGACCGAGCGGGATAGATGGAGCTCTGGGATTTTCTGCTCGAGTAATGCTGAGACGTACAGCCAACACCGGTGTCGATCAGGAAACGTACACATCATCATCATCGTCATTGTCGTTGCTGTTGTTATTGTTGTTGTTGTTGCTGTTGTCGACGTCGTCAAACAGCCAAGTGTTGTGCTTGTGTGTGGTGTATGCATGCATGAGACACACTGACATCGTCATGTCACTCACCACCCATCATCCCTCCTTTCCATTCAAACCATCCCATCCCCATCCCCGAGACGTACCCGGCAGTTGCAAGCCTGAAAAACACGCACTCACTCACTCAACTCACTCTCTGACAATGACGCCCCAAAAAACTGCGCAAAAACCCACATCTTTTCTTGTCGTTCCATCCTTCCAGCTCTGCCCATCCATGATCATGACGAGGTCGCTATCCTACCACCATGTACAAAGTACGTAGGTAGTTGCCTGGCAAGGTTGGGCAGACCCGGTCGTTGCATTATCGAGGCTACTATTAGCTAGCGATTGATGAGCTTGAGCTCTGAATGCCCTGCCTGGGAGGGACAACAACAGGCATGGGGACATGAAATGGACATGGACATGCGCGGACCTGAGAGCTTCCGTGTTGCTGGCATGAAACATGGCATAGAGATTGTTTTTTTTTTTCGATACTGTCTGTACTTACTAACAGCATACAAGATCGACCATCTGCTTATTCACGCACTCACTTATTCTGTCATCGTAGTCTCGTCTGATTGATTGTTGGGTGCTGGGTTGACGGTTGGGTCTATACATACGCACACTCTCAAAACACACTTACTCACTCACTAACACGTACGAACACATGAAACGCATCCATCCATCCATCCATCCATCCATCCATCCATCCATCCATCAATCCTACAACCCGAAGAAAACCCCCCTCCTCCAATACACGCACACACACCCAAGCGCGAAAACGGGCCGTTGATTTCGTGCTTGTGAGTTCCTCGCATCGCGCACTGGCTGCATGTATAGTGTTTACATAGTATACCGATTACAGTCCAGTCCAGTGCAGTCCAGTGCAATCTAGTATAGTCCAGGCCCCTACCTGTCTGTCTGTCTGCTTCATCCACTCATCCACTCACTCAATGATGCACACTCCCCTCCACTCCACTCCACTCCACTCCACTCCCAAAACTCCACTTCAAAACCCCCTGCTCCAAGATCCACACACACACAACAAACGATGACTCCGTCTACCTATTCAGACATGCCATGCCATGCCATGCTATATACCATACCATACCATACCATACCACAGCCCACCCCCTCTGCTTACCGCCTTGACCCCAAACCCCCACCTCCATCCGCCAAGATCCAAAAGCCCAATCAAATCCATTCTTACGTACCACGCAGTCAGAGAGAGAGAGAGAGAGACAGAGAGAGAGAGACAAAACCCCCGGGGCCGCCAAGCTCGTATACACTCACTCAGCAGGAGTAAATATAGCAGGTAGCACGGTCAAAGAAAACACACCAAGACGCGCAAGCCCAAGCATAGCCAAGACTTGACTTTGGTGATTGAGCATGATGCTTGGATGTGTCTTTTGTGGTGTTGTTGTTGTTGATGTTGTTGTTGATGTTGTTTTCCCCCTGCTTTCTTGCTGGTTTGTTGGTACGCGCTTTTCTTCGGTCGGTGAGTCAGTCAGTCAGTCAGTCAGACTGTGTTTCCATCTGTACGTCGCTCTCGAGACGCAGGGCATGTAGTCTCGTAGATACACTATAGCATACCATTCATACGATACCATACCATAACACAGCACAGCATACCCACACACGCAGGGCAACAGCAACAACACCACCACCACCAGCCCCACTCAAAAGCAGTAAATTCGCGCATGAACTACATCCAGCATACTCCTCCCCGGCATCACGGCATCACGGCCAATCCAAGCACGCCGAGTAGAGTGTTGCGGTATCCGTGTTATCAGTGTATCAACGCGTCGCCGTTTCGCTGTTGTGCTGTTATCGACGTGTATGGCGTGCATGTATGTACGTATGTATATATGTATATATGTATGTATGTATGTATATATGTGGTCCAAGGTACGTGTAATACAAGATCGACTAGTACACACTCTACACACTCTGTACACCGCGGCATACATAGCACGTACATAGCACATAGCACATACATAGCCAGCCAGCACTACAACAAGCAAGCAAGCAAGCGCGTAAGCATAGTAAACCACAGAGCAAGCAACCACAGAATCCATACACACACACACAACCCCTGCCCCCTAATCCCAGCATACCGGCAAAGACGAACCGAGAGCACATGATTGGCCCGAGGCGAAAGAAGCAGGAAAAGCGGAGTAGTGTTTCGGGTAATTAGGAGACGATGGAAGGGGGACTTGTTTGTGTATTATGTGTATGTGTGTGTGGATGGATTGGCTGATTGGTTGGTAAAGTTCCCCTTCCTGAGGCCTTTTTTTCATTCTTTATTTTTTTTATTTTCGTCGTCATAGGGTAGACGGTGAGGGGTTGATTGGTTGGCTGGTCGGTTGGTTGGTTGGCTGGTCGGTTGGTCGGTTTTAAGTTGTCGTTCAGGGCGCGAGAGGGGCGCTGTGCTTTGCTTGGATGTGGTGGTCATGTGATGCGCGAAAAAAAATGTGTTTCTCGTCGTTTGGATGCTCCGACGTCTGACGTTGATGGCCTTGTGCAGGACGTCCAAACGTGTGGGTGCTGTTATGATTCGTAGGCAGCGTGCGATGCAGAGCACGCCGTTTGCGCCTCAAGGGATTCGTGGCCTATGTGGATGGAAACCTGGAATGAAATGTTCACGGAGATTGAACGCAGATGGAGTGGAAGAAAGTACTCAGTCGCCGAGTCGGACTTGGTGTCCGCCCAGACGAAAAACGTATATATTGCAACCGTATTCCAGCTGTGGATACGGTGCTGGCATTGGGGGACAGAATAGCCCCCCAACACGAGTGGATGTAAGAGTACGAGCCATACATAGAATGGTTGTCTAAAACGACGGTTGGTGAGCGAGCCAAGAACATGCTCTGGTATCTGAGAACAAGCAATGAAAACAACAAAACCCCACCGCCCCGGGCTCGAATAGTTCCTCGACAATGATAGAGGCTTCCGACAAATGAAACATTGGTTCAACTCCTCGCATATGCATCAAAGTAGGCTTCTCCTTCCTAATTGTGGTGCCAACCTGGGTAAAATGTAAATGGCAATATATCGTGATAAAATGATGAAAGACAGGACAAAATTTCCCCCAATTTGGTATCGAGCCAGAATTGAGGTTTATACATAAATGTGCAATTACAAGACTTTCTCTAGAGCGTTGTTGAGACCATGATGGCCGTTGTGGATGAACTCCAAGGACATTCCGACTCGGGAGTCCGGGAGCGAGTTCAATCCAGTGGTGACGCCAGTTCTATTTTCGCGCCGATTGCAGACATGTCGTAGCAAATTGAAAACATCAAACCTAACTCCGCGTGGTAGTTGCTGACATCTTTGGAAATCGTCGTATCGTAAACTTTTTGAAATGGTAGGGTGTACTATCAACACATGGTAGAAGATGGTGATAAAATGTTAAGCATCATGCTTAGGGTAAATTGGGCGGCATCCAGGCCAAGATCTAGTAAACCCGGAGCTGGGGTAGGTGTGTTGACTGGAAGGTTTGTGCGAGTGGAGCAAACCGGGAATACCACGTATTCGGAGCAGGGCAAGGTGCGGGAGAAGCTTGTGGTTGAAACATCCCCTGCGGAACCTTCCTGGCAGTAGGAGCCAGAACGTAGGAAGAAGTCGACGAGGCAGAAGAGGTCGACGAGCAAGCCGAAAACACAGAGCTGCAACCAGAGCCTGCGCTGCCATGGGAAAGGTCTGGATGGAGGTATTGAGGGGGGGTATAGTGAGTAGGAGAAGCAGGGGGCGAGGGAAGAGTGACCATGGGACCCGAGGGCTTGGCAGCTCCAGCGTAAACATTCTCCTGTGAATAATTGGCGTGGTGGTAGGGTGAAGTTGGGATACTGAGCGGTGGTTGAGGAGCTGGTGATGCAGTTGCAGCACGCGCGCTAAAGGACGGGCACGATTCAATCCGAGCTCTCAATTCTGGAATGGTGATCCTGTTGGTAGGGTCGAGTTCAAAGATGCGCTTGAGCACATCGTCAAGCTCGGCCGAGATGGGCAAAATGGAACGGAGGAATTTAGGATCCTTCATACACGCCCGGAATGTGGAATCGTCGAAAGACGCCCGCTTCCATGGATTGCGACCGCAGGTTAGGTTGACGAGAATCACACCTAGTGACCAGATGTCATTCGGTGCCGAAGCATAGCAACTATAGGCCTTTGGTGAGCTTTGATGGCACTCTATCGATTATTAGCATGCAAAGTCCGAAGGTACATCTTCAAGATCGACCCACCAGGTGACATGTAAAAGGTAGATCCACATCCGAAGTCCGAGGTGAGGCAATCCGTGGTGGCAAGTCCAAAGTCGGCGAGCTTGACCGTGTTGCCATGATCTGTTACCAGAATGTTTTCAGGCTTCAAATCCCGGTGGTAAATTCCAATGGAGTGGCAATATTCTACGGCATCCAGTATTTGCAAAAACACATTGCGTGCGAGTTCGTCATTTCCGACGTACTTGCCGCACTCTGTGATGTTCGAAAACAAATCACCCTCTGGGCAGTACTCGATGACTACAAAGGTGCAGTCGGGCGAATCCATGATCTTTACCAGGGAAACCACATTGGGATGAGCACTGGCACGATGATGCAGGGATATCTCGCGCTCCTGGAACTTCCTTTGACGTGGCTCCAGGCCAATCTTGTTCAAGGCCTTGACGGCATATGGAATGTTGGTCTGGATGTCGACAGCAGTGTATACTACACCGTATGCACCCACGCCCAATATACCAGTCAGCTGTAGCCTGCCTGCCAGGATTTGGCCTAGACGATCCTCGGGTGCGCGAAATCCATTGAGTGTTGGAGATGCTGGAGGGGTCGGCAACATGCTGTGATGGAAACGGAGGGGAAAGATGTCCTCGTGGTCCTTGGGGCCTCGGGGACAATTATGGCAGCAGCTTAATCCAATACGGAGAGAGAGAGGAGTCGTAATACCAGCAAGTCCTTTGGCAGCAAACAGGAAGACAAGAACAGGAGGGAGAAAAAAAGCAGCGGTATTATATATCCTGATAGTCCAAGAGTCCTGAGTCACAAGGGTGGCAAAGGCGATGAAGGGTGGTAGTGGGAAGAAGGTGAAGGCGACGATAGCTGTGAATGGTTGTTTGAGGGAGGGTCGTGAAGGTGAAACGAAGAGGTGATGTTGCAGAATCAAGAGGACAGAAGGGGAGAGAGATGAAGTGGTAGAGGGAGTGTATATGAAGGATGTGAGGCGGTATAGTAGTTGTTGATGCGGCCAATGTTTAGCGGGAGAGAGTTGGGGTGATAAAAGTGACGGGACTAGGGCATGGCCCGTGCATGGGAAGCGCGCTCAGTAGGAGTCTTGGACTGGGACGACCGAAAGCACTAAAGCACTAAAGCACCTTCCTTGACCACTCGACCACTCAGAAGGCCGCGCGGTCTGTGCGGAGGAAGAGTCAAGGGCGGGACTGTAAATAGGAAGGATCAGGCTAGAGGAAGGGCAGTGGCGCTATGACAAACACAGCACAGGTGGGGCCATTGAAGGCGCCAGCGTCACGCTACTTCCCTCTAGCGCCGGTCGGCTGACGCTAGCGGACTGGGCACACGAAATGCCTGCGTGCAAGGTGACAAGGTTTTGTTTTGTGCAGGAGGGGGGCTTGTTTTGTGCAGGGATGCTTTGTGCATGGGTAATGTGCATGCCATCATCCATCCACCCACCACACCTCCTCCATCCATTCATTCACTCACACACACACCACACACTTACGCTCGCCTCCACCAGTGATCCGTGCGTATTCTGTGCTGAGCCAGGCGGCCTGTCAGGAAGGAGCAAAGACCGGCGCCGTTCTTATCCCTCTTCACCCACCTATCGCTCTTGCCTTGCTCGGCCTTTGGATATGATGCAGCTGCCCAGGTAGCTGCTGCCACCACCACCACCACCACAACCACCCACAACAACCACAACCCACAGGCACATTTCTTACCCTGCATCACGCTTAGCATCCCTCATCCTGGCTTTGGCTGGCCGTGGTCCACTTCCAGCGTCCAGCGTCCAACGACTCCAACGGATTCGATGGCGTGTTGCGTGTCCTCCAGCCTCCCGACTTTGACTCCATGCTTGACGTTGGGCGGATGGCGGAGCACAGCTGCAGGACCAGTCCAACAACAAGCAGCTCCATCGTCCGCTGCACGTTGGCTAGCAGGCCCTGCTCGCTTGAACAAGAGGCCAGACAGCAGACAGCAGAAACCTGAGTGGTTGTGGTGTACTGTGCTGTGATGTGCCGTGTTGTTCTGTAGATTGCGCACCTAATGGCCATCTTCTCACCCCGACGGTTTCATTGCTCGAACTATTTAGATTACACCCTAATACACCCAACGTTCCAGAGCGTGTGGCCAAGTACGTAAGCATGATTCTACACAGAACGCACCCTATTCGCGAACTTGTTGTGCATTCAAAACCGTATGTAACTGTGCAGCACTCCACACCACCACCACCATCACCGTCTTCTTTGTTGTCCCATTCCAATCATGCACACACTTTCTCTTGACTCTCTCTCTCCGTCTCCGCCATTCACATTCCACAAGCGCCCTCGACGAGATGAGATGATGAGCAGCAGAGCGCCAGCGCGCCCCCTTTGCACCACCCACAATGCCACACTTCATCCTCTACCCACCCGCCGCCGCCGTTCGCTAGCGGCAAATATCCATATTTTTCTTGCTAGGCCGCTATTACTGAAGCTTGCTAAGTTGCTCTCGCTCTGGCTATGTAATCATCAACTTTGCTTTCCGTCATGCCACGATCGGCCTAGCCCTGTCTCAATGTCCTGCCACTCACTGCAATCAGCCTGGCTTGTCCCCCCGCGGCCGTTGCTTTTGTGTGCGTGTGTATGTGAGTGTATTATGTGGGTGTGTGTGTGTGCCATCCATCATTTCGCTGTACGAGCTGCTAAATATCCCTGCTGCTAAACATGCCTGCCTTCTGGTGAGTCGACTTGGGCCGCCTGTAGCGTCGACACCACTCTAGAGTGTTGGAGTGCCAGCTAACACACTTCGCCCCCGTTGGTGCTGACACAACTACGAGCATCGCATCGCATCGCATCGACAAGGCATTGCATTGATTCCCTCGACGGCTTTGGCTTCATGCACATGAGAGCTCCAGGGCCCGCCATTGTCATCCATCATCATCATCATTGTTACTATCATTATTATTAAACTTATTGCCACTGTGGTCTGCCACTATCATGGTCGGCCCCGGAAACCTGTCCGTGTACGCCTGTGTGTGTCACCTCGCCCGTTGCAACAGATCCTGTCGTCAAGCTCAAGAACCTGCTGCCTGATCATTCTTGCTGAGAACAGAGTGGAAGCCGTTGCGTAACAAGTCATCGCCTCCCCGGGCGAGGCTTGGACGCTTGCGTGCACAAAGAGAATCTCGGGCGAAGCCATTCCAGGCCGTTCCGGTCAACTGTCCCTCTGTCCTCTGTGGCTGACTTTTCACCACCCTACCTACGTACGCCAGCAATCCCAGCGGCCATTCTAGCGTAGTGTGTTCCAGTGCCATGAGCCATGACCGCCGCCTTAATCCCATCCCATCACCAAGGTCTCTCTCATCGGAACGGGAGGCGAAAGCATCGTAGGAGCACGCGGCAGAATCCAAGACGACGCTTGCTGGATCATGATGCTGCCTTCTTCTACCCAATCCACTGGCGACGTTCTGGTTGGCTGTGCCGCAAAACTCTGTCGCAGCAAGGTTTGCTTCATCGCACACCTTACGCGTCTGTGTGCTTTGGCGATTTTTGGCTTTTTGCGGCTTTGCTCTGGCTTCGGAGGCAGGGAAAATGCATCGGCTTAACACACACAGAGTGATCACGCGTGCAGCCGCTGACTCCTCCCAATGTGCCACTTCCATCTCCCATCTCCCATCTCCGTGTCATGTATGGTATGCTTCGTGCCTCTTACTGGCTCAACCACTACTACCAAGCTTTCTTCACCAGCTGTATGTTCTGTCCCCATATCCCTTCTATAGGCTCTAAGCCTGGATGCCTCCCCGTTCGCGAGCAGACTCCTACTGTTGCCCCCAGCGCGCCGGCGCCTTGTTGTGTGCATTTCGGGTCACGCTCTGACGCCGATCTTCCGCATCGCATTCCTCTCTCTTGCCTTGCAACTTTGCCCAGTCATGCTTGCCGCTGACCAGAACATTACGAACCTCACATCATACCCTGTCATACGGACCTTTTAGCGACGCTCTGCTACGAATCATCCACTCTACTCTCTACGTTTCGTGTTTCTGCCTCTTCTTTCACCGTTGCCGCGCGCGGTATCTGACTGTGCGACGCTGACTGTCTCCAAGAGTCCAAACAGCACGGCATTTCCCCCGTGCTCGGCAGAATTCTTGTGTCGTGTCAAGCACAAGTTGAGACGACTCGAGATGCAGCCAAGTTTGATGATCCTCATACATCTGGCCAGCCCCTGATTGGCCGTGCGATGGAGCTTTCTGGAAAATCAGACAATGAGGCGCCCGATTCGCCCCGATTTACACGCGTCATCGTCATTGGCCACGTCCAATATATTGTTGATCCCTGCTCGATAATGATGCTAGTGTAGTTCCCGTTGGAGAAAGATCTCTGGGGCTTCGTCCTTTCCTTCTTCGGGCGTGCTGCTAAATACTGCTACTGCCGATAACATAGGGGTAACTCACAGCACGCATGCCGTCTTCTGCCATACGTAAAACCTCTGGTGATGGTTTGTGGCCCGGGAGCGGAGATTACACTCCTGGCAGCGAATGAAAGATGCCCCCGTTCTCGGTGTGGAAGAGCCCAAAACAGAAAGTCTGCAAGAGAAAGTTGTCCAGATTTGGCCGAATCACGCGCATCCGATCCGCCCGTTGTGATGAAAAAAAAGATTGTGACAGGCGCCGAGAAGTGCCGACCGAAGTGTTGTTCGTTAATATTATGAGCGCAGCCAAGAGCCCTTGCTTGCTGGTCATGCAATCTAGACAACGTGGCAGGGAGAGAAGAGGGAGGTTGCGCTGCGTTGCGCAATCAGCTAGACCGTCTCCACACCACCCTTCAACCGCCTCCTTTGAAAGCAACCATGTCCCTACAAAAATTTATCGATAGTCGCGTATGATAAATTATTGAACGCGTTTCGAGGCCCGCTTGCTTAGCCTCCGCCACGCCATGAAATGCCAGGTGTTGTTTAGATTATTATTGTTGACTGATAATCAGGAACAAACAACGGTCGCGCATCCACTCTGGACCAGGGGGGCCAGGTCAAGACGAAACGGCCTCGTCAAGTTTATTGCATTCTATACGCAGCCGCCTCCACATCAAGACAATCGTCCGGCAGAGCGATACAAGCTAACGGCATATGATGATCATTGATATTATTGTCGTGACCATATTGGATCTGTTCCCGTAGCTGAACCCCATTCCTATCATTACCAGGCAGCGGCAACACACGGTTTGACGTATCGAACCGTACCACAATTTTGACCATTGGATGCACGCCTTGTCGCCGGCCACTATTATGCGATACTCGGTCTTGGGACCAACCAGAGTAGCAGCGCCTACATCACTGCGCCGACATTGATCATGTATTGGGGTTTTGACATCGTGTCGCCCCGTCCCAAGAGCATGGGATCGGATTCATTGCGAGACCACCTCCCTCGTCCCATGGCTACTCATGACCAGACAAGAGTCCGCTGGTGCACCCGCTCAGACAAGGCTCGGCGGCTGTCAAGGGGCGCTGCTTGTTGACCCAACGATCTGTATCTTGTTTCCGTGCCGCAATTTGCGAGGCGCGCCGTGTGGTTAGCGGAATGTCCGCTGCTGGGACTCGAAGGTAATAGTCGCCAGTTGTTTGGTATTATGGACTATCACCATCGTCCGGCGACAGACACAGGCTACAGCCAGGATCGAGCATGCAACCTGTCAAGCTAGAGTCCCGAGCGCGGAGGTATACTTTGTCTTTGTGCTTAGCGAACCCTCCGTCAAACCTACGGACAAATCATAGTCAACACGGGGCTCTGCAGCCTGTATCAGTCACACTCACCGCTAATGTGCGCGGGAACAGACGGCATGTTGGCGTTGCGTTCTGTATCGTCGCGTAGCTATCGATAGAAGCTTGATGTCCACTGTTGATGACTCGTTCTCGTTCTCGTCGCAGTCCACCCCCGCCATCCGCTCATGCTTCCCTTTCATGCAGCATCTGGGATCGCGAACAGGATCCCAACCTTCCATCGGACTCGCATCCAATCACCACTCGTCGCAACGATGCATCACTAACCGCATCTACTCTCTAGCTCGACGAGCGCGTTGCATTCGAAAGCCTAGAACATGCGCCGCACTCTGTCCTGACTCCGCTACTCCACAACTGCGTAGGTTGTGCATACACGCCCCAGTCGCAGATCCTATCCGCCTGTCAAATGTCAACCACACAAACAATGCCGTTGTCGCTTGTCGATGCGCGCATATCCATCGCAACGCAGGATCGCCATGGGACATGATGACATTCTGACTCGCTTCGCATCTGATAATCACTCGCGCCCCCCAGCCTTCGAAACACCCACACCCAACTCCCTCAGCATAGGCGCCGCTGCCACAACGATTGGCCATACAGATCCTCATCTTGGCGACGCGCCAACTTATCATATGCAGTAGTAGTATTAGCCGCTCCACAAACAATCCTGAGTGAGCATTTGTTGGTGTTTATCCTTCACTTCAATGCGTTGTCCGGACAGATCTACAAGTTGATCCTCTAGAGTCTGGCATTATTTATTGTTGCGTCACACAAGTCACTGTCGTTGAATGCCCGAGACAGGCACCTCATTGGTTGTCGTATTACGTCCATGACCTGAAACTGCCACATGTGCGCACCTCGTTCAGTGGCCTACGTAGACGTCGAAGGAATATGTTTGCCATCCCAACGGATCATAGGATGCTGATGTTCCCTCTTCCGCCGTGAGAGTCGAAGATCGACTGAGCCAGTCCGCCGTTGCACACGAATCATCCCGCATCGAAAATAGCATCATTGAACGCGTGTCTTCATAGTCACGGGTGCTTGCCCGACAATGTGAGGCATAGATGTGTGCACATCTCGGAGAAGAGGACACGTCCGGCTCAGATCAACCCCACTGGGCGGCAGCATAGACAGCATGTTCCAGATATAACGCATCACCTGATCAGCGCGATGCACGCAGCACGCAGCACGCAGCACGCAACACGCAACACGCAACACACACTGACACACACTCAATATAACGCACAGCTCAGATCTCCCGACATCTGCATTCCTATGACCTCATGGGCCTCGCCGCTGCGGCCAGGACCCTGCCTATGTCTCTGACATCAGCCCCTACACTCCGAGCCGCCGTTTTGTTTCATCGGCAGGAAAAAGAAGGGACAAGGGCTCGAGCACTGAGCCTCGCCCTCACAATGCACGATGCTTGATATTCTTCTTTTTTTTTTTCGCATGACGCGCACGGCCATGCCGGAACGCCCACTGCATGACCCTGTCTTCCGCCCTGCAAACTCACCAGAGACATATTCTGTCGGACTGCACGCTGACATGCCCGGGCGGCCAGGTTTAACAAGACCAAGACTGCGCAATATGGAACGCGGCGACGGACAGCATTGAGCCAGGCGAGACGCGTCTTGTTTTCCTTGCAGAGCCCGGCTCGGTGCTCGGATGGGCTGTTACGCTGAGGCGCGGTGACACTGCTTTTTCTGGAAGGACGGTGAATGGCCGTGGCACGTCAGGTTTCATATGAGCAGCAGAATGGTGTCGCGGGGCGCCTATACGATGTCTTTGCTAAGCCCTCCTCCCTCAGACCAAGAAATTCGCGCTCTTAGTACCGTGCAGTATGCGTAACAACAACACGGGGCGCTTTCCAAGTGATCGAACACGACGTCGATTCCAACAACCTCCATCAAGTCCGGCCATCTTACTTACGTCAATCCTGCGGCCTTTGGACGAGTCCGAGACACCGACACCGACGGAAGACGATGGACAAAATTCTCCTCGCGCCGGCCAGCTCCACCTTTGACTTTGAAAATTGTCCGACTTTTATCAGCATCCTATCGCGGAGAATAAAGCATATTCAATGGGACTTTTTTTCCTCGCCCGACCCACACCCGTTCAAGGCGAAGTATCCCAACGCACAATACCTGGTAATTAGCGCAGTAGATGTCTGCTTTGTCACGAACGAAGACAAGAAAAAGAACTACCGCTAGGGAACAAGAATAGCGAGAAGTACGAACCACAGTCCCCAATCGCCATCATCGATCCCCCTAACCCTTCTGAACCGTCATCCACATTTCACAGCACATTGCCTACGCACCCGTGAACGTACCAATCTCTCTATGACACCCCCCCCCCCCCAATCCCACGACAAGAATCCCGATCATCACACTCCCATTCCACATGAGCGCACTCTATCCCGCACCTATCTCAATACCTAGTCCCACAATCCCAATTCCCCCCTTCTCCCCAACCTCCCAGACCCAAATACCAAAATACCAACTCAGACCTCTCCCGCACACTCGCCCACGGCAACCACACACCATCTCCCCAACTTCCCAAGCGCTACGGCCCCCAGCCCATCGCCTACCTACCTACCATGCCCTACCACTGACCATGTCCATCGTACCATGGTCCCCCAAACTCCCTAGTCCAACTCAAGTCCATTCTTGCGAACCATGGGTGTGCTGGCATCGCGTAGGGCGGCAGCCTTACCGCGACTGTAGACCGAAGGGCTAACTAAGAACTTGGATGCCTTGCTCTCGGCCGCGGAGGCTGGTGAGGTGGAGGTGATGTCGAATGTCGGCCTTGTAGAGGTGAGATCTTAGAGTGGTTGAGAGGGGGGTATGTGCGTGTGTGTGAGGCATGTGGAATTGCGTGCCGAGTTGACTGGTACGTTTTTTGTCGGAGTGTGGGATGTGGTGTGGTATGGTATGGTACTGTGCTGTGTTGTCTTGGTGTCGTCGATGACGCGGGGAGGAGTATGGGGTTGGATGGTTTCCGGGCGGTTTAGTTGATGGATAGGGATGGATATGATGTGTGTTCGTTCACTGTCTGATTATCACTCGAGTTGTATACCTCTTTGCTCTGCATACATAAATATGAGGTTTCCAATATCCACCCAACCAATCCGTAATTTCTGTGTTGATATTACATGCAATACATTCATAGACGATATATACATACATCCTTCCATCTCTCGCCACTTCACTCCCCAATCTCACCCTACTACCAGCAAACAAATAAACCATCAACAACCCAATATCTATAACAGCTACACCTTCCACAACTTCCTTTCACAAACACACACACACACATCCCAACACCCCACCATGCCCATCCAGCACCGCCCTCACCCATCCCACCTATCAAGTATCAAGTCCCAAGCTAGCACAAATCACCGCTTGTGAGGGGAAAGTATATCTACAAAACGACCCCTACCCATCAACCCCAACCCTGTTCCACGAGCATCGTATAGGTCATATCCAACCCATCTGCCCATCTACCCGATTCCCTACCGAATCCAATTCATCACAACTTCCAACTTCCATCCTCATAGCTCATCCCATTCCATGCCAAGGGTTATATAAGCTATATACATAACTACGCCCAACACACACACACACACACCGCCGAACATCCCCATCCAAAAACAGAACACTATATCTCAACGCGTAAATCCTGGCCATTATCTGTCATTCCCACACGAATATCCGTTTGTTCCGTGTGAATCGGCATGGTCTGTACGTCTGTAGGCTTCGATATGATGCGTAGTATGTGATTTGGGTTGTATTGGGGGTTTGTATGGTCGTAGACTGTCTTTTGTGGTGCGGAAACTCGTCGGTATGTCAATGGCGGTGGGGAGAGAATGCAGGGGTAGGTGGTGTTTGATGTGTCGTGGGTAATGGTGTGATGTGGTGTTAGATGTAAGCTTGGTGGGTATAGACATAGGGTTCTTTTTTCTAGGAGAAGATGGCTTTTGCTGGAGGGTCTGGGGGTGTGGAGTGGTGTTGTGATGATGCGTGGTGTGGTGGTCTGGGTTGTTATTGTGACTTTGTTGCTTTTTGATAAGGGGGTTCTGAGGGGGACGTTCAGGGGAGGGGGTTGTGGGGGTGTATGTACGTATATGTAATACAGATAGATATAGAGGTGTTCACATGTTCACACATATGCCCACCCTCACCACCTCTCCTCCTGCAGACCTTATTCCACTGGCACACGTATATGTGGACAGCCACACCTGATCAACCATGTACACGACAGCGCGCAAAACACCCTCAGTCATCATGCACAATCCACCATAAGACCAAATTCCATGAAGCTAACCGCAGACCACCGATCCATCGCATCAACGCATCTCCAACAACTCGATCCAATTATCCTCCACTCAAAGCGTGCCAGCAGTATGCCTCTCTCAACGCATTAGCCGTGTCTGGATCCAGGCGATTGCTCTGAACTATCTCATTATTCTGATATATCAAGCTACATCACAGAGACTAATTACAGTCATAAAACATGCATGTTAGCCCGAAAGAACCACAGTCCAACATACAAGCCACATACAAGTCGAAACAACCCAGCACATCTCCACTGCTAGAGATCTCAGCCCAACAATACACAGCACCGTCTTCTATGCCCTGCGAGAAATATAGCCAACTATATCCCGCCAGAATATATCATAATAATGGCTGGTGAGAACGTGTTAATGTCTACATCTATTTCCACCCCCTACCTTAGACAGTCCCAAAGCATCATCCGGTCCGACCATTGACGATGGATAGACATTCTTTGGAAAGACTCTGTACATCCCAAGTACATACATACCTAGCAGCGAATCACGCCGCCGACGAACATAGCCATCAATCCACATCGATACTCCACGTAAGGGCTTGACGATATAGGCATTATGATATGTTCACCAACATATAGCTCCCGTAGAACCACCCCCTCCCTCCTCCAGCATCATATCGCCAGTCGCAAAGAGCAGTCCCGAGATACAGAGGCCTCTCCAATCGTTCCAGCCCGCACCGCTAGACTTCCATGGTGTCAGTTAGGTATTAGAGTACGTGCTACTGCCAGACGTTATCATCAAAAAGAAACGCCGCAGACGACCTTATCTACCTACAAGGGCGGTGTCCTTTAGCTCTACTATTATACCAAAGTACCTCTTCAACTTGATCTTAACTACTATATATATAATAATAATAATAATAATATTATATAACTAGGTAGAGTAGTACTCTATAGGCCTATGCCTCCTCTAGTCTAAGCTACTATATAAGAAGAAACCCTATAGGGAAAAACTTCCTTATATCTATAACTATATCTCGTTAAACCTCTATTTTATCTTAAGTATATAGCTATAGGGTACGCCTATTAGCCTATAGCCTATATTACCGTTATTTCGCCCTTAGGTAGCACGTATAGGTGCGGAGGTTATTAGTTAAGGGCTGCCCTTAACTAATAATCGGGGTTCTCCCGGGGTTCTACCGGTATATATCGGGTTACTACCGGCGTATGCCGGGTCTCTTCTAGCATATATTTCCGGGTCTACTAGTACTAGAGGAGTAGTAGATATATAAGTATCTATCGGGAGACATCTTTAGAGTACTTATTAAGCTATTATACGATATCTAAAGTCTTCGTAACGTAGATAAGCTATTACTATTATATATAGAGGTTAGGGTACATAGCTAGATAGTAGCGTATTATACCTCTCCGGCCGTATACCTTATACTATAGGGAGGTATCGGGAACGCCTCTCTTATAGATATAGTATAGGAGTCCTATAGCGCCCGTTCGGGCTTAGATAAGTATAGA